TGTAACCGATACAACCCCTTTCGCAGTGACTAGCCATTTCATCTGACAAACCTTAACCTCCCTTTTTGCTTGATACCTCGCCACGTCTCTGTTTCCTTTTTCTTGTGTACTGTTTTTGCCCCTCACTATAACTTGGAAGAAAGATAATCTCAGAAGAACTAAAAATATTGAATGAGAGACAGAGACCCTGCGGGGCTGCCCTCCGGGCTCTCACTCGAGAGGCTTGTTAAGCTCGACCTAACGCGTTTTCAGAAATAAAGCATAAAGCTCGATAAATTCATATATGTGCAGTCGAATTGGGAGTTTACCCGGCATCATTCCCGCGGACATGGAGGTTCCTTTCTGGTTGTCTACATACATCCGAAGAGATTTGTTTGAGCAGCGCATCGAACTTCAAGGGTCCTTCGCAACTATCAGCGCATCGAACTTCAGGGGTCCTTTCACTTTGCAACTATCGATGGTCCGTGCTTGTCAGCAATTTAGCAAGGTTGAGCCAATTCTTGGTCAATGTATCTTGCGTGGCATGCATTTTCAACAAGGAAAATAAATGAGTCAACAGCACCGATGGGCGGATGAGGATGAATGAAACTTGGGACAAGCTTAAGGGGTTCTGTCGTTGTGGCTCGTTATCTGAAAAGTTTCCGTGGCGTGTGGCCCTGATAAACAACCGGGAGTGTTTACCCAATGAGTCGTCATTCGTTCACGCTGATCCAGTCTGTTGCAAGCCACGACTGCAGACTGAAGTAAAAAAAAGGGCAATTGTTCGCAGAAGAGACCAACTGACGTTGCCTCGTATCCGGACATCCATCTTCCGCCATGGCGAAAGACATCTGACGAAAAATGCACTGCCTGGTTTGCACTTGCGGATCTCTGGATCTCCCTCTGCCTCGTTGTCACCATATAACCATTCAAGATTGTCGCAGGTCAGGCGCGCAAATGCCACTCGTCACACATGATTAACAACTCATCAACCATCTAAATATTTATTTATCTTAACAACAACGCGAAATTAATTTTGGCGATACAAATCCAAAAAATGTCATTTCCTTTAAACATTTCTACAGCCCAACCGAATCGCTTTGTTGAAGCACCAGCTACAGGAGTCGAGCAAAACGCATTGGCATCTTGCATAGATGGAAGTGATGGCTATCCAACTTTGCAAAGTTTCACTTCCCACATGGAAACATATCTTTCTGGAAAAAAACGCGCAGATAGAACTGTCATCGTAAGTTAAAATCATTCCATTTCTTATCATCGATGCAGACTTCGACGCCAATGGTGCAATACTCAAGATTCCATGGCATCATAAGCTGATTCATGACACAAATGTGCTTTTCCTCTCGAATTCGCATTTTGATCATCGATCTATTATGTAAACTGGGAACAGACCAGTGCTGATTTGCATCAAATCCACCGGCTTTTGTTGGATCCAGCGGCCCTGCGTGCTGACCCAAATCCCAGCAATCGTGCATGGGTGAAGAAGACCTTCTTTCTCGAGCCGACTTCCTCGGGAACAATTGTCTGCCATAGAGAGAAAGGTCAGCATATAGGTCGTCCAGTCGCAGTGAAAGAGTTGATGTACTTCATTCTTAAAGAGGCCCATGCTTCCGAAGGCCATGGGGGACGTGACAAGACCGCCAAGGCCGTCAAAAATACACATTCATACATTCGAAAAGGATTGATCTGCATCTTCCTCGAGACCTGCCCGACCTGCCAAACTCGAATCGATGCGGTCAAGAAGGAGAAAAATGCGGCGCTTGCTAAGTCTCTTAACATGTCAGCCAGTCGCGACTCAATCGTCAGTTTTGGGACCGGATTCTTGACACCTGCAACTTCTCCAACCAATTTTGGGAATAAAAGAAGAGGTAGCATGTTTCAGTCGGTCCCCCAGTCAGTCGACTCCACCGAATCGCCCTACTTTGCGATCAACAAACCGACAATACCGCCAGAGTTGGCTCTCGTTCCGGCTGCGCCTAAGCCATACAGTCGTAGTCGAAATGCATCTTATCCCTCAGAGTCGTACTCGAATCTTCGAAAAGGTCAAAGGATGTTATCATCAGGTTCAAATCTTGGGGGCTATTTACCCATTCCCGCAAGGCCTTTGCATTCACCTAGCGTCATCATGCCCAACACCGCCATCGCCTCCGACTTCAGCTCACAGGATCCATCCGGCCAGCGGAAACAACGCGCAAGCTCAAATTACAATCTAGAGACTTCAATCACACAAGGCTTGGCCCCCAATGCCCAGAACCCTGAAAGCTTCCTCAGCGAGCCAAGTGCTTGGTCTTATCAGCCCCAGACACCTATCTTCTCTCTGGGAAATCGCTCAGACAACTCTTCTTGGGAAATCGAATTCGCTAACATCTGGAGTGGAAATGAGCCCAACTTCTACAATCCTATTCCCGCTCCACTCCTTGCACCCCAACCACAATTTTCCGCATCAGAGCGACTTAAAATCCCATTCACAGATCAATATGTTTCGTCTGATAACAATAACCTTCAGTTCAACTCCTGGTCATCGGTCTCTCCAATGACCAATGTCTTCCCTGGCTAAGCCAATGTCCCTTTCTAGTCAACGACAAACCTTATTTATTTATTTTTCTGTTTTTGTATGAATTGGATTATCATTTACACGTTATAATCCAGATCTTACCTCAAAGAACCTACCATGACTCATTTCCGACAAGATCTATGTACACAAGCATTTTTTTGTTTATTTATTTATTTATACTGGACACTTTCAATTCACTAGAGATTTGAGCAATCAACTATTATGAGCACCTTTCTTGTGGCAAGGGACCAATTCACTCAAAAATGACCCGTATCACGATGACACAAATTGCTTTTACAACCAAATCTCAAGAAAGTGTGAATCTGATGTTGATATCTATTCCGAAAACACTTGTTTTGCTTTATTTTGATGGAGACTGAGTCTGAACTTGGAAGGGAAGATTTTTTTTCTTGTGCCTCATGCAAGAAAGTTGAAATGCCTGGGAGGCATAAAACATCTTTTAATGATCCGGTAATCAGGTCATTATACTGACTGATATCCTTTACAAACAGTTCTGCTGGGCAAGCATGATAATTGTGGGTGAAAATTCAAAAGAAAAAAAAACATGGGGGCAACAATGTATTGGCCCCATAGGAAATCCACGTATATACAATAAACGAATACTCGTTGCGTGAGGTATGGCAAGGTCGAAGTTGGAACCCGATTGCAATTAGCTTCTAGTTCTTGAGCGACATGCCGGGATCGGTCGGTTGTCTCGAGATCCTTGTCTGTTCAAACTGTGTCGACGAGTCTTGAGCCGCCCGCTTGGCTATCAGTCGGCAACTAACCTAGACTTTCACAACACGAGATTTGCTGATAACTCGGCTCAGCTTCGGAGTTGTTGATTTGGCATTTGAGCTTGGGACTCGAGAGTCTAATCTTTGTTTTCTAGATCCCTAGTTATCCGACAAGCAGATCAACAAGTTCCCCCAAGCAATCGATGACTATTCCATCAACTTTTACGTACACCTTAAGACGGAAACACAATTTTTAAGAATTTTATCTATGTGTCATATCAAGTGTCTACAGAGGCTTATAGAGGTCCATAGGTGTCAATGTATGCGCAACCATGCCAAGTGGCAGTGCTGCCAAGGCCCCTGTCTTGGAATGTTGTGCTACATTGCAGCACCTCCTTTTGCAAACAATGTGACTAATGCGAACCCATCCCTCCACCAAAGCAGTGAGCATATGCTCACCCCATGAAATGAGAAATGCCTTTCAACCTTTCATCATTTGTTGGATTCCCTCCCCATCGCTCGCTTCTCCCCCAAGCAGTTTGAGGTTAGAAACAGTATCAATGCGCGGAGACACGAAAGCCATTCATGATCTTTCCCGAATCTCCCATAGTCTATTAATGTAGCCTATTAGGCTTCGGCGCTCCTAATCAGTTGATTTTGGTATTCCCATCATACATACAACATTGTCCTGTGATAGCCGTGGTGTCTGCTCAAAGTAAAGTTGTCTCGTTCGGCCTTTCTATTTTGAGTTCTGATCTTCGCTGAAGACACCGCGATATACTAAGCCTATGATAGACAAGCGTATATCCTCCGCCCAGATGGATGTGGTGGAAAATGCAGACTTATCCGATTTACTATTATTTCATCATTTCCGTTAGCCTGGCTGAAATGGTCGAAAATTCAGGGATTCATTTAATTGAGATGAAATAGTTAAATACTCATAGTAGTATGAATTGCGTCAATACTCCTCCACTTCTGTGAAGAAAGAAACCCTCAACTTGTGAAGAATAAAAAACTTGTGCCAGAACTCACCCTCGTTTTAGGCTCCATTAATCATAGACCTCATTCAATCAATCGACACCAGCTTCAAGCAGAATAGAAAATATGTGTGAACTAATTGACCGAATCGTTTACGGTATACCGGTTCCAGCTCTATCATTCTTAATGGCCACAAAAGTTTTGAACGAATCGAAGAACACCCGAAAGGTCTTGACGGAAATGAGGAGGACTCGACTTCCAAGAGAAGTCATGCATCTGATTGGTTCGGAAATGGTCAAAGGAAAGGCTTCCGAATTACGAAGAGAGTGGTGGAGCTCGCTCAAACGTTCGCTTCCGAGCTCATTTGATGATTCGAGTGGGGGCGATCCACAGGGTCCAGCACAGGAAGTTTGGTTGGAAATGCTGGGCAAAGACGTGTTATGGGAGATTGTGGATTCAAATCAATGCTGCTTGACTCCCAGGAAACTGAACCATGATGAGGAACATGAGCTTGTACGAGTTGAGTGCTTTTTTGACCAGAACCAAGTTCAAGTGTTTTTTTACTGGTTCGACAGTCGCCGTAAAACATTTTTATCAATACAGCTCCAGAAATGAATCCTGACAATTCTGATTACCTTCTTTCTGTTTCAGCACCTACGGGAATATTTGAGCACTCTGCCACAACCGCTAGTGATAGTCAACCGGACGCCACTTTCAAAGAGCTCCATGGTGGCTGAAGAGAATAATCAAGACGGCGATGAGGGCACAAGAATGCAGGAGGATGAAGATATACTTGTAATCTGTCTACCCGACCACATACTTCAATATGATATCCGACAAGCATTCACCAACAAAGAAGCCATTGACCAGATCGATTTGGATGACTGCGACGCGGATAGCCTCGAAGTGCCCCAGGGAATAGTAGAAAAAGTCGATGTGGAAACTGGATGGAACGAGCACTTCCTGCTTTCAATGCGATACGAATTCCAGCACCTTCTAAAACAATGTGATCTAGCACTCGGAAATGAGGATGGAGGCGGACTTCTCGATGATCTGGATCGGCAACTAGGATGGTGGCGTGTTGAGGAAGTTGTGTGCGATTGTCAGTATGACGAAAACTCGCATGGACCTCAGGACCATCCAAATAGTCAAAGTAGGGGCTAATAATGTTCAAAATAATTATAACAGCCAACTGTCTGGCAATTTCCTCTACTTCAAGTATAAAATGTGTGATTCTCTCAAATCCACTTGATTATCATTGTTCTTTGATGGACCCAAACATACAACTATCTGGATTCATCAAGGCATTCTTTGAATTATTTGTTTTGACCAACTGTTGGGTTGTGACATTTGCATGTTGGCATTGTAAAGGAGGATTTTAGAGACCTCTAAGTCCTGAATTACTGTAATCAAAACCACCACCAGTTCACATGAGGGTCTTCACTCAAGAGTGGTATTCAAAGTTGCTTCGTAGATGGATAAACATAGATTCATTTTTTTTCACAGAACTGCTTATATGATCCATGGCTCAATTTATTCATGAACAAAACCCTATTTGTAAGTTTTTGTTGATGGATTTATGGTCCAACTTTGAATACCCTAAGGCTCCTGAGAAAACGTTTTTTTTTTCAAACAAATAATCTAGTTCCAAGTGGGAAGTCACCTATTATCAGGTCCTATTGGGATGTCCACAGTATTTTACTGCTACTTTTTGAACTACAAGTGAAACAGTGGACAACTTCTTGCCAAAATCTGTGGGGCCCTCAGAATTGATTAAGAGCTAGGAGAGCTAGATTTGCCTGCAAAGACTCAGACTTCTTGGGTCCAAGAGCAACTCCACTGCAAGCCGTAAATTGGGCCTGTATGTAGATTTTAAGGACTCAGCACAACCCACTTCAGTTGCTAAAATCTACAGCAGTTCCTGTATCGATCCTACAGAATCAGGTTGAGACCAGCTGGAATTGACTTTTATGAAGTCTTATCCAAGAGGCTACAACTCTGGCTCTCCAGGGACCAAAGAACTGATGAGGATTTCTCCACTACAAATTCCTGTGAGGTAAATGCAATTATAAAGTTGATCCTAGTGTTTAATTAAATCCAGTCAAGGCTGGGATGCCAATTGGAAAGGTTTAAGGTCCATGAGGGTGCTTGGGGCCTGAAACAATCACATGGTATTGCAGATTTCAAATTTTTATTTTTTTAGATCTATCAAGAAATAATGGAAACACAATTATGAGAGAAATGAAAATGTTTCAAAGGGATAAACAAAACTGCTCTAAAATAAGATTAGCATAAAAAACTCTACTTGTCAATGAGGATAAGCTTTCTTTGGTTGATTATCCCAGGATAAATTCTATGAAAGTAGTTGTGAATAGATTTTGGCAAAGAAATTATTCCCTCTGAATAGTATTCATCATGATCATTAAGATATTTGAGAGAGTCTAATCTCAAATGAGGTGACAAATTGAAGAATGATTTGGGATTGAAATCTGGACCAAATGCCTTTTGATTAACCTTCATCAAGATATTTACTTCATCATCATTCAATTTTTCCAAGTCATATTGACTCAAAAAACCTGGTGAAAAGCAGTTTTCTTGACAAGCTTCAAGGAGGGGGTTTCTTTTTTTCATGGGATGGACATTGAATTTTGAAATTGTGAAATAAATTAATTTTGATTTTTCTTCTAATTCTTGCAGTGCTTTATTGTGAATATGTGCTAGTTTTTGTGACTCCAGTAGATATTGATCACCTTGCTCAAACATTGTCTTTTCAAACTGGTTGTTTAGCTTGGATATTACTTCTTTCTGGTTTTTTGCATGAAAATCTATGGAAGTTCTACCATCTGAGAGTCGCCTGATGATTTTTATTTTGGGATCTCTCAGATAGTATCCATACATTATCCTATTATTCTTATTACGCACCAAATTGGTTTCCTGATAAATTTCAGGTAGTGTTGCTTCTGAAATGAGGTCTGATAACCAAATAAATTTTTTGAGTACATCAAAAGTGCTTTCAATATTTGACTTCACATTCCAGAATTCTTTCCACACTGCAATTATGTTTTTCCAATGAATTCCTGTGAGTTTTTTGACCACTAATTTGTAAATGAATGGAATAAGTATTGAGTGTGATTGATGCATCTGGTGTAAAGAACCAGGAGCATCTTCCAGAAATCTTGGGGCCATGGAATAAGAAACAAGAGATGCTGCTTGGTTGATTTCCAGTGGATACCAACTTAGTATTTGGCAGGAGTAGTGTTCACACAGTTCTTGACAAAGGCTAGTGGGATTGGTCAGTGAGTATTTATCTTTATCTCTCTCAGTTGTCAATTTTCCTTCCCCCTCAGAGGTAAACTGTGGCAACTCGTTATTAGAATTTAATGGATTTGAAGTATGCACATAAGTAGATTTTTTGACCTGCGAGTTGTTCAAAATTGTCATGCTTGGGGATGTGTGCTGAAGAAATACTAATGACTGTTTGTTCAATTTTTTATTATTCAAAGGCCAAGGTGTATCTTCATGAAATAGGTGCAATTGTTGTTGTTGATATGATTTCTCATTTTCAATTCCTGAAACTTTTCCATGATTGATGTTTTCCACTGTGACTGGACTGAGTGGAAATAGAATAAGTGGATCATCAATTGTTTTCTCCTTATCACTATCTGCTTTCAATTGTCTGACTGGATACAGCTATCAACAATGCAAAGTGTAAGTTTATTCCTTGTCAGATCGAAAAATTTACTTCAAATCTCACCTTCTCTTCCCTGGGGTGTTTCCGACCAATTGTCCCAGTACCCAGTGAGAGATCCAGGTTTATTTCTTCATTTTCCCTGATTCCAAATTTTTCAGAGTTTCCCATTCCACAGGCAAATTCTTTGACCTGAAGGAAGTATCCTATAATCATGAATAAAATACCAATTTTGGATTCCATATTGGATACGAGTGCAATCTAGTCAATAATGCAAAAAGAATAATGTTTTTTATAAATAAAATGTGCGCAGGAAGTGACAAAAAATATTCTGCAGACAATAAATCCAGTGCACTAAAAAGGGTTACTGTGTATCAAGGAGTGAGATGCTATGTTGTTTGAATTGGTATTTTGAAGATATTCCACAGCATCACTGATGATAGTCTATTTATTACCATATTTTCTTAAGGAAGGCTGAGAAATAATTGATCTGGTCTGAGCTTCATGAAACTTGTTTGAGCCAGAGAATTGTAGGATTTTTTTGTACTTCAGTAGATTGGGAAAAGAAATATTCAGATAAAACAAGTCTATACAGGTCAAGTGACAGCCTGAACTGAAAAGATTACTGAATGAGAAACCACTGGTATACAGATTTTTCCAAAATGTCAAGGTAGATGAGACTCCAATTACATGTTTCTTCCAGAAACCTATATCTGGATGTAACCTCACTTACACATCCACCATAATTTTACAATAATTATAAATTTAAACACTGATTTTTAAGCATTTATTGTCCAATTTTCAACTACCTTAGATTCTCCAGAACAAAATAAACTCTAGAGTATTTAAAAAAAATTCCCAATTTTTGGAGCAACAACTCTCAAAACATGACAACATTGACCAGACCTGGAACAGCCAAACAGCCAATCAGATTTTACCATATTTTGAGGATTTGTTGCTCCAATCAGGAGCTCACACCTGGAAGTCATTCCTCCCAGTGGGCAAATATTTCAAACAGAAATAAAAATCAAGCGCACACAGTTGTTTCTTCCAAGGGGCTGAATATTACAACTGGACATCAAGACTGCACATTAATCTGATAGCCAATCTGAACTAGCCATTGAGGGTGTACCCATGCTCTTGATGGCCAGGATTAAATGTCCATTGAGAGATAAGGATATCCCAAACAGCCAGTTCATACTGGCTGTTAAAGTGGTTCACACCCTTGACAAGAGGTCTGAGCTGGCCATCAAAGGTTTACCCTTTCTCCTGATGGAAAGTATGAACCAGCCATCCATTCCAATAGCTAGTCTTAAACAGCTATCAGAGTTATCATTTTATCTTCATGGCCAGTCTAGCTGGCAATCAATAAACAAGATATTGAGTTGATACTTGGCTTCTGGGATGAAAAATCCCAAACATGAGCCTCACATTGGAGCAAGAACTCCTAAAAGTACTGGGAAAATGCAGACGTGCCAACAATCATCATAGGCTGGCAAGCCGTTGGTCTGGTCAATGTCCCCAAGGTTTGGGAGTTGTGCTCCACAAATTGGGATTTGTTCATCCGAGGCCCAAAATTTTGGTGTTTGTAAATATCATGAAATTTGATTGATAAGATATTTTTAACATACTGAGTTGCATTCAAGTTTGCAATTTGTTCTGGAGCTTTGAAGGAACAAAAGATTTATTAAATTGAAAATTGTGGAAAAAGAACATTGAAATCAGAGAAAATAATCTAGGAGAAGAATTGCAAACAGGCCTTGAAGGAAGATTGGGACCAAACTTCACCCTTTTTATTGATTCCTTGGAGATCTAAATGGCAAGGGTTCCTGATGTTATTCAATTTTAATTTGTTTAATTTTCTGAGGATAAACATGATGAAAGAAGTGATGAATGGATTGTGGTAGAGACATTATTTCTCCCACATAGGATTCAGGATGATTGTTAAGATATTTAAGAGAACCTAATCTTGAACCAGGATCCAAACTCTGAAATGATGTACAGCTGAAATCTGGGCCAAATTTCCTATGATGGACATTCATCAGCATATGCATTTCATCATATTTAAATACATCTAGGCCAATTTTATCAAAGAAATCCTTTGAGAAGCATATTTTCTTACAAGCTTGAAGCAGGGGTTTCAATTGATTTTGAGTTTCAACATTGAATTTTGAGACTGAAGAATGAATGAGGTTTGCTTTTTCTTCCAGTATTTTTAGTACTGTGTTGTGTAGATGATCCAGTGTTTGTGACTCCAACAGAGTTTTGCCTTCCTCAAAAAAACTTTTTTCAAACTGGTTGCTTAAGTCGTTAACCACTTTTGACTTGCGTTGAGAAGAGAAATGAATTGCAGTTCTGCCATCTGAAAGTCGCCTGATGATCTTCAGTGTAGGATCTCTCAGATTGTACCCATAAATTATCCTTTTTTTGTTACTATGAACCAAGGGGGCTTCTTGATATATTCCAGGGAGAGTTGCCTCTGAGATAAAATCTGATAACCAAATGAATTTCTTCAACACCCCATGATGGCTTTCAACTTCTGACTTGGTATTCCAGAACGTTTTCCACACTCCAAGTATCTTGTCCCAATGATTTTCTGTGAGGCTTTTCATTGTTAATTTATAAATGAATGGGATCAGGATTGAGTGTGATTGGTGCATCTGGTGTAAATGAGTGCTAGTTACATCTTCCAAAAACCTTGATGCCATTGAATAAGCAACAAGAGAAGCTGATGCATTTATTTTTTGTGGATTCCATTTGAGTATCTGACAGGAGTAGTGTTCACAGATTTCTTGGCCCAGCTCAATGGGACTATCAATTGGGTATCCGATTTTGTCCCTGTAAGTTTCTTTTGTGCCTTCACTCTGTTTTTGAATCTGTGCCAATGGATAATGAGAATTGAAATATTCATTGAAAGTTTGGTCTTCAACAATTGAGGGCTATTGAACTGGAGGATTGTGCAACATTGTTTATGTTTTCTGTTTGAGATCCACAATTATCAAAACCCAGAATTTGATGGGTAAGAGTATGTCAAGGGTATGGAAACGTGTTTTGGTTGATAGGATCCATCATTTTCAGTTCCTGAAATTTTTTTTCTTTTCATATCTTGCATGGGACTGAGTGGAAATAGAACAAAGGGATCATTGCTGAGTAATTGCTTATGATTCTCTTTTGGAACCTTTCTTTGGGAATACAGCTATATCATAAAAGTAAATAAAAACAAAAGGGGATTGAATCAGATTGTTCATTCTTTGATTTTTATTTTCAATTCAAATCTTACCTTCTCTCCCATGGGGCGTTTCCTAAGACTTGTCCCAGTATGAAGCGAGAGCTCCAGGTTTATTTCTTCCTCTTCCCTGTTTTTGAAAGCATTAGAGATTTCCATTCCACAGGTTACTTCCATGACTTGAAGGAAGGATGCCAATTTTATAATTAAAAAACCAAGTTGAGGCTTCATATTGGTTCTAGGTACAATCTAGTTGATATTGGGAAATGACAGTATTTTATAGAGATCTAGTGATTAATTTGAAGGATGATATACTGAATATGTTAAGAGTATAATCAATATAAGGATCCAGAAAAAGATTTACTGTGTGTGGATGGGTGACTCATTTTTAAATTCTACAAACCTTCTGTGGTATCAATGACTATATATCCCATCTTTGGTGTCAGCAACAGTACTGAATTGATGTTGTCTCACCCTTAGTTGGAACTTGTGTAGGCCAGGGAGCTACACACATGATTTGTTTACCTCAGAATATTGTGCTTACTCAGATGTATTAATGTAACAAATTTATATAAGTCTACATGTGGGTTTCATCTCCTGACTTGCACACAGGTCCTTTTTCTTTCAAGTGTGACATATTGAACAATTCAATTTAGATAGCACTTGCAAGAATTAAAGAATTTGATCCCTTTGTTTCACAAAAAACAAGAGCCCCATTCTTATTTGGAAGCAAGAAGATTTTGTTCAATTATGTCACTACATAAGTGTCGATTTCTGGTGCTCTAAATTTTTGCATGAATTTTTAGGGGTTGAATTATTAGATTGATTGACTTATCAGAGAGATGGGAAGAAAAAGAGCAAACCAAATATTGAAAAAACTTCATAAACTAACCTATCTTGTATGTCATACCAAGTACAGCCCCTTGACAGAAAAAATGAAACCCTTTAATTGGAGTCTAAAGCCTACAGGGCAACCCAATGGCCTTCAATTTATTCTTCATGGTGAAACTGTGGAAAATGAGCTCTATTGAAGAATGATTCTGAGAAATTGGCTACAAGGAAAAAATTATGTAAAACGTTTGCATATCTTGTCTCATTTTCTGAATCATTTTTTTCAAAGTAGCTCTTAAAGAAAAATCAAGACCAACACCGTTGCATGCAAAAAGAAGGATCATAAATGAAAAATTGAAAGAAAAAAAGGGATTCACAGTTGTTTTTTATAAGCAGGTTTGGAACCTGGCATTGCATCCACCCTAACTTAACCAAGTCCCCCTATTGAAGGGGGGACACCGTCCTGCAGGGACTCTGGTTGTTGGCGCCAGTGGCAGGTGCGCCCGCCCCGCACCTGCACACCCATGTGTGCCCTTTTTCCCAAAAAGGGGGTAGGGCGCGCACCTTTAACCCTAACTTTTTCAAGGAGGCCTTCAGAGCACGGAGAGATGGAGAAATCTGTTCATGTGGCCCCTGGGAATGCTGGGCCGCTGGTATTGGTTGCAGGCTTGACAATGGCAGGGGGAAACGACATTATCAACATTGATGCAATCAAAGACAACAGATCTGACAAATCTGAGTGGGATCCAGAAGATCTCTGGGTCTCATAATTTGATCCTCACATATTATATTCCACATTTTATCAAGTGTATGTATATAGAATCAATAGCCTCAAAAAAAAAACCTCTGTTTCATAAAATAAATTCCACAAAGCCAATTTTCTCCTTAAAAACACACTGGCAATGGCGCCCTGGCGCTCCCAGGGCGCCCCCCGCCAAAGGCGCCATTTTTGGCGCCTTTTGGCGCGCCCCCGGGTGCACCCTTTTCCAAATGTGGTGCCGACAACCAGAGAAGGGACCCTCCAAAGGAGGGACTTATGCGCTAAGTCAAGCCTGTGGCCTAAGAGAATTAGGAAATCCACATTTTTTGATCCTGTGTAGCAGCACGATTTTTTGGCTGATGATCATTTTTTGGGGAGGCAAAAGATGCCCAAGATCATGAAGAATCATTGGATATTTTTTTTGGTTTTTTAGGCCCTTGGGTGGCTTTCAAAGCTCATTTGTGGTGATTACAAATCACAATTCTCCTGCCTCAATATCCTGCATCACACAATTTGCACTGTACAGTAATAGTATCTGAAATCGGAAATGTTGAACAATCATCATAATCATCATCGATGAAGGAGATGTGTTTACCATTAGTGACATTTAGGACATAGTTGGGGACAGCTTGAAAGAACCCCAAAGTGAAAACTAGAGGAAAACTAGGGCACGTACTCTCAGGCCGCGGGATCGACCTTGCTCTTGAGTCCCTCCCTCCGGTTGGTGCAATGCAACATGTGGTTTACCACTCCAATCAGGAAGCGAAGGGAGTTAGTTAAGTTAGACATCTGCCAGACTATATTGGAACCCTGCAATCAGACACCAAAAATCTGAAATCAAATTTAATTCCAATCTATTATCTCAGTCCTTCTGCTCTCTAAAAGATTGGATCTTTTTTTTTCAATAATTCTCTTCACATGTAATCAAGTTGATCTTGGTTATTTTTATAGAGCTACTTTGAAAAATGATAAAAAAATCAATCAATAAATGAGGATCAAAAATATACCAAATTTTTTTTTACAAAACTTTTTTCTATCCTGCAACGTTTTTTCAGAACCATTGGAGGACTTCCCGTCGGATCTGGGAGCCTCGCAGTTTTCGATTTAGACCCAAAAAGTCTAGATTTTCGCAGGGAAATCTAGCTTTTTCGGCTCTAAATGGAAACTGGGAGACCCGCAGATGTTGACGGGAAGTCATCCATTCTTTGGAGCTCATGTTCCAGATTATCACAAAGGAAGCGTCACTTGCGATCCGTTGGTTTTGCCCTCTACTCTAGACTCCACATGAAAGGGTTCCATTTTTTTTCTGTCAGGGGGCTGTAGTTGCTCATGGACTCATCCAACCATGGAAATCATTGTAACAAATCTCATTTGTTGAACCTTCCTCTTGATTCTCTTTTTTTTAAAAACTTGCTCACAGATTGATCTCAAGGCGACCATGCCGATAAAAGCCATTGCCCAGAACCCTTTTTGTTTTTCAAAAAAAAAGAACGATATAAAACGAGATAAATACCTGCAATGTAAAAATGCATTAAAACTTCATGCATTGAGTTTTTTGTGCGTTTGTTAGACTGAGAAGCACGACGATAATAACAATAAGGACGACACTACAACAAGACCAAGCAAATCTAAACAACAAAAACAACGACGACGACTCAAGAGCCGCCCAGAAGAAGAAGCAAAGGTTCGATCGGAATCGAGCCGGAGCCCGAAGGAGACTCCGAAGGAAGCTGACCACGAGCGAGATTAAGATGATGAAAGATAGGATCAGAATGGACGAGGAGATCGTTCTGGGTCCGGTTTTCAAGCTGGCCTAGATGATCCTGAGCTATGTTATGTTGAGCATCGGAAGACAACGAAGGAAGAGTCGATGGAGTTCGCTGACCAGTCGGATTCGAAGGAGTGCCGACCATGGCCCCTATTCTAGTCGATCCTGGTCCTACTGTTGATCCTGTTGTTCTGGCGGTGGTGGGTCGGGTGGAGGTGGGAGTGGGGGTGGGAGTACTGGAAGAACATTGTCGACGACTGTGTTCTCGCGCATGACGGCCAACAAAATCTTCATCTTGTTTAGCTTTTGCCGTCGTCCTCCTCCTCTTCCCTATCAATTTTTTTTTTCGCCTCATTTCCGTAATCAGCTTTTTTTTCCTGCTTCCGCGGAGGATGAGCAATAGAAAACTTACAAAGAGGAAGATCTACCGTAGCCCACCAATCTCCTCGACCAGGCGCATCAGGAGGTCTTGGGATTTTGACAAAACAGGAGTGCGAAGTAAGCACATTTCTTAACGTAGCTTTCCAAGATTCTGCCGCATCCACAAAATACCTACATATCCACATCCAATATGAATCTCATTAACACCAACCAAAAAATATTTTTGTAAATAAAAAAACTTACGGATATTTTTTTTCAAGCACTTTAAAGATTTCAGCAGCAGTAAGTTTTCCATCAGGATGAGCCAGGATAGCTTCTTTAGCGAGTTCAGGAAACGTGGCCTTAGGTTTCTGGAGACAGACGACGGGAATGGAGTCCAAGAAGCCGGGCGTCAAAGCAGACAATTCGTCTCCTCCTGCTCCACCAGGCGACGCAGAGGCAGAAGAATTTTGTTTTTGTTGAGAAAGAGTTGAAGTGGAGATAGGATGGTTAGAAGAAGAGGAGGAGGAGTCAAGTGGAGGAAGCGTGTGTGAAGAAGGTAGCGGCAAGTTCAGTTTTCGGCCGACCGTACGTAAGCCCGAAGCCCTCGTCCTCCGATCGATTAAACTGGACGACGAGGACGACGAGGCAGCAGTAGAATTAGCAGTCGAAGACGAAGAAGTAGTAGACGGGGGGTTGGGGAGACAACGGAGGAGGGTAGGCCGGATGACCGGGGGCCGGACAGAGCGGACGGACGAGGGGCGATTGTGTGTGGTCCTTCGATCCGAGCGAGCCCGGGGCGTCGGCCGGGCGCGAGAAGGAGCCGCGACAGCCGCCGATGGTGCGGCTGCTGGCTCGGACGGCGGGAGAGGATGGACCGGGATGTCCGCCGCGGCCGGATGGACCGGTATGTCGTCTGCCCTTGTCGTCGTCATCTGCTGCTGTTGAGACACATTCATTGACAGCTCCCTCTGCCGTTCGATCTCTTCAGCCCGTCTCATCTCCTGTTCCTCGGCCCGTTTCAGGGCTTCCTCAATCTCCATCTCGAGCATCCTCGAGGCCTCCATCATCGCCTCTTCCCTCGACTCATCCTCCTCCCCTCCTCCTCCTCCACAAAACCCTTGTGCATCAGACGCCTCTCCTGCTTCTGGTGGGCTTTCTTGGTGGCCTTGTTGTTGCTGAGCTTCATCAATCAAATCTTGTAATAAATCGCTCAACCCCGCCTCTTCTGTCGTTCGTTTAGATCCCACACTCACACCCCTATTCTCCTCCATAACAATGGTCTGATTCGCGGGACTATTGGCACCATGTTCAGAAATCATCGACGCCAATAATCGATCGAAATCAGCGGCCGTAGGCACCAAACTGTCCTCATCTTCCTTTTCCTTCTCTTTCTCTACATTCTCCTGCGCCTGATCTTTCTCCTTCTCCTCTTCATTTTCTTGAGCTTCCTCTGGTCCCACAAGATCTTGATCAGGTTGGTTTTCAGAAGAGACTTGAGTTTGATTTTCGACTTGAATTTCAGCTTGAGCTTCTCTAAGAATAGCGTCCAGATCGATCTCTGGAAGCGGGTCAAAGATTGAGGAATGGATATCGATCATCGTATTTTGACCAATATCACCCCCACCCCCACCATGAGGAGGAGCTTCTTCTTGATCATGAGTATCAGTTTGAGAGTTGTTATGGAATTCAATCTCTGGCAGACAGGCAGCGACATCAGCAAGGGCGGCATTGACGTGATCTTGTAAGGAAGAGAAGTCGGGTGGGGAGTGAGGATGGGAGTCGGAGTGAGAGGTCGAGATAGGCTGTGGAGTGGAGGGAGGGATGAGCGGTCGAGCGGGAAAAGAGGGTCGAGAAGAGCTCGGAGGCCGGGTGAGGGTGGCGGTGGAAGAGGAATTGCGAGCAGAGAGGTTCCGGCGTCGAGAGGGAGGGGGAGCAGCGACCAAGGCGTTGGAGAGGGAGCGCGAGAAGGCGAGACGAGGGACCGGCGGAGCTCTTCGAGTACTGCTGGTCTCGATAATCGCACTCAGAGAAGAGCCCAGTCGGCGAGGGTTTGAGCGACCGTTGGGGGTCGTAATCGGCTCGGTCTCTGTCGTCGTATCTTCCGATTCCGTCTCGGAATCCGTCGAGCTATCGGTCCCCGAATGATGCTCTGTTTGTGAATGACTCGAACTTGAGGTTTGTCGAACTCGCATCTGATTCGTTGTGGGATATCCATGCTTGGCATTTCGTATGGCTGCTATTGCTGGTGACCATCGGGCTTGAATTGAGAGATCAAAATCGGATGGTAAGACTAGTTTGCGACTAATTGTTGGGATTGACATTCGATCTGTAGCGGAAGTAGTGGAATTTTTGGCTCTACATGAAATGTAAATAAACATCAGTAAAGAGAGAAGAGGAAGAGGATAGAGAAGTAGTATGGAGGATACACAAACTTTGACAATCTTCCTTTCGCAGGATCGACAGCGGTATCGACGATATAATAGCTAACATTTTTTTTGCCTTGAACATGAACCCTAACAAAGCATTCCTTGACACTGAGATTATGACCGACGGCGGATTTCCAGACTCGAGTAGCTTGATCAGAGGTGGATCGAAAGTATTCCCAACGACGTTGGAGGGCGTCAAAGATTTCTTCTCGATTGAGGATTCCATATCGACTGCCCATGATTGCCGCACGGATGATGGTCCACCATGGGTAGTTGGGTTGTTGGCCAAGTGGGGGATTGGCTAGTTGGTCTAGGGAAGAGATCTTGATGTTGGCTGGGGTGAGGGTGGTGGTAGAAGATGTAGGTTTGGGTGTATTTGGCTGCTGCTGCTGCTGCTGCTGCTGTGGTTGTTGTTGTTGGTGCAGTTGTGGGATCGGTATAAGCGAGGGTAGTTGTGAGGTTGATGCATCTGATCTGAGACTCGGCTGTGGTGAGTGAGGTGCTGAGAGGGTGATCGGTGGGGAGGTAGATTCGAGAGTTGGGTCTATGATAGCAGTCGTTGGTTGACTGTTCAAATCCGATGAGTTTACTAGCGATTGTGGCTCTGGTAGTGGTTCTGTTGATGGTTCTAGTTCTAGTGATGGTTCTTGTTCTAGCGATAGTTCTGGTTGAGGGAGAGTGGCACGTAGTAGTGACTGAATGAGTTCTGAGACATCTGACTGATTGAATAGTTCATCCAAGGAAGGATTTGATGATGATGATGACTGTTGCTGGTGTTGATTGATGAGAGTGTTATTAAGTGATTCTTCTGCTACTGCTTGTTGTAGATGGTAGTCGAGTGAGTTAGTATCGATAATCATCTGATCTTCTTCGTCTTCCCCTTCTACGGTTGGTGTAGTATTATTCTCCTCATGTTGATCGGTGGTCGTTCCTATTCCGATTTCGATTCCTAGCCCAATTTGTAACTGTTCGTTAATCGAATCGAAGATCTCAGCCGAAAGTGCCTCGATATCCTAAGGATGTATGTGTGTGTTTCAAGTGTCAGTGGAAATCTGGTCAACAAGGTAAGCAAGAAGTGGAGGAGGACAGACCAGTGGGACTGGGATCGGCTCGGCCATCATGCTATTATTATTTTTTTCTGTGTGTGACTCCGTCCTTCGACCTTTCGAGTTGGATGTTGTTGAGTCGATCGGCCCAAGCCAGGGAGTGGGCAGTGGGGTGCAAACGGTCAAGATTTATTTCTGGCGAACCCATACATGGACCCCTAGATGTACATACTGCGAGATCTGGAGACCCTGCAGAATCAGATTTCATCCTCAAAATCAAATCAAACTCATGAAAAAAAGATAGACTTCTTTTTTCTTCACTTTGAAACTGACCACATACATAATCAGGGAAGCAAGAAAAGACAAAATAAAAACTTGCATGCAGACCTTGAAGTTCAATGTCGACAAAACTAATCAAACTTTTCATCCAGTTAGTTTTGACAAGTCTGTGATTAACCCTACATCTTAGCTAGCATCCAATGAGTCTACACACATACAATCATCTGAAGGAGATCTTTATTGGAACTTTCAGCCAGCTTGATTCTTATCCAGTTTGATCCCAATTATATCCATCTTAACCTGAGTGAGCTTCACAAACAGAGGGTTCCAAAGGGAACTCATTCAATTTGCCCAATTGGGGAGGTGCAAGAGTGGTCTGCTATACTTCTTTTCAAAAAAGTGTTAGTGTAAGGCCATAGTGGATGACTTCCCGTCAACATCTGCGGGTCTCCCAGTTTCCATTTAAAGCCGAAAAAGCTAGATTTCCCTGCGAAAATCTAGACTTTTTGGGTCTAAATCGAAAACTGCGAGGCTCCCAGATCCGACGGGAAGTCCTCCAGTGTTTTAGCACTATGTATGCCACAGGGTGCTACAGAGCAAAAAAACCAGTGCTGTAGCAGAGCGTAGTGGCCACATTTTGGCAGCTGCAGCAATCAGTGTTAGCATAACACTGCCATCATTTAACATACAAAATCTGTAGTATTACACCGACACTCCAGTAGGACCACCATTGAATGGAGAGAGACTGATTGCACAAACTGTCTTGATATGTCTGAGGAGAATGGTGTCTTCTTTGGCCAACTATTGATCCAAAATAGACATTCAAGAGGCATCAATGTGTAGCCAAATACATTGCAATGGTACAAGATTCATGTTTTATTTTCTGCAAAAAAAACTCAGCAAGCTGGAAACAGTTACAATGACAAACCTCCACTGAAACAGATGTAAACCCTTGTACAGTCACCTACCAGATGTTTATGGCTAGTTTCTTTGGATTACACAACCCTGAATTGAAATCATGAGACTTGTACAAGTGGTATAAAAGAGGTTTCAAAAAATTATTCTGAAAACAAAAATATGAAAAACCAATTTTTGAAATTTGCAAGAAATATTGCAGTTATTGCACTTGTTTCAAATGTTTCAATATTGCTCCAAATGTTAAAATAAAAATTGCAAAGAGTAGTATGGTATGCAAGGAAAATGATGATAGATTAAAAAAAATCAACTCCAGAATTTATTCAGAGCTCAGTATCCAGGTCAAAATGCAAGTTGAATTTGATCACACTGCCTTTTCCACTGTATTTTCCACTGTGAGTCTGTCACACCAGTTTAAAACCATCTGCTATTTATTTATTTTTTTTCAAACTTTTCATTTATTATCATTCCTCCAGAATACCCTACTCCAATTTTCAATTTTTCTTGTTTCATTTAGAGCAATATTAAAACTTCTAAAAACAGTGCAATAACTGTGATCTTTTTTGTAAATTTTAGAAATTAGTTTGTCATATTTTTGTTTCCAGATTTTTTTTTTTTTTTTTTTTTTTTTTGAAACCTGTTTTATACCACTTGCCCAAGTCTCATGACTTCAAGTTGGTGGATTGGGGTTGTGTAATCTAGACAAACTGGCTATAAACATCTGGGAGGTGACCGACCATACATACATCATATGCTGGTAATGTATTCCAGCACCTTGGAAACTGGAAACCCCCTCATATATGTGGGTAATGTAAAATATAGAATTTCAACATTTTGGCACCTATTCATACATGTTCCATACCTATGCTCAGAGGGGATCCAATTTTTTCATAGAGATAACCACTTTAGTAGCATCTGGGGTGCCAGATGCACCAAAATCCAAAGACAAGCCACAAAAATAAATTTGGTTTTTATATTTTTGACTTGAGTTGTGAAACTGGAATTTTAGTAACAAATCACCAATACTTGGGGAGTTTCCTGGGTCCTATTCCCTTGATCAGGTGGCATCAAAGGGATGCATCAAGTGGGCATGAATCAAGGTGAGGGAACAGGATGTCTTGACTTCTTGTGTCTCAAGAGACACCAGTTGCTTGAGTGTTTTTCTGCAGTATTGGTGATTGGATCATTTTTGAATTGAAGATGAAAGTAAAAAGAGTGATTTTGCCTTAAATTATTGGTAGCTGGATTGACCACAAGATTGTCATGTCTGTCAAATATTTTGTCAGTTGTAGATCCTGTATGCACAAAAAGAATTATGTGTTAACCGTCTGCCAACTAGCCCACATTTTTTTCCCTTTCCCCACTAGTTTGATGGGGAAGGGGATGAAGAATTTATCTTAAAAGTAGGTGCATGGTTGGTCAGATATTGGAGGACTTCCCATTGGATCTGGGACCCCTGAAGTTTGCGGTTTAGACCTGAAAAGTCTAGATTTTTGAAGGGAAATCTAACTTTTGCGGCTCTGAATTGAAACTGGGAGACCCACAGATGTTGACGGGGAGTCATCCATTGCACTGTAGATTTGTTGGGAAAAAAAGCCTGCAACCCAAATGGGCGATAAGTTGTTGGCAAAGGGGGTTTCAAAGAATACAAAACACCACTCTCCTCAAGCCAACATCTTGGTTTCTGGCAATTCTGCGTCAAAATGGTGGAGACTGAGGCGCGAATTGAGGGACTTTTTGAGTTTGGTAACTGGTTTCAAATGGACCCGGCGCTGTCCGGCGTTTCCTCGAGACGCTCTCCGTGCGTCATCTTTATGTCATGCAGGAGTTTTTATTTACAGTTCTTGAAAAGCCCATCTCTGAATCAGCTGATTGGATTCAATGCCCACCAGCTCAACCAATTAGGTTCTTAAAATTTTGCTTGCTCAACTTTGACTCTGCGGACCGTTCCGACAAATGCGAGAGTGACTCCAAGAGCGCCCTACCCAATGCTCAGCCTCTAGCCTTGGCAGGGATATTGGTCCTGTTGATCATGCTCCAAGTAAACCTTTTCTCCCAGAATTGCGAGAATGTTTTGGGTTCATTTCCGTCAAACATAAATACATACCCTTGACTTGCTCTTTGTTCTAGACTAACAATCTGTGCTTGCCCCCAAAATCAAACCAACCAAGTAAAAGATAAAATAGAAAGATGTAACTTTCAAGAATCAGAAAGGAAACTGAACACTTAGCCATTAGATGCTTTTTTGAACATAGAAAATCGGTTTAAAAAGAAATGTTTTCGGTTGAATTGTGTTAACAAAATAACTTAGATCATAGATGCCAAAAATCTCTCATGAGGAAAAAAACAATCCAGGTTTTTGGTAAATTTTTCTCATTTCTTACCTAGCCTTGCCACCTCCCTGTTTTGTTTTCGCCATCATCCCGATGTCGAAAAAAGAAAAAAGCAAATCACATTTATTCGGCTTTCCCGCTAGTTTCATCAATGAAAATCATTCAAACATGTATATTCATTTCTAGTCCTGGTACTTACCATTTTTGTGGCCCATGTCTATTCGGTCAAGGGGTTGAACGTAACTTGCAAGTGGATCATGACATCACAAGGGTTGACTGCGATCCGATGTACCATCCAGACACAGGATATTCATCCCAGAGGCTCAGCCGTTTGTAATTGACGCATTTAGGCCTGAATAGAGGATCCTAGGTTCTTTGAAGGGAAAATATAAATAAGGGCCGCTTTGATCGCGTTTAAACTAGTGATGAGAAGCTCATTTCATATATTTTTATTTGCTCTACTGGAAAGCGAGCATGTCTTGGGGAGCTATGATAGCTGGTCTCTTAATCCTGTGTGAAATTTGTATAACATGTAGCGCTATAGATGACTACGCAGAATTTGTTCAGGAGTTCAATTGGCATGATCCACCCAAGTTGGATGACATTCTGAATCCCTTAGAGACTTCCCAAATCCAAGTTTCACATTCCATCCTTCCCGATTCAACCACTCCACTTGCATCGGCTAGCTACTCAGCACTGCACCACTCAAAAGCGAGCAACGATGCCACTTCAAATTTAAGCACCAATCATTTTAATCCAGATCACAGCTTTCGCGACAGCTTTGAACGATTCTACCATGGCAAGAGTATTGTGAACAACAATGTGACGCCAGACTCAGAGGCTAATTGGTGGAAAGATTTTGAGGGAACTTTTGGAGAACATCATCAGAACAGTCTAACTTTCCCTAGCACATCTACATTACATCAAACTATTCAGGAAAATCATACAGAACCTGAGTATCTACCATATATTCAGCCAGAAGAGATTATAGAACCAACAGACTACAACCCAACTGGCCCATATGAAGTGACAGAAATGCATAAAATGGAGTCAGTGATGAATCCCACACTTTCAATGCTCTATAACTTGAACTATCCCCAAAGAAAAGATGATGTTCCTTTTTACATTTCTTCAGATGAACCATTTCATGAGCATGAAATGATCTCTAAAAATCTCCTGAACAATGGCCTATCAACCAAATTCAACAACCCAATGGCTTCCAACTATCAAATTGGTGAACATCCTTCTCTTCAGTACAATTTGATTCATAATCCATTGAACCAATATCAGAACCAAGATTTATCAAATTTGGAAAGACCTCCTTGTAGAGATTTCTTTCCCCAAGACCTACATCAATCCCAAGATGGAATCATTTTAAATCAAATCAATTCATATGAAGCCAATAAAATTTCCACTACTTCTTGTGATCATTCACTTCCAGGGTTGGTGTCAAAAAATTCTGAAACACCTTTCAAAAAACTCAAATTTGATGCTGGAGTATTTCAAATTGAAAGTAAATCTGAACAAGATAAATCAATAATTGAAACCTTTATTTCAATCATTGATGAAGAAGAAGGAAATACATTATTGATTGATGAAAGATATCCAGATAAAGCTTACAAAACCTTTCTAAGACCACATTCTTGTAAAATATCTCAATCCAGATCCAAAACAATTGAAAATGATCTGGAGAAAGATAAAATCTATAGCAAACAAAAATTCAGAAGAAGAAAATCCATGCAGGAGTCATATGAAACGTTTTGGCTTCTAAGAGATCTTTGGTCAAAGTACTTTGAAGAGAAATGTGGTATCAAGTTTCAAGATATTGATATCAAATCTCATGGAAGTTTTAGAATAAGTCATGTCATGGATCATTTCCTTTTGTTTCTTTTTTATGTTGATATGATTACTTCCATCATTGTGAAAGTTGATAAAAAAGCATCAGATCAGCAGGGGAATCTGAATATTTGTGATAATGCAGAAAAAATAAAGAATGCTGCAAGGAAGTTTAAAACAATCTTTCAAATTTTATATGAATCTCCAAGAAAGAGAAAATACCCAATTGATGAGGGATCACATCAAAATGTCTATAAGGTTACCCCAGATGAGGATAAGAAATTGGTCAAAGTTAGATTTTTCAAATGTAGAACATTGGAGTTGATATGGGTGATCATTGAAAATTGGATTGTGCTGGATAATGAACAAAGTTTGTTCCAAATTATATTTAGGCATACCAATAGAAAGTATTCTAAACCTTTCTTTGATGATGTTTTCAAATATTCTATTGAAAAATTGAATGAAAGAATCAAAACTAATTCCAACTCTTTATAATTGTTTGTGCTTTACTTGACATCCAAATATCTACTCTTTTTTCCTAGTTAGTAAAGGAGTCAATTTCTTCTGTATTTTTTTGAAACCCATTTGCATCTGCAAAATTTTAATCAATACTTGAACTCAGCCTTGCCCCCCCCCCCCTCAAGTCCTAGCCCAGTAGATATTCTTGGAACACCTATCTGCTGCTGCGCTGGGTATTTTATCTCTTCATTCTTGCATATCTTCCTTATCATTCTCTTGTATTGTCTCCTAACTTCAAATTTGAATTACTGAGATTTCCTTGAACCATCTGTCTTCTACCATGCCAGCAATCAAACCTTTTCACTTTCAGATGTTTCTAAGACTTCCCATTAAATAGCAGTGAAGAGTCATAGGATTTAGTGAAAATTTCATTCAGTGACTTTTGTAGCTCTAAACTTAATCCATATTGAAATTTACAATCTTTCTCAGATACCCAATTTATATTATTGGAGTGGAACCTGGGACAGTTTCAGGGTTATTAGCCTGCCTTTCATCAAATCTTCATTGGAAAGAGATGACCCCATGCAACCATAAAATTGTGTCCAGATGCACTTGTATAGATCTCATGCTGATTCTCATTTCTTAGTGATAATTCATTGTTTGATTGTAATCACAAATTATGATTAATATGTTGTTTTACTCAGATATTGATGATTGTCATATTGCTCACAAGAGTTCGAGAGAAAGCACAAAAGAGGAAAATAGACAAAGGCCTCAGAAAAAAAAATAGATTTGATTGAATTAGGGGGTTTCGAAAATAAAAGAGAATAGTAGTGGAATCAAGCTGAGAGAAAATGTTATCGATGTGAATTGAAAAATGAAACTATTCATCCCAAACTTCCGCAAGGTCAGAGTCGGGCGGTGCAGAGCCGACCACACCGGGGTCGGTGGCGTTGACCAGGGTTGAGTTATCGAGGGAGCCCGTGGGAATGAGATGAGGTAAAGAGGAAGGGTCGGTGGAAAGTCCAGCGGCATCCGCGGCTATTGGATCGAGCGGACTTTCCAAAGGAGAGGAAGACAATGCCTGTCCTTTTACAGCAGGGGAAACGAAGGAGTTGGTCGTGTTGACTGGCTTTTTCAGTGTGACTGATCTCGACTGGGCATCATTCGCAACATCAACTTGAGCCTCTTGAGAGACGGCCTGACGGTATTTTTCGATGGCTCTAAGAAGAGCAATTGAAGGCTTGGACCCCTCTTTGGTTTTGAGATGGTTGACCACCGCAGTCAGATCTGGGGCCGTAATATCTTCATCAAGAGTTTGTGTGACTTCGATAGGGGCCACCGCTGCCAGGGTGGTTGTAGGAGACACCGGGTCGATGAGGTTTGCACGATCGTCTGACGCGGGTGAATCCGGTCCGGATGAATTTCCCGAGGAATCAGGAATTATTTGATTCTGAATCTGTTGAGGCAGTACCTGGCTAAGAGTATCAGAGGCGGGGTCACCGGTCGTCTCTAGCGAGTCAGGCAACGTAGTTCGGTTGACTCCGTCTGAGGTCCATGATGCGCGAGATTTCTTTGTGGGTTTTCCACCGCTAGGGGGTTGAGATTGGTATGCGGACGGGTCAATGCTGTCCTGGTTGGCAGATGCATCGTCTGACTCGAATATAGGATTCCAATCACCATCATCCTGACGTGCTCTTTTCAAATTACGAGAAGGGGTCGAAAATTCTATAGTCTCTGTGGTTCCTTTCGATGGACTGGGCGCGACTGAACGTGCATCGGAAACGGTAGCTATAAAAAAGAAGCTGAATAAGTCTCTAATCATGTGCATCAAATCAGATACTAGTCTGACTCACCACCAAGGACCAAAGCACCAGCAACTAAAGCAAAGCGCATTTTTTTGATAGTGGTATTTGGTAAGAGGGAAGTGCTTTGAATTCTAGGGAATATTGGTGGACGTTGGGGGTAAGTGATCTGATGGTTACTTGTAGCGATCTGATGGTAAGTGATCTGGAAATAGTGTGTGGAGGATGGGATAGATAATGACCCGTTATGTCGCCTCGATTTATAGAATTTTTGAGGCAGCACAACGTGTGTGTCAACCGCCCTCCCTCGCCATCCTTTCTCGCGAAGGGGGATGGCTGAACGGCAAATTCCCTGATAAAGGCTGACTTTAAACCACACAGTCACACTTCAGTCCAACTAAAAGAAGGCTGTTCAAAACCAGCATGCGGATAGGATTGCAAAGTTTGTCTAGTCCGATTCGAATTAACGAGGGCTAGAAGCTGGTCGGCGTTCGAGATGGCTTACCACAGGCACATCGGAATCCGGACCAGAGAGAAAGTAGGGAGGCATCTCAAATGGCTGGTCAATGGGTCAACGCGGTCTCGAACGATCCCATCCACCACGATGTGCTTGACCAGATAGCTCTTCGTCGTGGTTGAGGTCAAGGTATCATAATTAGAAGGAATAGCAGTTATGTGTCTGGTTTGGTTACCTATCATGATTTAGGATCTCCGGCAAAAAACTTGCCCCCCAAGTCCAATGCAAAGCTTACAACGTCTACATTCGCGGTGTGCCCTTGCCACTCGCGGGAGGTGCCCGCAGGGCCTGTCTATCCCTCCAGCCTAGATTCCTCCAATCTTGTCTTCAGGCGATGGGTTTGAGGTCCATTGGAGAGCCCCGGCTACTTGGTGGCACGGGCACGCCGAAGTGCAAATTGGACGTGCGACGCGTCGACTTTCTATAGGAGTTGAGAAGTGTTCTGTGGCACCAGAAATCTTAGAGCTCCATCCGGATAATATCATAGTCAACATGAGACCCGCCGCCGACCACTTCGCATGAACACTGAGCGCAAATCACATGTTCCTGTTTTCTCTCGAGTATGCCAACCCCCTAGTCTAGATAGATATCTCTTTCATTCTGACTCCTACAGTGGTTCTCGACAGACTTCTTGTAATGCTGCTGGCTTGCAGGCCACGGGTCGGCGCACGGATCTGTTCTGCCATTGCTTGCCCTGAAGAAGGGCGGCTGCCCAGCACTTATACCTCACGAGCTCTATAAATGCTGGGGTTGAGAATGCGTTTGGGACGATTCCTTTCCCCTTATCCATCCACATCACCAAACCATTCTGTCAGGCTACTTAATCTGTAATCATCACAAAGGCTTTCCAGCGGTACATCTAGCTAATTGAACCTATCCTAACTTTATTTCCACTCCTTCCTTCTCAACAACAAAACCCAACCGATACTATCAAAATGCGTTTCGCTTTAGTTGCTGGAGCTTTGGTACTTGGTGGTAAGTTCGACAAGCTTTTGTTTTGATCCACATTACATGACCTTAGACCAGAAGCTCACTCGACTTCTGTTTCCATCCAGCCACCGTTACTGAAGCGCGTTCAATCGCACCTAGTCCTTCGAAAAGAACCGCAGAGAAAATCGAGTTTTCCACCCCTTCTCGCAATTTGAAAAGAGCACGTCACGATGATGGTGATTGGAATCCGGCCACCGAGGCCGATGACGCGCCCTCCAACCAAGACAGCATGGACCCGTCAGCATACCAATCCAAAACCCCCAGCGGCGGAAAAAGTGCCAAGAAATCTCACAAAGCTTCCAAGGATCACAAATCGTCGAATTCGGACGGAGTCAATCGATCTGCCTTGCCCGACTCACTGGCGATGACCGCAGACCCAGTCGCTGATACTCTTAGCAAGAAATTGCCTCAAGACATCCAGTATCAAATCATCCCAGTTGCCTCAGGAAACTCATCCGGAAAAGATTCCTCCGCCTCGGACGAACGTGCATATATCATCAAACCGGTGTCTCCAACGGCCATGTTGGCAGCGGCCGAGCCTACCGAAGTGAAACAAACCCTCGACGGAGTGACGCCCACCCCAGATCTTAATGCGGTTGTCGACCATCTCAAAACCAAGGAGGAGTCTAAGCCGGCACTTGCCCTTCTTAGAGCTATCGAGAAATACCGTCTGGCCGTCTCTCAAGAAGCCCCTGATGATGCCAACGGTTCTCAGTCCAGATCAGCCACTCTTAAGAAGCCAGCCAACATGGCCAACTCCGTCCTTCACCCCGTTGTCAAAGGACAGAAGTTGCCTTCACCCTTAGGAGACACGCTCGATTCGATTCCCGGCGATGCCGCTGGTCTTCCCACCGACCCTTCTCCGCTACCCAGTTTCAACCCCGCGGACTCCCTCGATAACACTCCCTTAGCCAACGTCGCCGATTCCAATGTACTTAACTCTGCACCCTCAGACTCTAACTCCGAGGCCGCTTGGGACCAATAGCCTCGTTTCCCATTCCTCATCCGCTGCGCTTTCTCTCATCTTGTTTCCGCTCTCACCTTTTGTTTTCAAGCCCCCTAATTCAATTTAACTTAATGTTTTGGAGACCTCTAGCTATTTCCCTCTTTCCTACCTCCTCTTAACCTTTGTGATCAATCTGACCAATATGAATACCTGACTCACGTTTACTGCAATCTAACCTAGCTCTTGAATTTGAGTAGGCTCCCACTAAACAAATGAATTGTGACTGTCAACTTGGGCAAGATTTGAGTGATAATAAGAATGCGAGACAGAAAAGGATGCATGCATGGAAAATACCATGATGGTAATCATTCTTCTATTCCCTATTTCGCAATCGTCCATTGTAGTTCTGAGTAAAACATAAGATTGAATTCCTTCAAAAAGGAAAGATTCATTTTGAACCCTCTTGAACCTACTATAAGCGCATCATGCTTTAGACTTAAGGGGGTGAAACAGCCGAGATGGTAGTCAGATTTAACCTTATGTTTTCCCATAGGGAGAATGGACTAGATAATGCGAGCATCATCTGACATAAGTTCCGGTTGATTTTTCATGGTGATGTGGTTTCCGATTTGAAAAATCCAAACCTCAAATTGGGCCACAACTAAACACTTTGGGTGAGATATACCACTTGAATAACTTGTCATTTATTAGAGATAAGAAAAAAAAAATCTCCTTTGTCTTGTTTGAGCAAGTATTCCTGTGAACAATCAAATAAGATATCATCCAAAAAATTGTAGCCAGATCTAACCTTTTGTTTTCCCATAGGGAGAATGGACTAGATCATTTGAACATAATCTCACATGAGTTCCAGTTGAGTTTGCAATCTGAAAATTACAAACCTCAAATTGGGCCACTTTGAGTGAGAGATAACACTTGAGAAGCTTTTCATTTATTAGAGATAAGAAAAAAACAATGCTCCTTTGTCTTGCTTGAGTAAGTATTCCTTTGAACAATCAAATAACATATCACCCAAAAAAAACTTTGCAGAATGAAATGTTAGTTTTACAATTTTCTAAAGAACTAGATCTTTCCAAATTGAATAGTTAATTGATGTTGATAATGGTAATTACTCTCCCAATTGCCTCGACAATGCTGGGTTCAATTTCTTGTATTCAGTTACCTAGATTATCAAAATTTACCTATGTCCAAATGATACGCCGCCGCCGCCGCCGCAGCAGCAGTTGCTCTTCATGTGTCCATGCGTGCTTCAATGCAGTACGTTTCAACCAGCAATTCAAGTGATGTTACAATTACAATTAAGTTATTGAATGTAGTGATGACCTTATGGAGGCAACAATTCCAGGCGAGTTTGATTTCTGTAACTTTAAGGTCCAGCTTCTCCATATACAATGCAGCTTGTATTCCAGCTCACAGTTATCAGTCCCTATCTACATACAAAAAAGCATTGCAGCTGATCACTGGGTGGGGAATCTGTCCAATTTGTATGCAGGCCAGAACTTTGTGATTAGGTTAGCTATTCTTGACAGAAAGAAAGTGCTGGCATTACGTAGTAATGATCCACACTTAACCCGATGGATCCGATCGAGGTAGTATTTTTACTCATATGAATGTTTCTCAAAAGGGACCGGCAAAGCTGGAGCAGGCCTTAGTGCGCCTAAACCTTGTTCCCTTCAGTTCATTACCTCGCTTTCAAGGGGAAAGCAGATTATACAATCGAGCTGTGCAGCAGCATCGCTTTGGCTCCTCTCGTAGGTCTTTTTGAGTTGTATTTTTCCTATTTGATACCAGCAGCCATTCGTAATGTGATTTTTAAATTGCCTAAATGTACAAGTTGCAACGAAGAAGAAGAAATGACCACAGGGAAGATAGATTTTTGCAGAATGTCAAAATAATGGAACAATACTTCATGGATCAATTGGATTCTCAACTTACTCTCTTGACTTCGAAGAACCTACATGCAAATACAGTGCGACAAGATCAACACTCCTTATCTTGTCGTAAATAGGACTAAAAGTGAGTAGAGGACAAACCTTTTGAGATAAAACACTTGCCATGCTGTGACTCCTAAGACCATTGCTGTTTGAACTAATGACCACCACTTCACTCGATCGTTTGTTGATTCGGCAGCTAGAAAAAAAAAACACGGAAAGGAAGTTAGTATCCAATGATTCAAAAACAGTTGGTGATGAAATGCAAGGTGGAAGACAGAACAAGCGCTTGGAACTACGCTTACTGTTCCGGTGCAGTTTCTCTCGGACTACGATGTATTGTTGTTCCTCCTTAACGGCCTCCAGGGCGCTGGCCAGATGTTTAATTTCAAGCTCGATAGGCAACATTTTAGCTTCAAGGTTTTAAAACGAAGCGCAAGTCAATCAGCGTATTCGATCAAACAAGTCGTACACTGAGAAAATGGGATGGGCCTACCATCGTCTTCAACATACATAACCCCATGTACATTGAAGCTGACCGTCTTGCTTGAAACTGTACTCATCGCATTGCTGAAACAGTACTCGTGCTTTCCACCCTGGGTCGCTGTGAAAGTGAATGTTCCTGTGTCTCGTTTGATTACGTTCCATAGATGGTTGCCTTGTGGATCATTAAGCCAAAAGTCGATGTCCAGATGTCCTCCGCCGGCCACTTGAAATGTTATTGTCATCTAATCATCAAGTTTTTTTTTGTACACAAAAATTGATCACACTTGCATCAGCCCCATCACCAGTTTGATTTATAGTTATTTCGATCAGATGGAAAATTGACACTGAAAATTGCGACAAACCTTGTCGTCAACGTGAAGATCTTCAAAAAAGCAGGTTACGTGTCCTGATGGGATATCGATCGTGTGAGTGAGGACGCTTGCCGATAGTAGGAGAGACCAGAGGAATAATGCTGTCCGTGAGTTCTTGATTAGTTTTGCCCATGATGAACGCAAGTTTTGTTGATTTTGCAGATGCATGATGGTGATGTTTCTCGAGAAAGTGGGTTGGTTGATGATGACGAGAGGCTTCTCGGTGGTGAAGCTGTTACACTCGGCGGTTGATTCGGGGACAACGGTTGTTCGGTGGGTCCAGTACAACTATGGCCTGACACGGCCCGTGACTATGTGCTTATAGAGGTCGTTCACTTCGACTTGGGACTTCCTTTGCCTACATAGGGCCACACAAAAGCCAACTCATTCATCAAACCAATGCCTCACACAGTAAGCAAAGGAATACACTCAAAACAGAAAAACCATCAAACATTCCAAGATTGTGTAGAGCATTGATCACCAAGACCCAGGAAGGATGGACTATTGGCCAATCCTACTATCATTGAACAGTATCTTGTGTGCTCTTACATTTTTTTGAAAATTGAAATTATCAGTATTTAAAAAGCATTAATGATCAAAAACTACCACTTGTTATATGAGATCATCAAAAATGAAAAAAACCTTCATAAATTCAACAATTATTACATAAGCTCTTACAAAAGTATGGTTTGACTCTGAGGTTGATATGCAAAAAAATGGTGTAAAGTTGTAAGCCGGAGTGACAATACCTCTGAGGACTATATTCAAGTATTCTTATATTGAAATCTTGGACATAAAAGGTGGGTGCTTCAAGAGGAGAGTGCTGTCAACTGCAAAGCAACAACTATATGATAGCTATAAGAAAAAAATAGGAAAAGTGAACTGTATGGCTAATGGAAGAAAGAAACATTGAAGCAGATAGCACATCTTGAGAAATAAATAAAAAAGAAAATTAATATTTGATATTATTCTGGGCAATGATTTCATTAAAATAATTAATTGAGTAGCAAAAAATATCTTCAAAAAATAACTTAGAATACTTTTTATTTTGCTTGTTGAACAAAATATAGTGAAGGTTTTTTGTTTCTTCTTGTTCATACTCAAGCCATTTTTCAATGATTTTCCAAATCATTGAACCTGTTCTACCTTTTGGAAATCCAACCACATTATTTGTTTGCTTTTCAGTAAAAGTCTGTGAAGAATTCTGTAATTCTTGATCAAGTTGATCATGTTTTTGTCTTGAAGAGTTTGAATCTTGAAAAATTGATTGGAAGTACCTTTCAGCACTCTTTATTTTATCTGAATTATCATTCTTTTGGATGCCCTGGTTTGATGATTTTTCTTCTACTTTCACAATGATAGAAGTAATCATATCAACATAAAAAAGGAACAACAAGAACTGATCCACAATTTCTTCCTTTCTCAATTTCTCATGGCTTTGAAATCCAAGATCTTCAAATCTAATCCCAGTTTTTGTGTGATAGAATTGGAACCAGAGACTTCTTTGGGACCAAAACTTTTTGTATGAATCCTTTATCAATTTGCTTCTCCTAGCTTGTTTCAAAACATGAGTTTTGGTGCTTTGGGATGGGTTTGAATCAGTTTGAGTGTCTTGGGAAGCACATAGCTGAAGAAACTTCTTGTAAGCTTCATTGGGCATGCTCTCATCTATCACTAGTGATTTTGTTCTCTTATCAATGAGTGAACTAATTTTGGAAATTTGTTCTCTATCTATATCTGATGATTCATTGTTAATTCTGAATACACCAGAAGTGAATACCAGTGTGTTGAAAGGTCTTTCTGGGTGAGAAAAGGAAATTTCTTGAGGTAGGTGATAAGGAGGCATGGGGATATTTCTCAGATTAATGGAATTGATTAAATCTTGTTGATGTGACCAAGGGTGGGATTCTTCACAAGGAGGTCTTGCCACTCTTGATTCAACTTGCCTCTGACATTGGTTTGATGGACAACTATGTGACATGCAATAACAGGCTGTCTGTTTGCTTATTTGGTTGTTTGAAACCACCTTATTCACAATAGTCTTTGGTTTTCTGCTTAATGAAATACTGTGCAGATGACACATGGAGCTCATTTTACCACTGTGAAACACTTCATCTGGACAACCACATGAATGAGAAAAGTTCATCTTTTGAAATCTTTTCAAATGATTAATGTTTGAAGGTGTTGAATTCACAAATTTATTTTTCCCAAAGTTTCCTTTTGATATGACTGGGTTGGGGGTATGATGCATGATTTTCTTGCAACAATGCATTCCCAATCTAGCAAATACTTGTTTTGGACATTGGTTTAATTGAAAATCTTGTGCACCATGTTTGGAAGAAGTTTGTATATCAATTGGGTTTGATGTTGTCTTGTACCGCTTGTTTGTGAGATTGGCTAGATCATTCTCACCACTCATTCTGTGCTTGGAGAGGTACTGTTCCAAACACTTGCAAGAAGGGGTGGAGGATTTTGTGGGAGGATTATTCAATAAATTTAATCTTACATTTGTTAGGTTCATCACTCCAACACTCCCAGATTCTCCGTTCAATTTTACTGTGGTTGGATTGCAGTGCATTGATGATTCAGGCAAGAGATTACTGCAAGAAGGTATGTCTATTCTTGATGAAATTTGTTTTTGACATGGATTCAGTGGATCATTTGGTGAAATATCTTGACAAGAGGGCTGTTTAATAATTTGCTTCCATATCACTCTTTGCCTTTTGTTTTTTGAACCTTTGCAAAGATAAGTCTCACAGTTCATGTGACCTTTTTGCAGAGGTTGAGTTGAAAAATCGGAAGGAACAGAACGTTTTTCCTGCCTTCCTCCCAACTGATGTGTGGTTGGATTGCTGAGAATTGATTTTCTATGTTTCTTGTACGGTGGCAATCTGAGGCCTCGGTAAAATTCCGGGATGGATGTTTGCAATGATGATGATGGTGTCGGTGATGAACTTGCAAGATTCCTCTGGTTCTCTGGACATTTTTCTGCAGTATCCTCGTAAATATTCCACCAAGGATCTGGGATTTCCCTTACTTCCTGTTTATCTTTCTCTGGTAAAAAATTCTCAAAAGAATGAGAGTGGCTAGGTTCATGAGTTAGAGAATGACCGTTCCCGGTTCCTATAATGATATTTCGATCATTTTTTGCTTGTGAGTTTTGCGATTCTCGGTAGTTGGTCGATGCAAGGGTACTCGTCCCTTCGGCAACGCCAGAATGAGGATCCGAAGGCTCGACGGGCCGAAGAATATCGTCCAAATTGAGAGGCTCATGCCAAAAGAATTCCTGACTGAAATCAATTTCATCAAAAGCCCTACAAGTCAAACAAATTTCACAGAGCAGTAAGAGTCTTCTGAACAAATTGCCCCAATGCATCATTGATGTCTGCAGTCTATGAAATCATCAAGATTAGACCTAAGACAACGGCATGTTCTTCATAGATTGCTGGCCCAATAATTGTAATGGCTTGAGCAACGCCTTGCCAGTCGTACGTTGAACCTACGTCCACTATTTGATTTCAATAAAGCAAAGGTTATGTATGTATTCTTATCCAAACGTGTATCAGACGCAGCAACATTCGGCTTCCTCCAGTGCATCCGTCAGTTCGCCGGCGGGCCCGAAGCTCTCGCAGCTTTGCAGAAATTGGAGTTATCACATGTCCCACTCCAGTGCCAAGTGGGTACCGCGCTGGGTAGAATATCACGTGCACTGTTGATCAGAACTGAAACGCACAAGAAGGTATGGATAACCTTGGATAATTTCATTTAGACTCAAGGGAGAATTGGTAAAATCTCAAATGAAACAAACATATTAATGGTTTCAGCCCTCATGATGTCATGATCATTAAATCAAGTCACAACAACATTATGCTGATGTATAAAGCAATTCAAAGATTTCCCAAATATTTGAGTTAGTCTCTTGAGTGAATGTTTCAGGCGTTTGGAAAATATTGGGCTACTAGGCTGGATTCATAATTTGAATTGAGTACAATTGCTGTTAAAATTTAAGCAATTTGGGGACAAGTTGGTGATGCCAATTTCCAAGGTAAGAAAAGTTTTGGAGTAAGTAACCTAGTACATTAGCAAGGATGTAACAGATACAATACTCTGTGTGTATCATAGAGAATTCTGCAAAGCTGCATGGCCAAAAACTCAATTTTTGTATCTCCTTTCAAATACAAGCACATTGGTCAGATAATTTTTTTCATTGGGTTTCAGATAAATGGAGTGATGCATGGCAGATAAATGGCGGATACTGTATTCGGTTCATTGTTGATATTAGTCAAGGAGGCTTAAGTGTCCTCACAATCAGACTTTGAGGATTCTGAATTTACACTTAAAGGAAAAGTACAGTCAGAACTGATGGTTTCTCATTGATAAGTATCCTGCTGTTATAAATAGTCTAAGTACCTGCTGTTAAAGTTGTGGGAACAGAACTAAAGAGCAAAATGAATGTCAATTAAATAATGAATAACAACCAGTTGACATACAAAGGAGATAATGAATTACATGCAAATGAGATAATAAGGAGGGGAAGGGAGAGCAATAATAAGGGAAATTTCAACAATTTTGAATTGCTACATGTTTATAATTAAATTATGTGTTTACTGATCTGAACTTGTGTTCAGTGAATTCTTATAGAATTCCTGTATTATCCTTACTTTTACCACATTGTTACTTGTACAAAGTCTGTGGTGGAAGACAGAGGGAAGGACATATTACTTGCCATTCAATCTATATCTCTTTCAGATGTGGATCTAGACCCAAAAATGTCTGATTCTCATAGGAAAGTCTAGTACTTGAGGCTCCAAGTTAGCTCTCCAAGTTTTCAACTGACCTCAAAAATAAGTCCTCTACAAACCAAAAGTCAGAATTAATTTTGGGACTATGTGTAACTATTTCCAAATTTAGCACTGCAAAATACTGACAAAGCAATATTTTAACATTTAGTTCCAGGAAATCATCATGAATAAACAAGAGTTTGCTGCTGTGATAATCTGAGCCTCAAGATATCATGTGTTTTTAGGTGAAAAGATTTCTCTTTGCATTGCTTTCTGAATGATTGAATTTGAAGGATAAAGAGATTCTTCCAGACTTGGTGGATTACTTCCCAGCAAAATCTACTGGTTTCCCAGTTTTGATTTAGAGCCTCAAAATCTAGATTTTCCTGATAAATTCTAGACTTTTTGGGATGAAATTAGCAACTGGGATGGCCTCAGATCCAACAGGAAGTTTTCCAGTAGATAATCCAATTTTAAAAATATGTATGGAAATGGAAACATCAAAAACAGAAAAATGTGAAAACTGAAAAGATTTGTGAAGGATTTCAGAGTGTTGGAAATTTATAAAAAAAAATCTCCCAAATTTGCAAGCTAACCCAGAGAAAAAAAAAAGGGATCAAAAGTATACTATAGGGATCAAAAGAATGTCCACATCAACTGTGATTATTGGAAATTTGTTGATTAAAATGGGTGATTGAGTAACAAAAAATGTCATTAAAATAAGGTACAGAAAACTTTTTACTGTGCAATCCAAAGAGAATCCTTTGGAGTTCTGCTTCATTTTCAATGAGAATCCATTTTTCAAGTATCACCCAAATCATTTTCACTGTTCTGGATTTGCAAGTACGAGCCACCTGATAATTTCTCTTTTTATTCAACAAATGAGACAGATTTTCAGATTTCTGGATGGGTTTCTGTTTTAAACTTTCTAAGATTGGTTGGAATTGAGTTGCAGCATTCTTTAATGTATCCACATTATTGTGTATTTCCTGAAAGTCTTGATATGATTTTATTTGATCTGATTTCACAATGATGGAAGTGATCATATCTACATAAAAAAGAAATACAATGAACTGATCCACAACATCTTCTATTTTACATTTACCATGGGGCCTAAAATCAAGATCTTGAAATCTTATTCCAGTCTTATCTTGATAGAATTTTGTCCACAGATCCCTTTTTGACCAAAATATTTCACATGATTTTTTCATCAAGTCAAATCTGCTATTGCTTCTTTGGTATTTTTTTTCAATAATTTCTTTTTTGCGATCACTAGTTTTTATTCTAGGTCGAGGCTCTTTAGCAGAACGTAATGATACAAACTTGGCAATTGCTTCATCTGGTTGACTCTCATACATCACTAGTGGTTTTCCCTTATCATCAATTGTTGAAATAATCTTTTGAATTAATGATTTATCAGCCTCTGGTTGATTTTCAATGCTGAATACACTGACATCAAACATGAGTTTTTTAAAAGGTGTTTGCACAATGCTTGAGGTTAATTTTGATTGTGTAGGAATATGATTTGCGTGGATGTTATCTAGATAGGATGGATTGAATTCATGAAACATCATCTCATTTCTGTTATCTAAAAGAGGAATGGATTGCATTTGTAAAGGAATTTTCACCTCTGATAAGGGTTGTTTCTGAAATGGTTCTTGGTTTGATGGATAATTTTGTGAAATATATTTCAAAAAAGGCTGTTTGCTAAGGGAGTTTTTTAGACCAATTGGTTTTCCAATGAGTTTTGCTACCTTGTTTGATGGTTCATCATTCAGATGAGTTTCAGAGATCATTTTATGCTTGAGGGAAGGTTCATCTGAACAGCCGGAAAAATGACACTGTCCGTCTGTTTGAAGATCATTCAATTGATCAATTGTTGACAATGTTGGGCTCATCACTGCCTCTTTTTCACAGGATTTTATCCATTTCATTGTAACTGGACTGTAGGTTGTACGTTCTGTGAATGTTTCTGCTTGCTTAGAGGGCAGAGACTGGGAATTTATGTGAGTCCCCAAAATAGCTAGGTATAATGAAGAAGGTGAAATGGCAAGATTACTAACACTCTGATGATGTTGTTCTGAAGTGCCATCGCAATGATTCCACAAAAACTCTTGGGGACCAATCAAGTTTTGGTTGCCCATGTCAGGCCAAAATTCATCAGAAGCTTCAGCGTTTGTATACAGATGGTGTTGACTACGATCTTCCCAGGATCTTAGAAATGATGTCTGGTCGTTTCTTCTTATTGGTGATTTGAAAGTCTGATGATAGCTAGAGGATGCCAGTGTAGTGGTCACTTCAGGAATGTGTGAATCAGAACGGGGGGAAGTCTCGAAAGGCCGGAGGATATCGTCCAACTGAGGAGGCTGATTCCAGTCGAACTCCCGAGTGAAGTCATAGTCTTGTATTGCATTGGAATTAATACTGATGTTTCCAGATAGGAATAAAAGACCTGCTACCCAAGCAGCCCAAAACATCCTCGTTGTTTATCAAGGAAATGTAAGATAGCGGTACCCTTTCGTGTGGATTACTCACGGGATGGACTTGACTTTATATGTACTCTGGCGCTCCGAGTAGATAGGGTGGCGTGTTTCGAACTTAATCAGTCCCACCTTCTATGTAGACCCTGCGGGGCTGCCCCTTCGGTTCACTCGAGAGGCGTTGTTATGCTCGGGCGTGTTTAGGTCCTAACGTGTCACAAAGATATTGATGGGTTTGTGTCAGTGAATTGCCTATCAGGTGCGCTACAAAACAAAGCGCAGTAAACGTTATGGTGTCACGCTATGAACTGGCAACCTGTTTCTTGACCGACTGAATTTGATGCGTGCCACATTAATATTCGTGCTTTTGAAGAGCAGGTTGTTACAGGAATTAGAATCCAACGAAACCAACAGGTCAGATTGATGAGGATGTCTAAGCGTAACTCGAGGTAGGATTACACTCAAGAAAGCCTCCCGCCAATCAGCCCACAAACTCCAGGACGCCCAGAAGCTCGAATGATGGATGCGAATTGTTAAGAAGTGCTTGCTAACACTTCCATGTGAGATGGGCCCTGGGTATGTGTGCACACGCCTTGCCCACGCAAATGTACCCCAGAGGCATGCTTTCCAAAACATTGCGCTTGCGGCGGAACTTGAACATTTGCTGGTTGGTGGCGACCAGAGCCCAAGCCTCATGGGTTTCACCCAGAGACGAGCTCGACCCTACTCAATCGGGCAGTCCCCACTTGCAAGCTATCACCTAGAGACCCAATAAGAAATCGACGAGTCCTGCATACCAATGAAGCTCATCAGGTTTTCCTTGATGAGTCGAACCCTGTCCATGGCAGCCATACACAGCCTGGTGTTGAGGCCCAGGCCGGCGTCTATTGTCTTACGCCGCGTCCGACTGAAATTTCTTTCAAAACGTCCTTCTTGTGTCCAGCGCCTTGCAGCCCTTCTATATTTCTCCTGTGGTGAAGTACTCTGTATAGACTTATTTGTAATTGTTCACCCTACTCAGACTCAGAAGCAGGCTAGCCCCACAACATCCTTGATAAATAGAAAGCTGCTTGATTCCGCTGATCTCAGCAGTGTGACTTTTCCTGCTTGTCTGTCCATAGTAAATATTCATTTCCTCGCACATAGCATCTGACAGAATTACCAAACATCTTTCCAAACTTTCAACCTTTGCTGATCTGCCCCACTTCAACCACACGCACTTATCATCATGAACTTGATCAAACTCACGACAGCTCTCATCATCAATACGGCTTGCGGTCTCGTGACATCTGAAGTCATCAATTTCTATACCAACGAGATCAGAAGTTTCGGTTGCGACCCATCGGAGGTTGCCCTTTGCATTGTGACCCGGTACACAAGGCCGAATGACCGAAACTCTCGTCCGGATTATTACCTTTGTGAGTCTGATCTTCATTCGGATTTGTAATCATCACTTCTGTTTACAAGTGTGCTCTGTTCCATGACCAAGTGGATACCGCTGTCAGGGTCAAACCGGGCACCTACAATTGCGGTGTGACGACTGCCAAGTGTTGTGGTACCAATTTAAAATATGAGAAGTGGCAGCATGTAAAAGTGAGTGTGACCCTTGTTCACTATTCAAGACATGCACCCAAAGGCACTGAGTCTTATTTTGTCTCTAAAATTCTCACAGGACTCCCAGTGGATGAAAGATCTTACTGAAACCTTCTGCCCGAACAAAGTATATTATGTCGACCCAAAGAAACCAAGAACCCGCCAGTGATTTTGCGCGTCTGGCCTAGTATGCATGCGATCCCGACACCCCAACGAAAAGATCTCAACCTGGATATCTTGTTGTGTACTTTATAGTCGAGCTAGTAGGAACAATCCTCTATCAATCTTTTTTAAGAAAAATTCATGTGTAAAAGCTTGTAAATATCTAAATATTTTGTGGCATACATTTTTTTGGAAGGTTGTCGTACACACTGATCTTCATTCGATCGTCCAAAGCAAGGGAGCCGGCATTGGCCTCATGTTAGACAAGAACCAAGATTCCTTCTTGTGCGATGATAATCGCACTCGGCCAGGAGGAAACCTCCCGGTCGTCGAGACCTTACTGTCACTGACGACTAGGAGCAATCCTCCCGGCCTAAAAGAGCGAGGCAGATGTTAAAATGAATACGCATAGATCGCAGCCAGTGGCTACAGACTCTAGTATTGGATCGCAAACTCTGCAGCAAACTACGCTTGGCAACTCCCAGTCTACAACGCGTCAACAATGGGAAAAACCACCCTTCTGAGGATTTCATCCCCAGGAGCGGTACACCATGTCAGCAAACTCGCTTCCGAGAGTCTTCCTCGCCGGATGATGGAAGTGAATTGATAAAGAGTGCTTACCAGCACTTTCATGTGAGATGGGGCTTGGATGCGTGTACATGTGCGTTTGCAAGTTGCACACGCATCCACCGCCAGTGCTTTCCAAAATATTGCGCTTGTGGAACTTGGTCAGTTGCTGGTTGGTGGAGACTGGAGCCTCAGCTTCATAGGGTTCACCCCGGAGACGCGCTCGGCCAGGAGCTCCAACTTGCAAGCGTGCATATAGAAAGTACTTGAGAAATCGACGAGTCCTACACACTTATGACTCATGAAGCTCATCAGGTATGTGATCTATGAGTCCTTGATGGGTTAAACCCTGTCCATGGTATCCATACGCACAACCTGTTGATGATGCCTCGGCCGGTGTCTCAACAATGTCTTACGCCCCCTCCAACTGATATTTCTTTCCAATCGTGTTTCCTTTCCTTCATTCAGCGCCTTTCAGCCTTTCTCTTTTTCTCCTGTGGTGGAGTAATAGGTATAGAAACCCTGGCTACATCGCGTAGTCCTGTTACAACTTGCTCTTGTAATGTTCACCCTACTCAGATTGAGAAGCAGCCTACATAGCCCCACAACATCCTTGGTTATGATACATAGAAAGCTGCTTGATTCCGCTGATCCCCTAGCCTGGTTCGTCCTGCTTGCCTCTCCACGGTAAATGTTCCTTTTCTCGTATAGAACATCTCGAAGAATTCTCAAGCACCCTTCCAAATACTCAATTCTTGCTGACCTCCTCCACTCCCACTCCAACCATACGCACTCATCATCATGAACTTGATCAAACTCACCATAGCTCTCATGATCAATACGGCTTGCGGTCTCGTGGCAGCTGAAGTCATCAACTTCTATACTAATGAGATCAGAAGTTTCAGTTGTGGCCCATCAGAGGTGGCACTTTGCATTGTGACCCGGTACAAAAAGCCGAATGACCGAAGCTCTCCTCCGGATTATTACCTTAGTGAGCCTTGTCATCACCTCGATTCTAAATCATCAAGTATCTCTACAAGTGCTAACTGGAGTGATTCTTTACTATACGTTATGATCTGCTGCATGTTCAAGTGGATACCGCTGTGAGGGTCAAACCGGGCTTCTACAACTGCGGTGTGACGACTGCCAGATGTTGTGGCGCCAACTTGCAATATCAGAATATGCAGACCGGAGTGAGTGTGCCCCTTGTCCGCCATTCAAGACATGCACCCAAAAGAACTGAGTTTTATTGTGTCTCGAAAATTTTTATAGGACTCCCAGATGATGCAAAATCTGGCTGACACCTTCTGCCCGACGCGAGTATCTTATGTCGAGCCCCCAAAGAAACCAAGAACACGCCAGTGATTCTGCTCGTCCGGCCTTCACATACATCCCACATACCCCCCATCTATCAGATAAGATCCCACCTTAGATTTCTTGTTGTATGCTAGTCGAACCAGTTGGAACAATCCTCTCCAATCATTCTTATGCAAGACTCATATGCATAAGCTTGTAAATATCTCAAATACGTGAAATGCATTTTTCTCTGAAAGGTTATTGTGCCCACTGATCTTCATTCGGTCGCCCAAAGCAACTTAGCAAGGCATTCAGTATCTACCTGTTAGACCAACCAGAGACACGATTCTTTCGTGAATTGGTACAAGAACGAGCGGTTGGAAGTCCTATTTTTTTGGACCCACTCCGAATCTTATTGGCGCCCAGAAGCTAACTATCCTTAATAATAACTCGAGAGAGAAAGACAACGAGACGGATGTGAAAATGAATGCGCATGTATCGTTGCGACACACAGCCCGACGGCGGCTCTAATGAAACATTGGGATCCAGCAATTCTTTGATATTCTTCCCCTTGACCTTGGAGTCGCTAGGGTGGGCCAACCGAACCTACTCAAGGCGACATCGCTCGAAGAAAACAATTTCAGACAATATCGAGACTTCCGATTATTAATAGATTGGCATCTTTCAGTCCATATGGCAACACCGATGATGTTCCAACAACATTATCGGTCTACAAATTGCTACCTGGGGTTAAGTTGTTCACCACACCATTCGGTCGTTTGAGATCAATTTTGGGGGGTTCACCGGCGGTTGTGGTGATAAAGGAGTCGTAATTATGGCTGGGCGAGAGAGGAAAAGAAGCCATGAGAGGGTTTCACCTCACCGGAGTAAAGACGGGCTGTGAATGAGCCAACCCGGTCGACGCGGTGGACACGACGGTCCTCGCGAACTCCAAATGGGCCGGTCACATAGCTTGGAGAGAACCAGTAAGCATAGGAGCACGGAAATAAGGATGAATGTGGCAGCCGCAACGGTTGGTAATGGTGAGGACTAAACTCAGCTTGACGATGGGACCAAGTTGGATGTGGGTGCGGAAGTATTAGTGCTCTTATTAAAACGAGTTCATTAGATCCATTTGGCTTTTTCCCCCTGAAGTGTTTCATTTTCAAACTCAGTGCTATCAGTCTTATAATTTTATTTTACCCTTAGACTAATTTCAAGCTAAAAAACACATAAGTATCGTCAGATGGGTGCCTTGAAGGAACCAATCCCGACCATGGAAGTAGATGGCTACAGCCAACACACATGTACTGAACGACTGTGTTGTCAAGAACCGGGCTCAGATGAGGAAAGAACATTGATTGATATCGACGTGGTTCGAAACATGTCAGTCTCTGCTTTATCTATTCCTTTCTCAATCACATCCGGGAGAACTAAAAGCTTTTTTGTCTCATTCGAAACCCGGGTTTTTGCAGAATTATTGGACTGAGTGATGGTTTAACGGTACCCTTTGGCCTTACTGCGGGACTATCATCTTTGGGCTCCTCAAGGCTTGTCGTTGTCGCTGGAATGGCAGAGGTATATACCAATTTCTTTTATATCTCTGTAGGTATTGGTTCTCTACACAAATCTCATGAAATGTTTTGCACCATTTTAATCGCCAAAGCTGATTTCCGGGGCAATCTCGATGGGAGTCGGAGGATATCTTGCCTCTGAAGCGGACCGGGATCAATTCAGATATCGACAAAGAGTGATTCGAAAGAGAGTCGCAAACTCTTGCTCAAACGCGATGGATGGACGGGTCCAAGAGCTTTTGCAACCCTTTGGTATCAGTCAAGGTCTCTGCGGTATGGTCAGCAATGACTTGTTAAAATTCGAATATCTGAGAACCACCTCCTCTCATCAAGCAAAGCTATCATCAAGCTGGCAGAAGAGCGCACTCGGTTCTCTGATCATGACTATCTTTTCTAAAAAGACGCCTGATTATGACTCAATCTCTCAAGAAAAATCTTCGGATGAGGAAACCGTCCAACTCACGGGATTCGAATCAGAATCTTTAGGTCTAGGTATGACTGAGTTCCTCCTCAAGTTTGGTGAAGGCGTAGAAGAAGTTTCAACATTTCAGATGTACCTCTCCGCATTTACTATCGGGTTTTCTTACTTCATTGGTGGTCTAATTCCTATGGTAAATGCCTTTGCTTGTCTTCTTTTCTTTTTGGAAAGCTCAATGGCTAACGGCTATAACTTATTGATATTTTCTGATTATCAACAGGCGCCCTACTTCTTCATCGAGAAAGCAAACACCGCCCTATTCTGGAGCATCGGTGTGATGGTTTTAACTTTGTTGGTCTTTGGATCGCTGAAGGTAAATACAGATAAAAATAATCGAACAACGAAGTGGAATTGATGTTTAAGCCGACTGTTATGAATTTTCTTTCTTTTCCGCACAGGCTTACTTCACCGGTGCCAGGATCGGCTTCATAGGATATCTGAAAGGAAGTTTATCCACGATTGTCGTGGGTGGCGGAGCGGCGGCTGCCAGCTATTGGGTTGTGAAACTACTGGACGTCAAGGATTAAACAGGGGATCATGAATGATACCCCACTTCAGATTTTGATCCGAAATGGGGAGCTTGGGTTTGCGTACTCTGTTTTCAGAGGACCTCAGTTAGTTTAATCGTTCAAAAGATAATATCAATAATTAATCGTAATAAGCAACATGTTCAACACCCAGTCTTTTTGCCTTGGTTGCCAATTAAAACAACTGTCCTTTTTTGACAATGTTTGAAGTGGTTCTCGACTATTTGGCCTTATGGTCAAGCATATTCACAGTATGGTAATTCCTGCTCTGGCCACACCCTCTGCCTCTTGGGGGGTTTGGATGATTGTAACTTTTTTCAAACGAAAAAACGACAGTATATATTTGAAGACTCAAGTCAAGTCAAAAAATTCGATTGATTTTGGAAAAATGTGACAGTCCAGTCCACACAATCAAAGTGAAATCAAGCAATGCCTCAAGGAAGACCCCCACCCTCTCTCAAAGTAACAAGTCACCGATCAGCGGACTGCTTCTAATGTCTCTATAGAGGAAACCGAATTGCCTCGAATAACCTACACAAGACAAACAACACAATCGATCCGAGTGACGAGAGAATTCATTGTATAAAAAAAAGTATAAGAGATAGAGTAGTGTGTCAATAATCAAATCAACAAGACAAACGGGGAGGGAAACATAATAACAATCATCAACGCTTACGATGAGACCCATCTTGCGTTTCTCGCCTCCCTCTAGACTTTCTTCTTGCGCTTCATCGAGAACTAGGTTCAGAAATATGTCAAAACCTCGCAGAACTCCTGATAACTTTCGATTCCCTTGAAGGTTTAAAAATAATCGTTTGTCCATATACTTCGGTTTTTTTTTTGTGGTTATTATCAAAGAGCCGTCACAAGCAAAGAGAAAGAAAGCCTTGCGTTAGTACTTCTCAACTTTGCCGTAAAGAGAGAGATGAGATATTGAATGATCTGAGGGAGTGAGTTTGACCGACCTTCTTTAGTTCAGGTTGAGCGGCTTTGGACATCTTTCGAGGAAAGATCGGGTAAAAAAGCGTCTGATTAGGTAAGTAATGGGCAAGAATAGTAGATAGTCAGTTTGAGAACGGCGCTAGAGTAAAAAAATCGAAATATGGGAGGAGACCTACTCGTTGGGGGAGTTATCCTTGGGTAGTTGTTGGTCGCTCTTGGGTCGGTCAGTCGGAACTCGGCGTTGGCAGCCGGACGCGTGGTGAGCCACTAAGTACGGGTCCCCGGTCCCCTTTTGTCGCTCAGCCGCTCCGAATCCAGGCTGCGCCCCCGATTCAGCCCTCCCCGGAAATTGGGTGGGTAGCTGGTGCAAGGCTTCTGAAGATCCTATCCAAAGACATACTTATGAATTTCTTTTTCTCTTTCTCTTTCTAATTTTCTTATATGTTTGGTTGAACTGCCGCAAACACATCTCACATCATTTTTATTTCAATTTTCCTATCTTGATTGAACATCTAAAAAAATGCTGAGATCCACAATTTTACATCCTTAAGGGAAAAAACCCATTTCTGAGCCAAGAAAACACTTGACCCCCCCCCCCCCCTGCAACACTTATATGTTGAACTACCCTGTGGATTTTTGGGTGTTTCTAGATCCCCCTTCTAAATATCGACACCACCACTTGCAAAAACACCTGAGATTTTTTGTTTGGTGAACATCTCATAGCCCCCTTTTACCTCTGATTTTCATAAGCCTGAGAGTCATTCTGGAGCACACTGGATTTGATGGCTTGTTTCTTGTTCTGATTTCTGTGCTTTTTTGTCTAGAAGGGGAGGTTTTCTTTTTCTTGTTTGTCATGAAAAATAATGCTTATATTTTCAAAACAGTCAAACTATGCAGTTAATAAAAATACTTATGGGACATGATTTTTCAAGCCAACAAGTCATTTTTTGCACCAGAATTTTGAGGTTTTATGAATATAATATTAAAAACACACAAATTAGGGGGTATCAAATATAACGAAATTCACCTCTTTTTAATTGACTGGTTTTGAGAAATCCACACTTACCAAATCCAACTTTGCAGTGACCAAATAACCTACTTCTTTTGTCAGGGGCATATCAAATATAGCCTAAAATCAACCCATTTTTTTAGCCCAAAATTCCTGAATTTCAAATTTAAAATTCAATTTCAAATTTCAACCATCCCCCATCCTCCACGATTCCCTCAATCCTCCACGATTCCCCACATCCTCCACGATTCAAACCCCACTCACCCCACGGCTTCTTCAAAATCTCCTCTTAACTCACCCCTGCAAATCACTTGTCATCAAACCAACTCTGATCAATTGATTAGTTCAAGGTATTTATCTTCAAATGAACTAAATTATATTTTAATGGCCTCACGAATTTGTTATTTTTCCACTACTTGCACCCAACAGATGCCACCAAAAAAAGCTTCCAGAATCCCAAACATATGATCGCTTTGAACCCCTCCAAAGAAGAAGAGGTCCACTCCAAAAAAAATACACGATCAAAGAAGAACGATGATGAACTTGGTTCATCCCAAGGTCATCTAAAAATAGAGGACTATGAAATCATCATCAACTGGCTCAGAGACAAGAAAAACTATGTTGCGTGTTTTGGCGATGGGAAGGCTCCTGCGATTGGACAACAACCACTTGGAAAATTGAAAGAGCCTTCATCCTGATATGAATCTGATTACTATACTAATTAATCATTGAAGTTGTAAAATGTTTTATTTACTGAGAAATTCCATGCAAATACACTAGGGGGTTTCAAAATTACCCCAGGACCTTGTGCAGGTTCCAAAACCCAGGAAAAAGTTTCCTCCTGGAGGGACTCCTGCCTAGGAAGAGCCTCTATGAGGGTTGTTCCAGGAGCAGGAATCTGCAGGAATTGTGTCCAAACCCCCCCCCCTAAACTTGGATTTAAGGGTACACCCAGAACCCACAGGTCATATAATCTTTCCCCTAAAAGCCCCCCACACACCCACATGCCCGCCCAAGAGTATCACATCCACCTTGCCAACTAAGGCAAACAGCCTGCCAACCTATTGTTTTTTTTGGTGGGGCCACCATTGATCCCATCAGTGTCCCAAGAGGGCATACAAACAAGCATTAGGAGCAATGACAAGTCCTTTTTTTTGGGTTGGTAATGAGATAGGAAAAAAATGGATTGTACCAAAAATCATTGGTGGACCACAGGCCCACAGCTCAACCAAATCCCAGTGGGCCACTATGACTAGGCAGACTTGTGGTTAGAAAAATATGTTGGGGGGTTCCGTTATTATGTTTGAGGCATTTGGGACCCTGTTTGGCAAGGGATGAAACTTGCACTAAGTCACGGCAAAAGGGGTTGTATTGGTTACAACCCCCCACAATAACGTCGCCCCAAGGCGACCAATAGAAGATTGGTCTCCTTGACCAATTTTATATTGGCCAGGCCCACCAATACATTTTTCCTTTGTTCTAATGTATTGGTGAGCCCAACTGATATAAAATTGGTCAATCAGACCAATCTCATATCGGTCACCTCCAGGTGACCTTATTGCAGGGGGTTGTAAATGATACAGCCCCTTTCAAAGTGAGTATCTGACATTTTCCTGGTCTTGGACTTCTGGGGAAAAGTCTGGAGTTTCCATAAGGCGGGGCTTCAAAGTAGAACCCGCAGAAGTTCCTTTTTGGCAGGGGTTTTTTTTTCTGGGATTTGAACCTGTGCAAGGTCCTGGGGAAATTTTGAAACCCGCTACTGAATTGAAATGGTGACAGAAAAACACCCTGTAAAACTCCCTCCTCTGTTGGGGTTCACAAGAACATGTCACACAGCCACAGTTGATTAAGTAATCACACTCAAGAATTGCATTTAATTTGATACCATTTTGATCTACCTAGATGGCAGAGGACTCCCTCTTGTTGAAATTTTGTTCTTTTTACTTAGTCCACTCTCACTCTTCATCAATAATATATAGGATCTAAATTTTCATCAATCTGATTTCTCCTTCATTATAGTCTGTCTTGTTGTGTAGTTATGAAGTTTGAACCCCAAGCTTGTAGTCTTGGAACCCTGACTAAGGAGGGCTTATTATCTCTCATACATGCCTGCTTATCTTCTTGGATGGAGAAGCTTCATTTTTGGTGATAATTGTAGTACCCTCTCAATTGTTCTTGATTTGTTCCATTTTATTCTGCTTTCTACTATTCATTACTCTTATACCACAAGCTTGCCCTCTTGTATCTAGACTATTTAACTTAGGCTAGTACAAGAAATTAAAATTCAATGGTTCTCCTCCTAATCTGAGTTTGATCACCTCTTTGACCCCTTCAGAAGGTGACACCTGAGTCCGTTCAAAAATCTTCTCTCCTTTTTGAAGCTCAAAAAACACCTCTCCACTGTCTAGGTACACACTTCCCTCTCATTTCTCCTCTAAGTTTTAAGGGTTGAACTTGTAATGAGAAAACTCCCTCACCACCATTTAGCCCTTTTGAAATATCACACCCTGGTTCTAGAATTCTTCTGTGCCAGAGCATCAGATATAAGAACCATTGAAGGACAATCACAGCCCTTACAACCCTTCCATAAAGTTTTCTTACACCAAATTCCAATGGCCAGATCTAACTAACGGCTAATTATCACTTTCAAACAATTCCTTGAACTCCACACTACAAAAAGTGTTACATCACATTCTGCAAATGCGCGGTAACATCACATGTCACATGCAATTTTACCTCGCATTTGCAAAATGTGATCAAATTTGTAGTGCCAAAAATTTGATTGCATTTTGCAAATGCAAGTTGACATTGCATGTGACATGTGATGTTACCCCACATTTGCAGAATGTGATGTAACACTTTTTGCAGTGCCATCAAAAACAACAAAAATGCAAATCACTCAACCATAAAAGGGAGGGAATAAACACATACAAAACATGAAAATAGATTTCCAGTTGATCTTCTGAGTCTATGGATTCATCACCCACAACTTCATGATAACTATGCAGCTGAATTTAGAAGGATTTTGTTCAATTGACAAATTGACTGAGGGGTTATGTGTTGAGAGTACTTGCGATTTCTAGGAATTCATGATCAAACAGCATGTTCATGAACATGGTCTGTAATGCATCTGAATAGAATGTTTACTAGCACGTTTGCTTGGTGTTGAGCACACGTGTTCTTTTTCTCAAATTCAACAAGAAAGACCCAGCGCTCTTGGGATGTTCAGCTTCTTCCCCTGCCAAGGAAGGCTTAATTTTGAAAGTTTGGAAGGATTCCAAACTTATCTTAAGTCCTCAAACCTTGCTTAAATAAGGGTTTGAGAATGCATGTACAAAAAAAAGAATTAACAGAAAGAAGAAATAATAAATTTCCTTCAAATTTCAATCACTAGATAATCTAATCACATGCAATAGATCATGCACACACACACACAAAAAAAGAAGGAAAGGAAACATTTGAGAAAACAAGCAAGAAAAAAAAAACACAGTTTTCTGTTTTTCTTGTTCATCCACAAATCAATCAATCCTAATGATTGTCAGAATAATCTGAGAAACAATCCTCCACAAATCAAACAAAATATGATAGGGGATGAGAGAAAGTGAAAAAAAGAGACAGGAAAAAATACAATATATGAAGAAGTGGGGATTTCAGGAGAACAGTATGGAGAAAAATAGACACTATTGTAAGGAGAAGAAAGTAATGTCTGTGAGTAGTAAGCCAGTAGTTTTTTTTTAATAAATTGTTTTTTAATGTTTTTTCAGAAGATAAACAATTGCGAGCGAATTTCGTATCATGATGAAGATAGAAAGGGGAAAAAAAGGAAAAGAATAGTCCAAATCTGAGAAGTAGAGAAGAGGGCGCGGGCTCGGGATGAGGGGAGATCAGAGTTATACAAAAGAAAACAGTTCTTCTCTCGGAAAGATAAGACGTTTTAGTGATCGAATACTAATAATGATAATGATAAGAGAACTAGGGATAGACAATAGAGTAAAATGTGAGCTCGGGGCGAGAAATCCATCTCAAGAAGAGAACAAGAGAGATCGAAAGGACCCAGTTTCTTTACGCTTCAATCTGGTAGTTATTGATGGCGGGGGAGACGGTTTCTTGGATCATCAAGGAGAGTTTAGGCTGTAAGGAGCTATCGGTAAGGTCGGCCTCAGAGCCCTTGACGACCGATTTGAGAGTCTTCTCTTGACCCGAGGAGGGCGCAGTGGGTTTGGCGAGGGAGAGACTTCTGGGAGCGGCAGCAACACGGAGACGTTCGAGGGCGAGGTCGACACTCGAGAAGTCCTCGGCCCGACGGGCATCCTCAGCATTGTAAAGCTGAGTGGAGATGTAAGTGGATTCGCCGGAGACCTCGAGACTATCCTCGCCTGCCTCGCTGGCTTCTTCTTCGAGTGCACGCATCATTAGCGGAGTGCCAACCTGCTCTCCATGCGAGACTACCCGACGGGAGGGCGTGCTATGCTCGGCAAACGTCACCCGCTTGGGCTGTCCTGAACGGTCGGAGCCATGTCGAGGCAGCTGAGGGCTAGCAGAGTTCCTCTGAAGGTGGCCTGACGCGTGCATCTTCTTCCCTCCCGGTGGGCCTGCAGGGTCAGAAACTGATCTGCGTCCAGGGATCTGGTACACTGGGCTCTCGCCCTTCCTGTCCTGAGCTTTGCCATCACCAAAGACATGGTGAGGTGAGCTCGAGCCGGCTGGCGTGAAGGAGAGTGCATTGGCCCTCAAGCTTCCTGAGGAGTCGCGCTTCATGGCGGTCAAATCGGACGCCCGCCACGGAGCTTGGCCACGGTTTTGAAGAATCTCATTGGCCTTGTGACCATCCTTGCTATTGGGGAGAGTGATCGGCGGAAGTAGTCCAGAGAACTGGAGTTTCGAATCAACCGCACCGGCTTGACCGTCGTAGTACGACTGCTCGCCGAGCTTACCGAGTCCAGACTTGCCCCCCAAAGGGTTCATGAAGCTGAGCTGGTTGAAAGCCTGGATGGCCGAGGCCGGAATAGGCTGGTTGGCGTTCTGGTACATGCTCATGAGGAGAGCTTGTTGTTGGAGAAGCATCTGTCTCTCCGCCAAGAAGCTTTGGAAGTCTGGTTGACTCATCCCGCGTTGAGAGGAAGGTAATCCTTGGTTGGCCAAGTAAGGGTGGGAAGCGTCAGCGGGAGTGGCGAGGGCCACTCCGGGAGAGCGGACAGACGAGGTATGGTGGGTGTTGAAGGCGCTCGGAAAGAGAGGGTTATAAGAGTCAGCCGAGTGTGGAGTCATGCCGGAGTGTGATAGCGCAGGAAGTGGGGTGTGAGCGCCAGCAAAGCCAGAGACCAAAGAGTTGGCACTCTGCAGGTAGTTTAATGGCGATCGCATATTGCCCCAGCCTGGAGTGTTGAACTGCCCGGCAGACCCAAGGCCGCCGCTGAACTGAGCCTGGGCATTGTTAAAGTATTGGTGCTCCTGGTTGCGGTTCTGGCTCTCGTGCTTCTCAGGTCCTCGTGGCTCAGTGACCGAGCCCTTGAGTTGCTCGGCATTGAATTTACCGGCCTTGCTGTTCTGGTTGGGGTAGCGCATTCCTGGTAAGGCGGGAGCACTGGCTGGGGCGTTCTTCGAGTCACTCGCATTCGGAGCGTTCCGCGGGGTCGCAGTAACACGAGTAGGATTGGAGCCTTGATTGGCTGGTTGCCCAGGCGAGCTTTCACCTTCTCCAGAGGCTAGATGGAATTGAACGCGATCAGAGGTGGTTCTTTTGGCAACATTTAAATGGTAAACAGAAGAAGAAAGACTTACAAATCAGACTTTCCCATTTGGATCGGTAAGTCTTGACGGGTAGAGCACCCGCTTTGAACAACTTGTAACTGGTTTGTCGACTAGGCACCGCCACCAAAAGGATCAGAAGTAAGTTGAGCTGCAACTCACATCCGAAAGAAGAGTGTAAACTGACCTAGCTTGGACGATGGCCTGCTCGGCACCCATCACAGGTCGGCCTCCCGGACCCGTGACGTACGAGGCGGAGTATCCATTGGCGGTGATGTTGAGGGTGTATTCGACGATTTCTCCCTAAAAGAAGACACCAAAAAAAATCATTAAGTTGGGCATAAAGAATATTGATGGGAGGTGGCTGCGAACCTTGGCAAGTGATTTGAATTCCTGGTCAGAAAAGATATCAGTCCAGTGAATCTTAACTGTAAAAGAAGAGTGTATCAGCACGAGTAGAAAATGATTTTTCCGAGATGATGACACAAGCTTACCATCTTGTGGGACTTGATCAAGGCGGTCGTCAATCAAGAAGCCAACACCCTTATCACAGTTGTACATCTTACAGCGACCGATACGACGTTCGCCCTCCTTAGCAGAGTTCTTTCCGGTGAGGTTGACGGCACGAGTACCTGTCTGCTTTCGTTGATGATGGCCGGGAAAGGCCTTGTGAATATCTTGAGAAGCAGAAAGTTGGTTGGTCTTCGAAAGCTCGTTGCGGTGAGGATCTTCGGTCCAAACGTCGTGAGACATAAACGGGGTCTCCGGCATCGGCCAAGACTCCTCTTCCTCGCTACTTCCATCGCCAGAGTGGCCGTCGTGCGACTTGAGCATCGGAGCCGGACGGTTGGCCAATGCGTTGGTTCCGCGATGGTCCTGCCCACCGCCACCCCCACGCTTGTTCAAATACGTGGGCTGGTCGAACGGGGATCCCTTGTGCTTATTGCCAACAAAGGCCGCATCGAGCGTTGCGTTGGTGACCCGCTCCGTCTTTCCCCCATAGGCGGATTGACGAAGTTGAGGAGACGCAAGACTGGCGTCCTTCGGATTAAAAACTCGGTGTCCGAGGGAGAGCGATGCTAGGTTGGCATCTAGAATACAGCAGTCGAACGCATCAAACGCGATCAAGTCAGCTTCATGATCACTAGAAATTCAGACATAGGTAGAGCACAACTCACGGTTGGCAAAGTTAATGGGCTGATGGTGTTCTGCATGCCTGCGTGCATTTTCAACCCATCTTCCGGCCCGATCGGCCGAGTGATTGGAAATAAGGCTTGGGGAGCCAGTAACACCATGTAACCAGGGCGGGTTGAGAGCGTTGCGTAACTCGGCAAGACCTTCGCCGGGCGGGCCAAAGAAGGAACGAGGTGAATGGGAGACGGAGAACTCTCCACTAGCATCACTACTGAGCTGGATAGAGTTCAGCCGATCATGGCTGTTGTCGATCGGCAAGTAGGGATGGGGCGAGCCCGGGGTGGGCGTCAACATCTGGTCCTCGGCCACTAATGATTCAAGTGCTAAAGACATTTCTTTATCAAGTCAAACCAAGGGCAGAAATAGTTTGAGGAATAGGGAGGCAAGTAACAACCACAGAGGAAAATTTGTAGATAGATTGTGTGTGTGTGTGCGTGTGCGAGTGTAATGGATCAACCACGGAAGGTAGTTGAGCTCGATAAACTGAATTTGAATCCTTTGATGATGTTGATGAGAAAAACCCTTCAAGGAAGACTACTACAGAGTGCAACAGAATAGCAAACGCGTGTGCGATCAGAAATCAGATCGAGGTTGTGTGGAAGGGGATGGCTGCTGAGATGATAGATGACCGGGAGACGATGCAGTGGGCAAAGCAAAATATATAAGGTGACGAGACGTGAGGGAGGGAGGAAGGGGAGGAAGGAAAGTCAAGCAAGTCGATGGATCAAGTTATACTTGTCAATCTGCTGGCGCACAAACAGTCTGGATGAGTAGGAGCTGTGTGTGGGGAGGATGGATGGATGGAGGGCGCGATGGGATGGTTCCTTATTTGAGCGTCTGAGCTCGAGGAAGCCAGCTGGCCTGTTCCTTCCCCTCGATCTTCTCGCTGGATGTATGAAGCCCCGATAGCTATTCGCTCCAGCTGGTACGGCAGCAGCACCCCCCCATCAGTCATGCGTCCACACCAGAATCGCATGACAGCATCCGATGTTGGTCCTACTTCACCCTGTTTTTTTTGGGAGGGGGTGATGGCTGCACATAAGGAACTGTCCGGTTAAGCAGCAGCAAGAAGTACAAGAAAAAAAAAACAAGAACGAAAGTTTATTAAGAAAAAAGAGGGATGAAAACTGAACGCTTGTTAATGTGCTCAAGCCAGCTTTGGAGGAGTTGATGATTGGATGAGTGTGGAAAGGCATCAACAAGAACGACGCCAGCATCAGCTGGGATGTTTTTTTTTTCTAACTCGCACAGAGAGAGAGAGAGAGAGAGAGAGAGCTCAAGATCAGGAGGTTGGAGGCCCTCCTGATGAAGTACGCCGGCCCACTAGTGCTTTGGTGCACTCTCATACCGGGCGAAAGAAAATCAGGGCGGCGATCTTCGAGGGAGTAGCCGGATTGCAAAAGAAAGCGGAGTTTTTATGAGTAAGTGTAGTTCAAACGCTATCAATCCTGATTGGCGATTGCTCTGATGAGAGGGGAGAGAGAGAATATGTGTGTGTACTCTCCCCTTAAGCGCTTGGATTAGAGTTGAGGATCGGGGTCACTCTGTCCAACTTTAGTGGCTCAACATTTTTGTATCAGAGAGAAACGCGTCAGACGTCTCATGGAAATCGGCAAGAGCTCGAGAGAGGAGTAGTGCCGCCGGTCTGTGATCAGTCTGTTCGGAAATCAAGACTTACCCATTCGCACCAGCCTCTAGTGCCGATGGTCTCGTCCCGATAGTTTTCAGATGCTGGTGTGTTAACTGTACACTCGAGCTTTGAATACACACGTATCCTTCTTCAGAATGGGACTTCCACTTCTCAAGCGGACAAGAAGTGAAGCCATTTCTTGTCTCATGAATATCAACAGATTCTTTTTATCGACTGGCCTAAGCTCTATCATTTCCTTTCTTTTGGTTTACCAACAGTGGGACTGCTTTTTAGTACACTACTAGGGAACATGACAATATTCACGCGTCTATGTATCTTTTGGTCGTTGGACCACAAGAAAACCCCCTACCTGTGATATTTTCAGATGAAAATCTAAAAATCTTTGGAAAAGGGAGAAACAGAGAAGGGTGCTATGCCGCTGGGATGAAGCAGACCCAACCCGAACAATCGGGGTTCGATTTTTTTGCTAGCACCAATTAGCTTGACAAATGTCAAAGGCAGAGATAGTGCCATTGAGGGGTCATGCTCACACTATTTTAGACGTGAAGCAATTGAGGCCCTGTCTCCTTTAAGGCTTCATGGGTTAAGTGTAAGTAGACGGGAAGATGCTGATAATCTTCAAGACGGAGAGAATTCAAGCACCAAAGGGGAAGAAAAGTAGCCGATAATTAAAGGGATGCTTATCGCATGCTTCCCAGAATCACACCCGACACCATTCCGGTTCCCTTTGGCAAAGGAAACAGAGGGGCTTGTGTAGTACTGGCCGGTCGGCTGATGCGGATTACATATCAATCAGCCGGATCCTCTAAAGAAAAGGAACATGCAATACATATCCAATCTGCGCTCCGACAGATAATCATCATCTTCAACCCTTACAAACAATTTCCTGCCTCATATCATACACACAAAGGAACCCTAGGGAATGGTCAGATCAGGGGTTTATGGATGTGTGTGTACAACAATATAAATATGTAGGAAATTCGAACGAGCACTAATATCGCCGCCCGTCTGCGGGGCGGAGAGTTTTTACTCCTGGCCGAGCCTGGCCGCCGTGGTCCCAAGCAAACTCTTAACGACTCTGAAGTCTTCTGGCTCAAATGGTGCATACATGAAATTCTAGTTTCTAGTCTGGGAGTACAGGGCAGCCGGGTACCGGAGAGGAAACCATCTTGTATCTTTCACCGAGAGAGAAATAAATCATGTTGATGGATGGCGCTTGCAACAATTTGTCAGGGCGCTTTGGCGAGTCCAAGTTTGTGAATGTCTTTCCTCCAAATCAGGCAGGAGACAAGGATCTCGGAGAGCGCGGTGACCCATCGTCAGCCCGAGTAAGCCTTTTGCGAAAAGAGCCTATGTATCACCAACGGGTAGAATGCTTTTCTGATGTTTGGAGAAAGCTTCGTTGCCTGGAAACAGACTCTAGAATTAGTTGACCCATAGGAATCGTATCTTGACATGTGTATCGTGGCGAGCTGTTCGACTTCATCGATGATGATACATAACTGGATTCTTGGAGAGGGCCTGGCCAATTCTTGCTCGGACCAATCACCATCTACGCGACAATTCGAGGTTGAAGCATTCAGCTCCATCGCATTATTTAAAGCATATGTTTTCATGCTTAAAAGGCTAGCCTTCGTTGGGAAACTGATCTTCCCGGGAACTTGGTGTTCCTTGTTGATACCTATCTTTGTTGCAATGCTTGATGGTGCTTCCGCTCTCATCATTGTACTCTTAACAGATTGTTGTAAGTCTTGAGGATGATGAATGTCAGATAGTTATCAGAATACAGTTCTACGTGAATATATGTATGGCCCTCAAGCAAAACATTCACCCGAATCCAATAGGGTCCCTACGGAACGGCGTCCCCCCTCCATAGAGGGACTTGGATAAGGTAGATGAAGGGGGGAAGGAGGAGGGTTGCAATTGTTGTTCAAAAGAGTCCAGTGCAATCGAGCGCGTGACAAGGTGAATGATTTCACCTTGTTGGTTGCTATTCCTGCAGAACAAGTATAACCTAAATGATTGATCAAAAACTTGTTGGCGACAGCGGGCCATCAATTCAGGATCGACCAGGAGAGCGATTGCAGGCCGCAGTTTTTTCTACTGGAGGACTTGGCATTGCTCTTGTTTACATCTTTTAGCTCTGCTAAAGCCATTTTTAAACAATTCTGTTTGGTGGGAAAAAATTTCCACCTGGGTTAATTTCCATTTCCATCATCAGACAAACTCTTGAAAACTTGAGATTGAAGAAAAAAAGGCTGGTTGGAAACTGGAGACAAAAAAAAATTATCTTGAAAATTGGCATGTACCAACGGGGAAAAATAAATAAAGGATGTCGATGTACAACAACATGGAATAAAATATTGGCTTGATTCAAAAAAAGACTCATCAGGACGCTTTGGCGATTTGGAGTTTGTGAATGTCTTCCTCCAGAGTGGTCAGGATAGAATCCCAGGAGACAAAGATCTCGGAGAGCGAGTTGACCTGTGGTCAGCCCGAGTTAGCCTTGTCTCTAAAGCTCCAACAGAGCCACCATCATCCGCACTTTTTTTTTCTGATTTTGGGAGAAAAGTGTAGGGGAAACGAATTGTGAGATGAACTCACATAAGAATCATATCTTGACATGAGTGTCGTGGCTCGCTGCTCGAGTTCGTCGATCGTCGTCTTGGATTCTTGGAGAGGGCCTATGACCGAGGTGACCAGTTCTTCCTCGGACCAATCACCATCTGCAGTAGAGATCAAGGGATTAGGTCCGATTAGTCTGGATTGAAGACGGGGAAGCTGGGGAAATGAGGAGTGAGTGAGCTTACCGGCGAGTTTGCCGGCGCCAACGAAGCCCCGATTGTCGAGAAGCTCGATCTCTCGCAAGTCCCGTTCCAACTGGACAATCTCGGCATCGGCCTCGAAGACTAAGCTGGCTTTCTCACTAATCGAGAGTGGCTCGGCTTCTTTATTAGAAGAGAGGGGATTGGGGAGGTGTAAGAGAGGTTCATTGAGGTCATCTGTTTGAGGACAAGACCGACAAAGAAAGGATCAGTCCCTGTCTCTATCTATCCTACGGCATATACTTGATCGGCATGTTTTGGGTTAGAAGAAAGAGTGATACTGACAGCTTTGAACGAACCGACGGATGGCTTCGTTGGGCTTGGTGCCGAGGATGGTAGTCAGCTGACCCAGGACACGTTCCAGACGGAGGGCCAGTGACTTCTTGCTCGCTGCCTCGCTCGACAACCGGTTCGTGAACGCATCCGAGCTCGGCAAAGCCCCAGCGAAGACACACTCGAGCAGTCTGATCCGGAGGTCCAGAGCCAGTGTTGCGTCATCCTGCTGCTCAGCTTCGGCCTGTGGCGGGTTGCTGGCTTGGTCAGCCTTGGTTTCCATTTTATTATGGGTGTGGTGTGTGAGTAGGGTGCTAGTTTTGTGTTGATGGTGTTTGAAGTGGATGGTTGGCTGGGGTGGAAGAGGTGAAGCTGAACAATTACCAACCAACCAGTTTCCAAGAGCGAACCATCCAGATTACCATCGGAGAATGATGAGATGCCGAGCCATTCTACCACTCCATCGACTCAGCAAACAGTTCTTCGGCACCAGCACTAGGCGGACGGCCCACTCGGAGCAGCCGGTCCGATTACGCTTTGCACCCTCACCGACGGGATATCTTCACCTGGGTGGACTCCGGACGGCGCTGTTCAACCATCTGCTGGCGAGGAAGCTCAGGGGGAAATGGATATTGAGGATCGAGGACACCGACCAGGTGGGTTTCAAGAGTCCCCACGAGACTTGCTTAATATCTATCATCGCTGACTTCTTTCCTCCTCCTCATTCAGTCTCGATTGGTCGATGGAGCCGTCGAAAGTATCATCGAGACTCTCGAATGGGCTAAGCTGGATTACGACGAGGGTATGTCTACCTGTCTCTTCCCCTCACCGTTTAGCCCTCGTTAATCGATCGTCCAGCTTGTCCCACTTCTGCTGATCTATCCTAGGTCCCAACCGACCTGGCGAATGTGGACCATACATCCAATCCCAGCGACAAACGATCTACCAAGCCCATCGGGACCAACTCCTACAGGTGAATAACATATCCCCATCAAGCTAGATCCATCACTTGAACACATCTCTTCCTTCAAATCAGTGGATAGACTAACGTGGATTTTTGTATATCAGTCCGGACAAGCATACCGGTGCTTTTGCTCCCCTGATCGACTCGATCAGATGCGCCAAGAATTCCGAAGCTCGGGCTCGAATTTGACGTATGACCGCAAGTGTCTACAGCTGAGTGAAGCCGAAGTGACGGAGAAGATGTCGAGGGGGCTGTCCCATGTGATCCGGCTGAAGGTATATATTATCCCATCCCCTCCCTCCCCCCTACTTCCACCATCTCTCATTGCTGATGGCTTATTCGAACAGGATAGAACTCGGACAATCCGGTCTCCGTCGACGACTTGGTCTACGGCCAACTGACCTTCAAGAACAACACCCAGGACGATGTGATTTTGATCAAGGCTGATGGGACACCGACCTACCACTTTGCAAACGTCGTCGACGACCACCACATGGGCATCTCTCATGTTCTGCGTGGCGAGGTCAGTCAATCCTTCCCCTTTTCTTCCCAAATCGTCACACCCAAACTCACAAATCTTTTTCGACTCGATATCCAATCCAGGAATGGCTCTCCTCGACCCCCAAACACATCCTCCTATATAACGCTTTCGGTTTCCCACTTCCCCGATTCGCTCACCTGCCGCTACTCGTCAACGCTGATGGATCCAAGCTAAGCAAGCGGTCAGGGGACGTCAGAGTAGAGGACTATATCGTAAGTGGGACGCCCTTAATCTATGTATCCCATTCGAAAACTAGTTCTAAGAAGAGCCTGTTGAGTTCATTGTAGGCGAAAGGATACGAACCGGAGGCACTCTTGAACTTCGTCGCCCTCATGGGAATGAACCATTCGCGACATACTACTGACGAGGGTAAGAATGAGAACACGACGACGGATGTGATGACGATGGAGCAAATGGTATCTGCCGTAAGTCGTTCGACCGATCATTCACCGGCGAGACATTCTTTTTTTTTTCATTTCTCATTGGGATGGGTTTGATGGATCTAGTTTTCGATCGATGTGATCGGCAAACATCGCTCGACGATGTCTCAACCAAAGCTTGTCCATTTGAACCAACAACACATTGCCCGCAACCTGCTCTCGACCGAGCCTGACCAAGTCCAGCCATGGATCACACGTGCCCGCTCGATCCTCCTTTGTGGACCAGCAAGGCCAGAGGTCTCCGATGCTTATGTGCATCGGGTCTTGCTCGCTATGAAGGTAAAAAAAGAATTACCTGCTCTCTTCGCTGTCACCCCAGATGGTCTCATCTTCCGTTTTCTGTCTTCTAGGATCGACTCCATGTTTTCAACGATATCAAGTATCTTGCTGAATACTTCTTCAAATTGCCAGATCTGAGCTCATCAGAAGCACGCGAAATGAGAAAAAATATTCCAGATGAACTATACCGTACGTTTTTTTTTTCTTCATTTCTGCTGCACTCTCGATTTCACTACTATTTGAGGGAAAATCAAATAAGTAAGGAACACAGAATATGAGCTCATTACGATTTTATCTGGGACGTCTTGGTTTCTGGATGGATGGTCTATTAGACAGGATCTTGGACAGTTCTCATCAAATGCTAAGCGAGTTCCCGGAGGAAGAGACAGGATACGAGCGCGAGAAAGTTGCGGCAGGTTTGAAGCAAGTGCGCGAGGCCGATCCGGAGCTGAGCAGTAAACAGGTGATGGTTGCGTTACGCCACGCCATCACGGGCCGCAAAGTGAGTTCAAAGTCGACCATCCTACATCCGTCTCTCTTCATCTCTAATGATTCTCGGATAGATCGGACCTGGGATGGCTGAGACGATCGGGGTGCTGGGAAAGAAACGAACACTCGAAAGGATCGAGGCTGCTCTCCGATAACCGTATCACTGCGCTTCTTATTTTTTGCTGGGTTTCCAGATCTTTCTCTTCTCTTTTTGTCCGATTGTTGGCTTTCGTCGGTGTACTTGAAATTTGATCTCACCATCCATAGTCAAATGCTAGTGTTATCATTTTTCCGCCGGACTCTCTGGCCTGGTTGTTAGTCTGCCTCGTGACCCCTTAGGCACCCGACAAACAAGCAGATGCTTTGTCATTCAAGTCATTCTTCCTGTGGTCCAATTTCTACTGGTCATTGTCTCTTATCAATGTTCTTGAAGCTGAAACTCATCGTCTACAGACAAATGCAACTCATCATCTACAAACAATTGAGAAGTTGACCGACTCTCCGTTCTCAATAATCTCCTCATTGCCATCTGCGTGCAGAGGTGCAAAAGCTGACCATGGTATTAGCATCTATGTACGAATGTGCCCCCCTGGACAACCTCTAACTCCCTGCCCTGGGGCTGACCCCACCCACAAGTGTTTCAAGAATCCTTTTTTGCATCAACCAGGCACTATTCATCATCACTTGTGACATCCAAAGATTACATTGAACTGTGGGGTTTCGTTTTAAAAGGGTCATGAACATAACGTTGGAATTTTTTTTTTGCTTCAAAGGAGGGTTTGGTACAGTATTCTACAGGCTCATTGAGGAAAAGAGTATAAATAGGTTTCCTGTAAGAGATCTGTTGGAGGTCCATTAAAACAAAGGCCATGGACTCGATCCGTCTACTCGCAGACTCATTAACGACGCGCTGGCATCGGAGCTTGCGAAACATAGTTGTGCGGGTTGAGGTGCCTGGGAAGGGGGGAGGGAACTGATTAGCCCATGCGCTGAATTTTTCTCGCGTCCTGAATTTTACGGGCCCATTCGCGGGTCTTCTTAGCGGTGGCCTTTTGTGTGCTGTTACGCATGGCAGGGTTCTGGGAGCCGCCGGGACCGTCGGTAGTGCTGTCAAGCTGTGAGCGGGCAGGGTTATGGAAGACCTGGTGGACGGTCTCTGGGATTCGGGCACGCTGGGAGTTTGGGGCGCCCCCAGTTGGCGGTCGGACGGGTCGGGGAGCTGTCATGGGAATAGGCTCGCGAGATCGCGCCGAACGACGCAGGATCGGTTTTATCCAACGAGCTGGAAAATCAATCCACACCAGACACCAGATCCACGAAGCGCAGGATTGTCAAAAATCGGGTAAAAATCCAAGGGGAGAGAGAGAGAGAGAGAGAGAGAAAGGCGAGGGCACACGTACTGACTAGTTGGTCCGCCATCCGCTTGATCGTCGGATCGACCCGCGGACATTTGGTGTAAAACAAGACGATCTTGCCGAGTTCACTAGACTTGAGAGACTGCGTATCTATGGACATCTATTTTAACGGCCAATTAGCCCGAGCGAACAGGAGCGCGCTTGGCTGTTAGGAGGTGTGAAGGATTGTACAGGGACTCACTTTGCTGAGCAGTTCGAGCAGCTCACGTTGGATGTTGAGTGCTGGGAGGGACCGGTCGGGTAAGGGCTCGAGCCACTTCTTGACGGCTTCCAAGACGCCGTTGTCGAGGATTGCGGTCTCGAGATGGGATCTGGTTAGATCGGGTGGATGATAGTTTGAAAGTTAGCGGGGGCTGCGTCTCTGTGGGATAATCTGTGTGGAATGGTTGGGTACTTTTGGATCGTCGATTTCACCTTCGGTAGCAGCATCAATTTTCCCGTCGCCGGTCGACGCTCCTCGTTCGCTTGGATATCCGTGTCGGCCGCACTCAACATCTCCGTGCGCAGTCGGGACACCTCCTCGTCTGCCATCATTTCCAGATCTTCATCGCCCCCCTTCCGTCGACGCCGTTTGCCCTTCTTGTTCTTGCCCGCTGCCTCGTCGATCCGTTGATAGAGCTCCTGTCTTCGCTCTGGAGGGCGGATACAGTTCGAGAATTAGTAGGATTTTCGATGGATTTCTGTAGTCCATCCAGTCAATTAAAGTTTTCCGCTCGCTCACGCTCTTCGGGGTCAATGACCACTTCTGCTTCACCATCGTCTGGCGGGACGCCATTATCAGCCGAATCGGGTCGTTTGTTACGTTGTTGGTTTTTTTTCTTCGGAGCCGAGCTAAGAACCATCCAGCACTGATCGAGTCAAAACACAAGAGAGCGAGAGAGAGAGAAGGTAAAAGTTTGCCCCACCTTTGTTCAGAGGACCTTTGGGTCGTATCTTTCCTGAACTTGGGGTACGTATGTGATCCTTCTCGTGGCGCGGGATCATGGGACAGACCGCCATCGTCCTCCTCGTGTTGTCGGCCCTCCTCTGCGAGATTTTCTTGCACGTCTTCGGTCGGCCTCTCATCTTTATTTGATTCCAGAGAAATGGTCAACTGGGATAATCACATCTTACTCCTTTCACATGAACGATTTAGGTACTTGCTTACCTTGATCGAAATCAGATAAATCCGACTCTCCACCTGAAAGGATTCAAAATAATATGTGTGCAGTCAGACATGAGTTGAACGTTCCAAGTTCAGAAGGAACTTAGCAAACAGATAGACGATCACTCACCAAAGATCTCATCTTCAAGATCGCGGGGCATTTCGTCAATAGATCCGGTCAGAGCTTCAATGAGGTTGAAGTAAAAGGTGATCGTGTTGAACAGAGAAGCTTGTTTCGTTGGTCTGAGAGAAGATCGAGAAGTTGAGAATTGGTTTGGCGCCAGTGGAGTGCATGCGGACCTATGCAGAAATCCGGATTCAAGTGCGGGTCCGGATAGAGTCACGACAATCAATATCCGTACAAGTCGGCAACCCGGACGCCGGCGCCACCGTCCCGACTCCCAGCCACCCCCGGGCCCCAACAGATGCAGGGTGAACCCAGCTGGGACCCGGACTGGGAGCTGGAAGCAGCTGGGAGTCAGCAAGGTTTTGACAAAGGCTCAGACACGGCAGCACTGAACTTGAAACAAGTTCCGTCTCCGGGAAGGCGCGCAGTTGTTAAGCTCGGCAGCACGCGACCGGTCCACCACGCCCGGTAACGGCCAGTGTGAGGTGAGCGACCCACCCATCGGCTAGGCCATCACCTTAATGTTTGTTGAAGTGGTATGGACTTCTCAAGCGACACACTCATGCTGCTTTCGTTTCAACTGGAACCAAATCCCGCTTCAGCCTTGTTGCCGTCTGCACAAGTGAAGCATTGAACATTGGTCAAACACGTTCAAACGCGTGCACCTATTAAGCCCACCGGATGTCCGCACCCGCGTTTAACTCGGACACGTGTCGTTTCAGCACTCTTCCATTCGATAGAATCCTGGAGAAGTCTCCAGCTGGGGCCAAGCTTGGCCAAGCCGATGCAAGATCGCACGTTGCGAATGCCTGAAGTCCTAGTGATTTCGTCACCACCTCAGTTTGCGGCAGGTTCCAGCCGGTAGTGGCGCTCACAGTCAGTATGTATAACCTATTTCCAACCATCGGCCCCCGCGATAAAATCCATCTTTATTCATTTACTATGTAGATAACGAAACTACCAAATTTCCTTGTACAAACATCAACTCATCGTGTTCCAGAGAGGAGCGCGTGTTGATGAGACATTCTTTGACGTATTTTAGCACATACACCATAATGTGAGTTGACTGTTTAGGCCCACGGATTTCAAAGTTTCAAGCCTATGTATCTGGTAATGATGCGAGTACATAGCCATCTACTAATGCTTCATGACAGGTGTGTGTGTGCATCGAGATAATTCGGACATAAGAAATTGAAACTGGGGTTCTCAACGAGTACCAAGGCGCCATGACATGGTCTTCACTTCAGCCGAAAAAGTTGGGTGACGTGGGGATCGACTCGGGGCTACAAATAGGAAGCAAAACTAGCACTTGTTGCATACTCCTCCTACCCAGCGCTCCCCTCAAAAAAAGATCTTCCAGTATCTGAAACAGCGTCTTGGCCTCTCCATTCTAAAATAGAGGCTGCGTCTTGAACTTCGACGCTCTCCCCTCAATCTTAGGGTCCAGTGCCGCGATTTTAATTGATGATATTTGGAGCTTATAAAGATGTTCATTATGAAGAAATTAGGCGTAGGCTTAACCGCCTTTCTGATGTCCTATGTTGTTGGCAATGCAACACCTTCAGGAGCTGTTCAAACCACCCCTTCCTTGGCCTGTTCGAATCTTTTGCATTCGGTATTTGATGCTCCGGATCCGTGCAAGAGCTTGACCTTCCGAGTAAGCGCCTGTATTAACTTAAAAATTGGGGCAGTCAAGTGGCCTCTAATCACAACCTTTTTTTGTAGGAATATCTTGAAGCTTTGAAGTTTAATGAATCAAGCTGCTCTGTCGAATCAGGATGTTCACTGAGGATAGATGAGGTATTGCATTCTATTAACATCCCACTTGTATAATTGTTAAGCTTTATGTCTTGCTCAAACTGTAACAGAATAGCAAGGCTGGCTTCTGGGATAAGCGTTTTTTAAAGGATGTTAAGAACTCTGCTAGGAGTCTCTCGGTATGGCGAAAAGCCATTCTTGAATTTCAGCTCAGGTAACTGGATCCGCATGACTCATCATTACATTCAAATCTCTATGTTCCGGCAAAGGCTAACTCAAAACGAATTAACGATTAACTTAAAACTAGTGAGGGTCCTCCGTCCATCAAAGGGAAATTAGTCAAGCGAAATTTCCTGTCGCCTATCCAGGTGGAAAAATCGAAAAATGTTTGGAGGCACAGGGAGGATGCCACCCCTAAATCAATCTTGGATCGCGGTATCATCTCGCCAGCTGGTAGTACTTACGACCCTGAGGAAAAGCAAACCGATCCAAGTCATGAACCTCCAAACATGAGAACATTTTGGATTGGAAGTGGAAGTCACAGTAACAACTTCGAGGATTCTAGCACGATGAGTGATGCTTCGAGCCAATCTGATTTCGTGAGTCAAGTTACCCTTGCCACTTAAGGTCTGTTTTTGGTGTAGCTGACCTCAGGACGCCAAAACTCAGAGTGATGAAGAAGGGCCAGCCAGTACCCATTTTTCACCTGATCATTCAATGCGCACAACCCATGGCAAACTTGTACGTTCAACTGACTCAAACGCTGCCTCCGAGGGAAAATCTGTATTCGATTGGATCCCTGAGCCTAACGGCATGCAACTATTACGAGGGGGTAAGAAAACAAAAGTTTACCAGCGGAAAGCTCCTGTGGTTCCTTCACCAATTTTTGACGAGATGGAAACGAAATGGGACGCCCAGTTACGCGGTCCACTTCTTCGTCTACAACACCTAGTGGAAATCAAGCTACAGCCAAATCGTTATACTACAGTCGATTTGATGAAAGAAGAAGCTATTGAGATACAATCCATTTTGAATTCACTGGTTCAGATACTTGAGCAACCAAAATTAATCAAGTACCTCAAAATCAAAGATAATGTGTTGGTCAGTTACTTATACGCACCTATTTCACTCTCCTGTATGTCCTGCTGAGTCTCCTCTCTTGTGCTTCCACTGATAACCTCACCACCAATATCTTCATTTGATGCTAACAGGCTTATCACGAAAGTTATGCGGAGGGGTGCCGTTTGCTTCAGGAAGTAGCAGATGTGTGGATTAACGTGCGAAACAACTTAGATAGACTGGAAGTGCACGTAAAACTGAAGCGCTTCGAGGATACCCTTGAATTTCTGGATGCCATCAGGGGAGATGTGCTGGACATGGTTTCGCAACGAATGGCACTTGAAATGAAAAACTTGCTGAGAGAAGTGGAGAATTATGTAGACCTCGATGGGCCACATTTGGCACATCCTCCATCCCCACTCGACAGTGACCCACAACCATTGCCAGTCAACCAAAAATATTTGCCGTTCAACACTCACCCGGGGCCCGAACAAGTTCCATCAGCTTCTCAAAATCAACATTTGTCTAGTGACATCAACTTTACGCCACCTGTAATTCCTCAAGTAATGCGCTCCATTGAAGACATTGCGTGAGTTATTTCTACTTGACAGGCTTTAGTGAATTTACTCTGTCTAACTCTCCCCAAAAATAATTTTTGTGTCTAGTGATAGTGCAAAAAGCTTCCTGAATACGCTCGGAAACTTGAAAGAATGTCGAGATGCTATGAAGAAGGACGCAACAAATGTTGAGCGCGTGGAAGAACAACGACATGTGTTGGAAAACGAGTTGCAAAACCTCAGGTGGAAATTGAGTGAGAGTGGAACAGCCAAGATTTGGTCTGAATTGTTGACCAGGGAGAAGTTTGAAGCCAAGAAAGTTAGTCTAGAACTGAAAACATGCCTGTCCTTGGAAACTGATAGTTTTTTTTATTGAATTTTAGGTGGAATTGGATACTGTCATTCAGGACATGTTTGCCGCCAACTATCTTATCAGAGCTTTCCAAACTGTTTATCTGGGAAGAAAGGTAACTTACAGCCACAACAACAAAACCTATCATGATTTGGCTTGGGTTATCAGTGAGGGGCTCAAAGCTGCTCTCAAAAGCGCAAGTGCGCGCCAAATGGATGGCCTAGCTGACATTCTTAAATCAAGTACAACAACGCACATCATGTCCATCAACGATGCCAGTCTCGTGAATGTCAATGCCTTGATCACAAGATTTGAGCATGCGCCACCAGATGGTATGAGTTGGATCAAGCTACAGGGTAAAAAGCTTGCAGAAATTTTAGAATTTCATGAGGTCAATTTATCACACAAGCGGGCCGTCTCAAATATCAAGAGTCAGTTGAAAGAAGTCAGAGATTCACTTCATTCTGAATCAAGTATGCCGTATGGAGTGTTATTGGATTACCAGGTGAGCAACTTGTACCATGTCTGTTCCAACGTCATGATGATCCGAAATCAACGAGGTTTAACATTTTGACTCCAATTCTGAAATATTTTTACACGCTGGAGTAGATAAAACCGTGGTTAAGTAAACTAGATGTTTTTGATATAAATCTTGGCACAGATAGTCTTGCTTCTATTCACCAAAGCATACATGTCCCCATGAAAAATCAATTTGAATGGGAGGTGGAAAAATTAATTGAAGAAATTGTGCTCTTGAAAAACACTATTCTCGGCTTGACACCGGGCTTCTTGAAACCCCCGAAGTATACGCGAACAAAATTGCTAACCAGGCGAAGTGTATTCCCATTGCAATACAACAATAATAGCAACTTGGCCGTATGTTTTTTTTTCTCAGTTCTGATAGCTCGTATCAAAAGAGAAAGTATTGAAATGATCATCTCTTTCCGATTATCAGCTTGCAACACACTTCAGAATTATCAAAGAAAAGTTGTTATGGGGGACCAGCAAAAGGTTTCAAACGGCTCAATTACTACCACTGACCGCCCCAGATGGGATGCTACAAGTATCTAAGGATTTCGGATCAGCAAAGGACAATGAGAAATTTTCCAAACATAGAGGGGTCATCGATGACCTGATTGGCCTGGTTACATCGATTGAACTGTACAAGGTCGCAGGAGTGTGCCCAATGTCTCAGCACGGTGCATCACCCGAACTAGATTCGGCAAAACAACTTTGGATAGCCTATGGATCAAAAAAGACTGCGGTTCTGGAAATGGCTAGAAATTGGCGAGCTTTCGGACTGATCTTTCGAGATATTATAGAGGTGATGATGCCATCAAAAAGTATAGAAGAGCGTCAAACTCAGACGTACTCGGATCTTTTTGAAGCTTATCAACAAGCCATCCACACTAAAGATTGCTGCTGCAAACTCACTTCTTCCAAAAACACCGTTATAGATAGACAGATCATTGATTTTGAAATTTTGTAAAAATTTGTATGCCCAGTTACACTTCAATATCCTGGATTGTCAATTATAGATTCTTTGTTGAAAATTACACATATCACCATGACACACCATAGAAATAGAAATTCTCTGACTTTTATTCAATAAAACTCATTGGCTCATAAAACAGGCAGGGAAAGCATTGAAACTGTCAAGAATTAGTCACTTGAAACAGTATCTTTTTGATATAAATCAACAAAAAGTCTAGAATCAAAACGCTTAAGTGTCATCAGCTAATGGACTCTTGAATCGGGTACACACATGCATGCACAAGGTTTTTCAGAACTCTTTATTATATGTTGATATGCAGGGAAAATAATGCAAAAAACATGATGGAATGAAAAGAAATATTAGGCTCTTTAACAGAAAGTGAAGAGAGGCTTTGGTGGCAAGAACATCAGCAGAAGGGTCAAAAGAATTACACTGAAAACACAAGGTGAGTGGTTTGCAGTTTTGATATTTGTGCAAAGACTGATAGCTCAATGAAATCAGCTCATATTTTGAGGTTCAGTCCCTACATAGAACTGAAGAATGAGACACCTATTTAGAATTCGGCTCACCCAATTATTTAAATTTATCACAGAAGCAAAGCAATGGGTTTTTATAATAAATTAAGACATCTGATGTGCCGCATTATTTTAAATACTGATGGGTAGTTATATGTTGCTCTGGATCTTGGTGCCAAGCCCAAGTACAAGCACTCCAAAGCCATGTAAAAATACATGAGATTTGATGTGTTCAACAGTTTTTGAAATTTGTTTGGATACAGGGGCAAATTTTCCTGTAAAAAACCCTTAAGAAGGAACTTTTATGAACCCAAGTATTACAAATTAGGATTTGAACCAAGGGTGTTCTGCTACACTTTTTTACCAAAAAGTGTTAATGTAGTGGCACTTCTTTGCATGGAAATCTGGTAGTGTTGGCACAATGTTAGCACATTTTTGCTATGCTATGAGCCACTAATGGCTGCTACAGGGCCAAAAGAACACTAAACAGAAGATTAGTGCAGCTTAGTGGGCCTTTTTTGGGAACTGAAAGTGTAGTGTTAGTGCAGGTGTGGCAGAATTCTGCTGCAATACAGTATAGTTTAGCATGATTCCGCTAAATTAAGCTGTGCTAACACTATCATGATTGTAACTGGCCCATTGCTGTTGGGTTGCATCCTTCAAAAAAGAAGGAGCAAAAGATACTAAAACAAAAACAGATTATACCATAGCTTCACCACCCTTTGAGAAGTTATTGCACCTCCCCTGAATGTATTTACCATGGCTTACTTGAAAATCCTGGATCAGGATGAAAGTGGGTTGGGTTGACCCTTAAGTGACTTGTGACCCGTTAGGGGCGGGTTTGGGTTGACTTTTTTTTGAATAAAATTATAAGTGACCTGCTTAATTCACAGGCTGGGTTCAGGCATCAGATTCTGATGTTGGGTTGGCCCAAAAACCCAACTACCAACCCATGTAATGTACCATAACGTAAATGCCCATTGCTGTTAGTAATATAAACATGCTCCAAGCTTGACCCAGACCCACTGCTGCCTTAGGTGGGTTGGGTTTGGGCAGCAATATTGACTGTAAGACCCAACCTGACCCATCACTTGTGCAAGCCAGGTTTGGGCACTTTCTTTTGACCTGAACCCAACCTGGTTTCATCCTGATTCCTGGCCCATTTAGGGGACTTTTTTGGGAAGAATTGATCATTCATCTGACACAGTTTGGCTCTGAACATGGAGTGGACAAGCTGAGCCCCCATCAATCCAACCAATGAATTTATAACTAATTTCACTTTTCAAGATAGTGTACTGTGCTTCATTCCATGTAGAGAATAAGCTGCCCAGTTCAACCCAACACAGGCTCAATTTCAGAAGGTTAGCCAGCCACAGCCCTGATGCAAGGCCAACCTTGGCAGATAGCCCAACCATATGAACACAGGTGAGGACAGAGTGGGAGGTTGAACCCACTTCAGCTTCCAATACCTCTGGCAAGGAAGCATACAAAAATAGTTGGGTAGTATTGGGGAGGGTGGCTCCACATGAGATTTTATGAAAAATTGGTAACACCAGGGAAAGGTCATTCTGCGTGAATTTTTTCCCAGGGGTCTGGTGTCAAATCTTTGGTGGGTGTAAGTCCACAAACCAAAAACATATTTTGTAGCAGGAGTTTTTGATTGGCCACTGTTGATGGGTTTGTTGCTGGTAACCCATCACTTGAAGAATTCATGATATTGAACCGTTTGACCTGAGGATGGCCCTGCTGATGATGAGGATGCTCCTGAGGGTGATGGATTTGAGTTTTTCCATGGCTGAATATTTTCATGGTCACAGTCTTCAGCACTCCAAACAAGGAAAATTTTGTTTTTGACAGTTATCTCCTTGCACGAAGGCATGACACATCTGAAGAACATCTTGGTGCGTTCTTTATTGCAGACTTGGTTATTGGGAAAGACTTTGCCACACTTTCCCATCTCAGGCTCTACTTGCAAGATCTCTTGAGCACCTGGTTGCTTGCAGACTGCACAGTCAACGACAACTGCGAGACCAGTCGGGATGAAAGCCAACAATACGCCACAGAGGATGATGGCAAACTTCATTTCAAGAGTATTTTTGATGGCGAAAGATTTCAATGAGATTCGAACTCGTGTGTTCCAGAGGCACTGGTAAGAGCAAAGGATGTTCTGAGTTGTCTAACCGTTGCGCTATTAAACAGGGTGTCATATATTCCCCATGGATTATACTTGTATCATCATCAGATTGTATGGTAAAAATAAATATTGTATCACATTTTATTTTTCAATTTCTTGCAAGCCAATAGAAAAAAGTTGTAGTTCATCTTAAAAATATTGACTCTTTTCAAAAAATTTGAGGGGAAATGATAGGTTAATAGTGTGACAAAGGCCATGAAGTTTGTTCAAAATCTGTTTAGAGGAAGAATTTTCAACGAGATACTCCCATGTTTGGCTGTAGGAGCAATGGAAAATGGGAGCAGCACATGAGAGAAGATGAGTGGACAAGATCTTGTCAGAATGGAGGAAATTGACAAGTGATAAGAAAAGAGAGTGAAAACACACCTTACATTCCCATTCCAATTCACGACTGATATTGCAACCTTGACTAGCCCTTTGCTTTACATTCTTCATGAACTCATTCAACCCTCCACTTTTCCTGGGCTGCTCCGAGGTTTCCGGATCTTCAGAGTCAGACCTCTCTCCTCTCAAGAATTTCTCTTCGATTCCGGCAGATGTTTTAGATTTCTGCTTCCTTTTTTTGGAAGTTGTGGTTTGACAAGTTGGATTGGTAGTTTCTGAGGTGGATGTTGAAAGTGCTGTTGGGTCGGTGGTTACAGATTTCGAGGTAGCACTGTCTGCGTCCTTGCTTCTTTCTTGCCATCGGCGACCCGCTCAACTTGCTTCTTGCTGCCTCTCCAGCTCCCCTAATTTTCGCTCTTTGCCTATCTGTCCTGGCAAGACATTTTGGTTCAATCCGCCAGCTAGAGTACCTCACTTCAACCATCTAAAAATGCCCCTTTCTGGCCCAACATCAGAGTGATTAAAAATGAAACTGGTTTAGCACCTTGTTTTCAATTTGGATATATCTTTACATGCTGAAGTATAGAAAGCCATGATCAACTGAAATAGTGGTTTTCATTGAAATCTTGGTACAGATAAATAGTCTTGCATCTATTCAACCTAGCATAAATTTCCTCATGATCAGGAGTCGATTTGAATGGGAGGAAGCAAAAAAAATTGAAGAAATTTTCCTCTTGAAAAACACAATTCTTGGCTTGACACATAAAAAAACAAAATTTCTAACCAGACAATTAGTGTTCAAGTTGGAATAAAAAAAATGACAGCAACATGTCAATATGTTTTTTTTATTTGTTCTGATAGCTCTCCAGGATCAATACCTAAAACAAGCATCTCTGTCTGATTAGCATCTTACTTCAAACTTGAGAAACATGAAGGAGAAATTTTTACCAGGGATAATCAACAGTTTTCAAATGAATTAATCCCTGCCATTCACCTCCCCAGCAGGGCATTACAAGTATCTGTGGATTTTGGATCAGCCAAGGACATTAGTCAATCTCAAAAAAGAGGGGACATGGAGGACCTGATTGGTCTGGTTACATCAATTTAGCTGTACAAGGTGGAATCTGGATGGATTGTGGAGCATGGTTCATCACCTGAACTAGATTTGGTAGAAACATTTGATAAGAGCATCTCCACCGCGGGCCCTATGTAGGGGCCCAATCCCACATATAGGGCCTGCAAGTCCCAAAACCACAGCCACCGCGGCCCTATAATAGGGACCAGGGTCAAAAGTCCCTATCAAGCTGTATATATACAGACTCAATAGGGCCCGGCTGATCGGTCCCATCCCGTGTGAACCTTCCAACATCGGAAGGTTTCACACATCCTCAAGTACACTACAACTCCGACCAATTGGCTTTCACCAACTTTTAAGGCCAATACACCCACTAGCGGTGGAAAAAAACCGGCTCGGTTGCTATCCAATTTTTTTGGTCCCTATTGGAGGCATATAGGGCCCCCCAAATAGGGCCCGCGGTGGAGATGATCTGACCTATTGATCAAAAATGGCTGCAATTTTGGGCATGCCTAGAAAATGAATTTTTGGTCTGATCTTTTCAAGATATCATACAGGTGATAATGCCTTCAAAAATGAAGATGAGCTTCAAAATCATTCATAATTGGATCTTTTCAAAACTCATCAACAAACCATCCATGGAAAAGATTGCTAATGCAAAATCACTTTTTCCAAAGTATCTGTTACAAGTAGAGAGGTGGTTGGTTTTGAAATTTTGTAAAAACTTGCATGCTCATTGATGTTAAGCTCCCAGACCCTCTAGCGTTATTTATAGATTATTTGTCAAAAACTACACAAATCATCATGACACACCATAGAAATGAAAGTCTTCTCACCTTTTTCAATACAACTTATGATCTCATAAGAGAGTCAGGGGAACCATTGGCACATTAAGGAATCATTTCTTGAGAAAGTTTTTTTTATAGAAATAAACAAAAAGTCTAGGATCAAGTCTGCATGCAAAACAATGTTTAAATGCCATTGGATACTGGAATCTTGAATTGATTCCATGTAGATTTGTGTAAGTTTTCTTACAAATGTTGAATGCATGTGAGTGTGCATGGAAGGTACTTCAAAAACATGATGGAATGAAAATAAATCTTACAGCTGGTCCCAAAAAGCTGGCGGTTTTGTGATTGCTGTATTTCCAAAAGAATTTTTCTTGCATCTCATAGATTGTACAATTTGCTGTACAACTTTTGATTTGGGCTCCTGAGGTATCACTTGGGCTGGGAACAATTGGTGGCTAGCAAAGGAGGGCTGGCAGAGCCTCCATGTGATGATTGCTTCCTGGCCAACTCCAAAACTTTGGGAGTTGGCCTGTATTGCCTTGATTACTGTGGCCATACAGGGCCACATACAGGACAAAGCGGGGCAAAAAGAAATCTTCTGAAATACAGCTGATCCCAAAACCACAAGATTTTTGGGATCAGCTATGAGCACTTAAACCAAAATGGGATTTCAAAAAAAATCAGCAGAATGGTGAAAGGATTTGACCAAAAACACAAGGTGAGTGGTTTGAAGTCCGGATATTGTGATTTTTACTAGAATCCGAACTGAGATCTGCACTTAAGCCTTGATAAAAAAAATGGTTGATGTAAGAACAACGACTCCGACAACTTCTGACTCTGACTACTCCGACACACCTTGATAACAAAAATGGTTGATGTAAGAACAACGACTCCGACAACTTCTGACTCTGACTACTCCGACACACCTGCGATGATGCAGTTTTGTTTTGTTTTTGATTTAGAATGATGAATGATGGAGGACACGCGTGAGATTTAGATCAGTCTCTTCTCCACTTTTTATCTGAATAAGCGTGTGTATTTATTATCTGAGAAAAATAAATCATAAGAAAACAATCTTGTATAGCAAACCTTGATAACAAAAATGGTTGATGTAAGAACAACGACTCCGACGACTTCTGACTCTGACTACTCCGACACACCTGATTAGAGAAAAATGAGATAAATGAAAAATAAGGAAACAATATTAGAAAAATGTTATCGTGTGAAAAGGTTATAGAAAAATTTGAGATGATAAGATAGTTTTAATCATACCTGCAATGATGCAGTTTTGTTTTGTTTTTGATTTAAAATGATGAATGATGGAGGACACGCGTGAGATTTAGATCTAGAGAAAAAGAATAAATAAGAGAGAAACATGAGGAATAAGAAAAAGATTCAGTTTGTTGTTGTTGCGATGTTTGGTTGAGTGATCTTATAAGAGGATGTTGCTTACCAGTCTCTTCTCCACTTTTTATCTGAATAAGCGTGTGGGGAAAAGACTGGTATCGGGGCGGTCGAAAAATCTTTTATTGGGGTACGGGGGAAGAATCGGTTAGGTTTGTTTTGATGATGTTCAGATGCGAGTGAAAATTGACATTGTTACTGCATATTCATAATGAGAAGTATATTGCGTAATTTAACAGATATTTGTGCAATGGCTGATAGCTGAGTTGGAACCCATTCAGCAAGAAGTTGGTTGTGGCACACAATCTCTGTTGTAATCAATTTTGGGAAGCCAAAACTTGATTGAGAACAGAATCCAATTTTGGATTCATGAAATTAGCCCAAAAGTTGTGTTACAAAATTTCAATGTAAAACTGGAGATTGCATGAATCACACCTATTCACACATCAAAAAAGTCAAATTCATGAGTGAAATAGAGAAATGTGTAGTTAAACTAAAATAAGACATCTGAAGTGCTTGAATATTGTCAGCAGTGGTGGACAATCATGTAGTGCTGTGGATGTTAGGTCCAAGGCCATGGGCCCAAATCTGTGTCAAGATCCCTGATATCATTAAGGGGTGGTGTACCCAGCACTCCTTGAGGGGAGGCCAGACATGAGGGAACAATCAACACCAAAATACTCAAAACTTGAAGGAAACTTCTTAGTAACCCAACTGATTCCTCAATAAAGAGTTTTATCCCTTGAAAAAAGGTCTAAAAGTTCCTAAATTCAAACCTGACCATACCACAGTAGTGTCAACCTGTGACCAGCTTTCAGACCCCCTGGCATCCACATTTATACAAGTGGTGCCAACAAAACTTGTAATTATTGCACATATGTTACACAGGTGGAGTAAGATATTGTATTTTTAACACATATCACAGACCACTGTTGCCTGAGGAAGTGGACCAGACAAAACTGAATATACTTTGAATGGTATCAGTGGAACTCAAGGCAACATAAGATTAAGGAAGGTGGCACAAGATTAAGATTATGAGAACCAAGGATGAATTGCATTTGTATATAGACTAAGCAAAATGTGTACCACATGTGGTTGAGCTGATAAATAAAGTGCATGATTATAATGACAACACAGAGAAAAAGATATGCATAGAGGCAAGATCATTTGATAAGTAGCTATATTTCAGGGTTCAAAGACTACAAAGCTCAGCTACAGACAATAAAACAGGCTACTGGCAGAGTACAATCTCATAATTATCTATTATAAATAATTAAGAATAATAAGGATAAAGAAGGCATGAGTAAAAATGAAAAGAAATTGATCCAAATTCAAGAGTTAGTCCACAACCCAAAAAAAAAAATTGTGTGGCAGCCAGTTTTGATTTGCCGCTTTAGATGGGTTTGATGCTGGGAACCTATCACCTGAAGAATTCATGATATTCCACCCTTTGGGGTAGGGTACCTGAGGATGGCCCTGCTAATGATGAGGATGAAGGATTTGAGTTTTTCCAAGGCTGAATATTTTCATGGTCACAACCTTCAGCATTCCACACAAAGAAATTTTTGTTTTTGACAGTTATCTCCTTGCACGAAGGTATGACACATCGGAAGAACATCTTGGTCCGTTCTTCATTGCAGACCTGGTTATTGGGCAAGACTTCACCACACTTTGCCCTCTCAGGCTCTACTTGCAAGATCTCTTGAGCACCTGGTTGCTTGCAGACTGCACAGTTAACGACAACTGCAAGACCAGTCGGGATGAAAGCCAACAATACGCCGCAGAGGATGATGGCAAACTTCATTTCAAGAGTATTTTGGATGGCGAAAGATGTCAATGAGATTTGAACTTGTGTTTTCCAGAGGCACAAGTATGAGCGAAGGATGTTCTGAGGTGTCTAACCGTTGCGCTATCAAACGGGGTGTTATACGTTCCCCATGGATTATACTTGTATCATCATCAGATCGTTTAGTGACCCTCAAGGATCGAAGAAACTGCTGGGGACTGAAGCAACACACAGGTGCTGATGTGGCTTGGTGAGTTTTTCATGTCTGGTGGAAAAAGTCTTGTGTGTGCAGGCGAATGGGGTTGTCAATTTCAGCAGATCAAAACTACTCCGGGACCCCCCAGGCTCAGGGCGAGTGACATTGAAATAATGTCCAGTCAGCGAGTAAAAGAAGCCGTACTTTGAGTGATCAAACCCGTTTTGATTAACTGGACATCAGTCAATAATCATGTATGCCATGTGCCAAAGGGAAAACAGACTGGAAAAGCAAAAAAAAAAAAAAGACGAAGAGAGAAATCTGAAAGATCTGCTGATTACTGACTAGGAAACGTTTGTTCTTCCAATGGAGACTCTTTTCCAGCCCTTGCTCCCCGCCTTAAGTTGTTAGTCAAAGGAAATCGTGAATGGCGGCGGCAGTACACCACGGGCTCACCCAAACGGCAGCTGGAGGTTTGCGGAGCCGTTTTTCTGATGGTTTCACCACCTGCAGTGGCAACCGTTGGAATCTGGTAATCATGTGTGTTTGGAAAACTGTTGGCCCACCGTTGGACAAGTGTTTTTCCGTTGGTTTACTCAAAAGACCCAAGAGGGTCTTCTCCCAGGGTACCCACCAGCAAAAGTAATGCACAGCAGCAGCAGGACCATCAGCCACAGTAGTAACAACTGCCTGGTGGGCAGGGGGATACCCAGCCTGTTGCAATGGAAATGAACAATCTGCAAGTCCCATACAACATTGTTAGCAGCATGAGCTAGTATGTTATCCATATACCAAGGCACAGCTGACCCGGGTTCAAGCCTGACCGTTGAACAAAGAAAAAGTAAAAAAATGACCAAGTCATTTTTGACTTTTTTTTTTTTCTGGAACAATCTGCTTTGGGAGCTTGCCCTCAGTGGGTTCTCAGAAGACTGAATAATCATGTTTAAATAGTATTGGTTGGTCATTGGTTGACAAAGCAGGAGCCTAACAGTTGGCTTCAGTGCTGTGGTTTATGAAACCGGTTCACAGGAAATCGGTTGAACAACTGTTCAAACCACCAATTTTAAAATGGTTGAGTTTTTCCAACAGTTTTCTGGCATTTATCCAGTTGAAAAACTGGTCAAAAAGTGGAACTGTTGTGCAAATGGTCCTAATAAAAAAAAGTGGCCCGGTGGTGTAGAACCAGGACTTTTTGGTGAACCTGATGCTTACATGGACATCTAGGCTAGAAAACAGTGGAATGATGAAGCGGTGAAGGAGGTCAAACCATAAGAGGCCTATTATCTCAGCGTTTGATAGCGACTTCTTTGTAAGGGAGCAAAAATGGAATTCCCAGGGAAAGGCGTCCGGAGACAGACTAATTAGACCAGGCAGTCCCTCAGTGATGGTAGACGAACCGCCCAAGCCGCCTGCGGTGCTAGGTCCTGGGGCAAAGTATAAAGGAGGATGAGAACGAGGAAGAATAGAAGGACGGAGGGTGAAGTGCACATTTCCGAAGCTCGTGAGTCGTCACACTTGAGCCGATTTGGACGCCGAGGACGCGCTAATCGGGCATGTCAGCCTGGATCATACTCTGAGCGGTCCCGCTTGGCAATGTCCTGTATGGCTATGATGGAGAACAGTATGCCAGAGGACTCTGTCCAGCCAACACATGTGAATCTTCAGATGCGATTGATTGAATGTAAATTGAAGAATTATTAGGTGACTTGCTGGGTCTGCGTCGAGAAGCTCAGCCCCGGCTCGACGTCAGGTTTTTTTTGGAGGAGGGTGATCTTAAGAGGTGTGAGGCTTTCCAGGGCTACATATCCTAGCGTCTTCAAGGATGCTTGAAAAAGGCTTAGATGTCTATTCCAGCCTTGCAAATGCACAAGTTGAAACATGTTGTTGCTGTACAGACCATTGGATCGTCTGAATCAGTCCCAGCGCATCAATGGTCCTACAATCTCACACCTGGTGCCACAATCAGCAATCTATCCTCAATCCGTATGTAGTACTTTTTTGCTTTAGAACAAAGAAAAGTGTTGTTCAATCGGCAGTTGGTTGTGACTACATAGAACCGGTATGGTAACAATAAATATTGTATCACATTTTATTTTTCAATTTCTTGCAAGCCAAGAGAAAACAGTTGTAGTTCATCTTAAAAACATTGACTCTTTGCAGAAATTCGAGGGGAAATGATAGGTTAACAGTGTGTCGAATGCCATGAAGTTTGGTCGAAATCTGTTTAGAGGAAGAATTTTCGACGAGATACTCCCATGTTTGGCTGTAGGAGCAATGTAAAATGGGAACAGCACATGAGAAAAGTGGACGAGATCTTGTCAGAATGGAGGAAATCGACAAGTGATAAGAAAAGAGAGTGAAAACAGACCTTCCATTCCCATTCCAACTCACGACTGGTATTGCGACCTTGACAAGCCCTTTGCTTGACATTCTTCATGAACTCATTCAACCCTCCACTTTTCCTGGGCTGCTCCGAGGTTTCCGGATCTTCGGAGTCAGACCTCTCTCCTCTCAAGAATTTCTCTTCGATTCCGGCAGATGTTTTAGATTTCTGCTTCCTTTTTTTGGAAGTCGTGGGTTGACAAGTTGGATTGGTAGTTTCTGAGGTGGATGTTGAAAGTGCTGTCGGGTCGGTGGTTAAAGCTTTCGAGGCAGCACTGTCTGCGTCCTTGCTTCTTTCTTGCCGTCGGCGACCCGCTCGACTTGCTTCTTGCTGCCTCTCCAGCTCCCCTAATTTTCGCTCTTTGCCTATCTGTCCTGGCAAGACATTTTGGTTCAATCCGCCAGCTAGAGTACCTCGCTTCAACCATCTAACTTTCAATGTGAATCGGGGTCCGATCTCTTGAAGTCGAGTCCTGATGGTTTCATCTCCCTTATTCAAAAATCTTCGTATTGCCAAAAATTGATTTATCAGGGGAGGGGGATGAAAGATTGATCCGAATCAGTATCCGAAGTTCCGAAAGCCACATACGTGGCCATGTGGTAAGTTGATGTGATGCGGACTTACACCTTTTCTCGCTCAGCAAAGACGTAGCGGTATCTACGGAAGAATACAAAATCTCTCTGGTTTTGCATGCTCACGACCTGTCGTCCCTCAAGTTCAGGAAGAGGGGGGAAGACGGATTGCAGCAGAGTTCCGATGCTCAGACCGAGCGGAGTCGAGAAGTTGGACAGCACAAGTTCGGGGAAATGTGAGGTTGGTTTAGCGTGTCCGGGGATGGCCTTACTCGGGACGATACTGGTCATCCTGAACGAAGCCGTAGGACCGTACGGTAATCTGGAAATCGTCATATGTGCTAGAAAAGATGCAGTCCAGGCGCGGGGGGGGGGGAGGCAAAAAAGAATTAGCACACTCTTTGCCAGTAGGTCTTGCGGGAAGTCATGGGCGACATACTGGGACCACTCCGATTACGGCCACCATGAGCTTCTCCAATCACAACCATGCTTCCGTATCCTCGCTCACAGGCCCAACGACAGACACGAGTTAATTCGAAGCGCTTCGTCTTCCTAGGGATGATATCACAGTTTCTCGATCCTCCAAATAAGCCACCGAGCTCGTGAATAAACGCCAGGGTGAATTCTGAAGGTCTTGGTGAGGTTGTGATTAATGTTCTTGGTTGCTGCTGTTCAGGTTGAGCTGCGGGTTCAGGTTGACTGGTACCTTGCTCTGGATGCGGTTCCTCTTCTGGGTTTGGGGGCTCATCAGCGGGAGCAGATGGATAGATTTCTTCGTTCATGTACGGGGAAAAGAGATCATGAAGTCTGCCCATATCAAAATGGACATTCTCCAATCCCGGTTCGGCTCCATCGGCGCCTTCCTCTGTCTGCGCTGAATATTCCACCTTCACCGGCAGCATCCGTTCGTCATCGTCATCATCACCAAGCCATTCTTTTGTTCTTTCGATCGTTCGAGGGACATTGGCCTTCAGTCGTGCCTCCCGAAGGGAGGGGTCAGCTGCTTCGGCCTTCTTCTGTTGGACTCGCCGGGTTAACTTCGCTTGGGCCTTGTCACGTTTGAGACTCTTGGAGACTTTCGAGCGTGTGACCTTGTTGGCGATTTGAGAGGTTGAGTTGATGACCACCATGATATTTCGAATGTCGAGATGGAGAATGCTGAGTGTCTCCTGCTAGCTTCTGTCCTGGGAGGGGCTTGTTGGAAAGGCCTCGCCGGTTTTCAGGGCCTCCTTGGAAAAACTTTCGGCAGAAATCAAATTGAATATGCAATGTCTGGAGATCCGTACAGCGCCGCAGCTGAAGCCCTTCTGCTCCAAAAATTAAAACCCTTGTGCGGTTCCGTCACGCCGGTGAGTCAGTCACACCACCGGTAACCGCACTGCCAATTAAAAGGTTGAGTGGAGAGCCGCACCGACAGGCACCGACCCATGCGCGGTAACATCGAGTGTTATGAAGCATGCAATGTTATCGGGCATGGGTGCTTGAATCACATTTCACCCATACGCGGTAACATCGCATCCTGCCACGCGATGTTACCGCGCATGGGTGGAATGCGATTCAATCGTTTTTGTAGTGGGCTGGTTTCTTGAAAATATACACTGTCATATGTTTCCCGAATTCCTATCAAGACGTAACCAATGAGGGGTATGTAGTCAGAGGTAGAGATATAAAGTTTCACACGAGCAAAAGGTTTAGTAAGTTGATCCATGGCAAATGAGACAAGTCACCGCGTTTTTACAAGATGGACACAGATAGCCCTAATCATGAGCGAATTGAGCCAGCTGAGAGGGGGAGGCCACGGTAATAGCACCGACTCGGAGCCTGACCAGCTATCATAGGGTGTTTTGAAAGCGCAGATCAAGCTGCGATCCGCGCCGATCCGGCCTTGTTAAAACCTTGCAAGCAGAACGGAAAAATGAGAGAACGGCTGCCTGGGGAAGTTGCACGAGGTGAACAGAGGCTGATCAGGCTCGGACTGTCTTCAACAGTTTCCAGCGTTCACCATCCCAGCGTGCCTCCAGGAGTCCAAGCGACTGCAATATTTAACTTTGGCGTTGTACAGTCCTCTAAGGTTCTCTGGACGACCCACTGTAGTGGCTTGCAATCACAACATGTACAAATCTGCTTAAGGGTGAAAAATAAATACATATGTGCAACCAACCTTTCTAGAATGGGAGGCGGGTCGCACCGCTGGCTCAACCCCCATCTTGAAGAAATGTTCGTTCACTCAGGCTCTCAGCCCATGCGGCTATGATAGAGACCATGGCACATGCCAGTGTTGACAGCCTGGCAAGCCTGGACTATGGAGCTGCGCGGAAGGCACAACATGTGAAGTATGATTTGTATTCTGGCTGATGTGACTTCCTTGGGAGATTCAAAGTCTCAAGCTTTGAGTGCTCCGCCCGCTTTCGGTCAGGTTTTACCCGTTGAGGCCATGTATTGGATGGAATAGGTATCACCGACCTCGAGGATCCTTAACAACCGGACCGACGCCCTTACCTCTTCATAGCGTTTACTGCCATCCAGTTGTGGGGAATCAACGATTAATTGGGCGATGATTCTTGGCTGATAAAACATTATTATTCATCCTGCTCCCGGCCTCCAAAGCAGTCCTCCAACACATAAATAGACTAATAATTCGCACCATCCATTCCTTTATCACATTCCCTCTTTGCAACATCACTTTCCGTGAATTTACACCGGCGATATGTTAAAACTGGCCCTCGTTCAAGTGTCCATGCTGATCAGCAGTGCACTATCAGTTCCATCTTCATCCGAATATTGTGAGTCGCGAGAAGCCTATTCCAAACCGTTTTTTTTTTTTTTTTGCCGTTTGCTTGCTCCAATTCTCACTGACATTTTCTGCGCGCATGTGCTCTTCCTCTAGCCGGCATTCAACCGCGTTCCGCAAACTCCGTCCTCTCTGAGAGGGCCGCCCCCAATCCACCCCAGGTGCACACAGGCACAGTATATTCTTTCGAAAAAACAGCAACATTGGTGTACGAAGTTCTGAACCGCGTTGCAAATCACAGGTATGAAGAATCTTTAAGAATTTTGAAAGCTTGCACCTGAAAAGAAGTCACTGACTTTTACGGCACCTACTTTTCTTTTAGTTGGGAATGGGGCGCCCAAGCGGAAGTCATCTTTGAGAGAAATTACCCGGAGTACAGTGTTTACTCCAATACTCGCCAGCTGCCACTGTCTTCTCAAGATGGACCTCTGAAACCTCCTTCAGGATTGATCAAATTTATTGAGCCTATCATCGCGAAACGTGTCCCTGGAACCAAACCTATCGTTGATGGTGATGGCGCATCAGGTGACCCCGCAAGTTTAGGTGTCGCGGTGCTTGTTTCTGCAGCCACCAGCAACAAAGGTAGATTGAGCTTCACACGCCTTACTGAGCTCGTGAGGCTGAACTGAGCCTCTTAATTTGGTCATTTACTAGAGAGGTCTGAATACTTTCAAAAGTTGGCAGACGACCAGTTGGATTGGTTATTGAATCACGTTCCAATCAATGAGAATGGTGCCATTTCTCAAAGAGACAAGGAGCTGCAATACTGGTAAGATTTGCTCATTAACTGCCTGACCACTCAATATTCTTTCCGAATGCCACTGATTTTATTTTTGTCTTCAGGTCAGATTATGTCTACATGGCTCCTCCTTTTTTGGCGTATTACGGAGCCGCTACTTGCAACGCTACCCTGCTGGAAATTGCTTACAATCAAGCAAAACAATACCGGACGATCTTACAGGACGGCAAAATCAAAGTATGGGAACACATTGTATCTGGTCAGTGAAGCTCATGTCTTCAGCAGTTAGTCATTGGCTGAAGCGTTTTTCCTTATCTTGACTTACAAAAGGAAGCTTTGAGGATCGAGCTTTTTGGTCAACAGGTGATTCAACAACTCAAAATCGTGTGCTACATACCATGAGCCTACGAGACCTGATATTAGAATGTACCTATCCTTTCAGGAAACGGTTGGGCTGCCGCTGGAATGATGAGACTTTATGGTACTTTTATGAACTTACGCGAACCCAAGCTTAGGGAGCTTACCTCGCCATGGAGAGAAGATTTGGCTAATTGGGTCGCTGAAATCGTCAAGGGTGCCTATGCGTACCAATACAAGGATTCATATCTGCTGCCCAATTATCTGGCTAACACCAATGCTTCACATAATTGTGAGTCACTGTTGAGGATCTGTGAAAATTTGAACCCCTTGAAAGCGATCTAACTTGCTTTGAAATCTTTAGACGCCGAATGTTCAGGTACCGCTTTGATCGCAGCCGCTGCTTACCGACTTGCATCACTTCGACCGAGTCTCGCGGCTGATCTACCACTGGATGCCATCAATGCAGCCCGGGTAGCCATCTTCACCAAATACACAAACAGCAAAACCGGTGCAGTGGCCCCAGTCGTGGACCCGCTAAACTGGAATGCAGACAAGGCTTTCAATGGAACAAAGCCCGACGTTGGATTTGTCAGTCCCGAAGGACAAGCCTTTACAATCTTGCTGTTTGAAGCCTGGAAAGCTTATGTTGCGAGCCTCGACTGCAAAGCCAATCCTTCTCACCCGCACTGTTCCACCGGTTATCAACGCCTCTGAACTCGGTCGATCATCCACACCTTCATCCCCGTCCTGGTCATCATAGCAGAAGTACTAATTTCGAAAGATTCTCCTTGGGTTTCGTCGGGCCTGAATCACAAGCCCTAGCAATATTTTAAACTCGTTCTTGAAATCATCACATTTTACGAACTCTTTTTTTTGTAAATTTTTGTAAAGACGCACCAAATCTCGCATTACGTTCAAACAAGTTTCACTCACAACCTTCGTCTAGTCTATTATCACAACAACATTTCAAGTTAAATTCCCACAAGTAATACATTAAAAACAATGCAAGAGGCGCCTGTAAGCCTGCTTTGGGTATATTTTTTTATTCCTTCTCTTCCTCTGGATAGTTGGGGTGAGGCTTGCCGAAAAATAATGAGGTGTGCATTCTTAACCCCCCCCCCAAAAAAAAAAAAAGAGTAAATTGCGGCACTTGATATGGAATATGGCACAGGTGCCTTTTTAATATTGCTTGTCTACTTCCACTATTTTTGAAACTGTTTCTTGCCTTCAAGGGTTCAAGTGTTGTAAATTAAAGACCAATTCAGCAGCTTAATGATGCTTGGGAAAAGGGGTTGAAAAGCACCTATGACTTCAATGTTGGACATAATTTTTAGGACTTCAGTATGCTTATACTGAATCCTGTGAGAGTCAACTATGGCAAAGCATGTACATAGTTTATAAATTCTCTCTCTCTTGACCTATGAAATATAATCATCACAGTTTCAATGACTTCTATCATAACACTAATTTTAGTTTTCAGCTGAAAATATCAGATGTTCTGCCCAAATTCAAATTGGTTCTTTTATAGTTTATTTCCAGATTTTAATCTACCAAATTAAAAAAAGATATTGCACAGTGTGTATTTTCAGTTCACCACATGTTGATTAGTATTTTTCTGGTTAACCATCAGTGAAAGAGGTCAGGATATCTTGATGAGGTAGCTTCTGAGGATGATTCTCTTGGTGGGAACATTTTATGCATGTTTTCATGTGAGCAGTTTCCGATGACAGATTGATTGTTTTTGACAGTGATTCCCAGGCAAATCAGCCTAGTACATTCATAATAAGCCTTTACACATTCAACATTACATTGCCGCGCTCCTTTGCGCAGCTTGCCACATCCTGTGCGCAGGGGGCATCCTTCTGGTGGTGGAATTTTACGAGCATCCTTGGCTCCACAGTGTGCACAGTCAACAACATCTCCAGTAGCAAGGCCATGTTGTATGAGAGCTGTGAAAACTCCAAAGGTGATTGCTGAAATTCTCATTTTAATTTTTTTAATCAACAAGGTGTCTCTGGTGGGAATTGAACCAATACTTCACTTGTAAATTTGAGTTTCAGAGGATTTGTATCTAACCGCTGGGAAAATGATTGGGGTGTATCCAGCCTCTCTTGTAAACTATATATATATCACTGGTCTGTTTGAGATGGTTGGATAACTAACTAACCAAGACAAGAGACCAATCAACCAAAGATCTTGAAACTATCAATGCATGATCATAATTAAAAATTGATTAAATCAACAAAGCCAAGAATTGAAAAGAAAATAACATGGAACCAAAACAGCTTCATGCAATCAAGTAAAGGCATGTGAGCAACATGAATGGACAGTTAAAAGCTGATGTGGTACATTATTTTTTGCTGAGAACACAGATTTCAATTGAGTACATTTTACAAGAAGATATTATGAATTTGTTTTGCAAAGGGCAGTGGATTGTATTAGAAGACATGTACATTTAGTATAGAAAATTGGGAAAAAGGGGGAATCCATATGTAATTGGTTGGCAGCAGAGCCACCTGTAGCCTCTAGCACATGTAAACATCATGATTACTAGCATTTTGTATTAAGGTGGAAAGACTTTTTCTTCTTGTGACAATGGTAGTCAGTGGAAAACTTTGTGTCAAGATCTACTGGTCTCCCAGAAGCAATTTAGAGCCCTGAAAGCTAGATTTCCCAGCAAAAATCTAGACTTTTTGGGTATATATCAATATCTGCAAGGGTCCCAGATTTGACAGGAAGTCCTACCATATCCCATTTTTTGCCATGTATTTGAAAAGTTATTCCATGGCAGGCAGTCTTGAATTTCCAGTGTTTATGGGTATGTTTCTGGGAAACCTTCACTCAAAGAAGTGAAAATATGTAACATTTTCATTTATAACTTCAGATCTCACATGTCTTCCTTCACCTGAGGATGTGGATGCTTCAGATATTGGTCTTACATTTGAATCTTTTAAAGGCAGCTTATTTTCATGTGTACAACCTTCCTGCTTTTTAAAATCCAGAAATTTCTTGTTTTTGACAGTTATTTCCTTGCAAGTAGGTTTAGAACATCTGTAGTAATTTTTGGTACGCTCTTTACCACATGGGATTCCATCTTCAATCATTTCACTACATGGTGCTTTTTCTGGGTATCCTGGCAGTGATAACTTCCAGGAATTTGCATCCTTGCAGATGGCACAGTAAACAGAAGTGTTACCAGCCATGCCAGGTTGGATGAAAGCCATCAACGCACTGCAGATGGTGATGGAAAGTTTCATTTTACAAATCATGAATTGGAATGAAGACTGAAGTGGGATTTGAACTAGTTTTTCACTTCTGGATTGTGTGTGTGTGGGGGGGGGGGGAAATTGTGCAGAAGATCTTTCCTGACTGTTGGGGTAATGTGCAGGGTATTGATAATTTCCACTGGTCATACATGTATCACCCAAAAATCTGGGTTCATTGGATGAATGAACAGATAAGAGGTACAAGATTACATTGGCAACTCTACATAAAACTTCAGCAGTACAGGCTGTATAGTTTCTGACACTGCTACTCCATGTTAAAATCCCCCAACTGTCATATTCATTCTTTTTTAGATGCCTTGAACTTTCCCCATGAATTACTTGTAATTTTCTAGGGATAGACTGGGGTAATGTTTAAATTCCAAGTGCTGGAATGGCAACCAGGGTATCCCAAATATCAGTAGATTTGATTTTTTTTCCTGAATCTGTTCCCAAGTTGCTCTTTTTAGAATCCAATTGGTGTAGCTCTCAAGTTTCCTTTGTTATACTCAATCATTCTTAGTATTTTTCTTCAATTGGTGTTCATATTTTACAGCCTTCCCTCCAGTTCAACTTCAGTTGAGAATGTATTTATACTCTATTGTCAGGGAAATCTGAGATTACAAAGGGGCTTTGGTAGATTTCAGTTCTTCTTTCCCAGTGAAGAATTCCAAATTTTCCTATGGTTTTAGACATCTATTTAAATTGATTTCAAGACAAAAAATTCCAATACTCCAAACTGGTCTTGAGACTTCAGGCTTTAATAGTGGGATTCACAGTTGATTTTTAAACAGAATTCTACATGTTAAGCACAAGAGGGTCAAAATTTCAATTTTATGAAACTTCAAATTCCTCTTTGTTGGAACATTTTTCAAAACTTCTATGAAATTTATGATTTTGTGTAGAATGGTGCTCAAAAGTCAACTTTGAAACCCCCTTATGACTCAAAAACCCAAATTTCATCAACTTCAATATTGCCTTTGTAGGAGCCAATCCCATAGTTGTATTCACTTGAAACATAACTTCTTATCCCGCACTGGATGTGCAGTAAAATAAACCTGGATATGTAGTATTTTTTTTTTTGTTCACCTCTTCACACCATTTTTTTTTAAAAAAAAAACACTGAATATCCAGTTTTTTTTACTCCATATCCAGTACTGGATATGAGGTAGTGTTGAAAGTGATTCATCAACGGCAATCATTGCTTTCAAAACAGACAGCCAATGTTTTTGATTTGGAGCTAATCAATGATTTAAAAGAAGTTTTGACTTCAACATTGATATAGATAAAACTAAAAATTGATTGCATTTTGGATTATAGTGGGAAGCCTATCTTTTTTGGTGAGAATTGGAGTTAGTATCCTTGTGTTGGCATTCATTCAAAAAATATATTGTATGGTGGACATCATTAAATTGCCACTGTTGGTGGGTATACTGCTGGGAAACCATCACTCAAAGAAGTGATAATATGTGACTTTTTCATTTATAACTTCAGATCTCACATGTCCTCCTGTTTCTGAAGATGTGGGTGCTTCAAAGGTTGGCCTTATATTTGATTCTGCCAGTGAAAGCTTATTTTCATGTGTACATCCTTCCTTCTTTGTGGCATCCAGAAGGGGGTTGATAAACGCAAGCCAACCCCCCTCGCGTACGCCAAACTGCACGCCAGGCACAGATTGGCGTGTGGGCCTGCACGCCAACAGTCCCTAAACACATATGTGTACATATGCGTTTAGGGACCACCGCCGTCCCATAGGACCCAGGCATGGGTCCTATGGGATGGCTCCGCTCATTTTTTTTTTCTTTCAAAAAAAAAATATGTACTTAATAAGATTTTTTTTTTCATGCAAAAAAAAAAAAACACAGCAGCCTTGCCGACCAGGAGGACTCCCTCCTGGTCGGCGAACAAAATTGTAGGGATGCTTCCTTACTGCAGTGGTAGGTCAAATGCTCTACTCAAGCATCTTGATTTGATGATTTTTCATCATTCATTAACCTCAATCTCCCTTGTATTTCCCTCTTGATTCGACCCGTGTTCTTGATCTCCAGGCAAGCGCTTCTCAATCGTGAGGTAACCAAACTCACAAAAGGCACATTGTTTTATTCTGGAAACCGATTGTCTCCTGTAGGCCACTTTCTTGCCAATTGCACCTCGTTATTACCGACTTTGCTAATGATTGCTTTGAATGATCACTCATAAATAGTCTTCTATTCAGAATCTTTTCGATTTTCACTTGTTTTACATTATCTTTTAGTCATCAATGTCTTCATAATGTACTTGTAATAAAACAAATACAACACCTTGGGAAGGTGGATTCTTTCTTGTTCATCTCGCTCACGACCACAGTTCCTTGAGAGACGTAGTTGGGTTGGTCAAATCAGTGCATTTTAAGCCTCCATATCCTGATTGCCCTCAACGTCGGCTTTAGACAGAAAGCTATAGGGGTAGCCATGGCCTGAAGCTCAACCTCAGGTGCCCATAGTTGTTTAGACTGGTACGGCCGTGCCCCTTTGGAGGATCTGTATCCTATCCAGTAAGTCATACATTCGGCTTCACAGAGTAGGACATCGCTCGGCTTCACTGGTGCCAAGCGGAACACCGACCTTGCGTGTATCGGCTACAATGAATGTAGCTCCAAGTTGACACGGCTTGACCAGGCAGTGTGTGAAGTTTTTCCACAAGGTTGGTTGTACAACCTTGTCCGCCAGGAGGACTCCCTCCTGGTCGTACAACCTCGTCAACCAAGAGGATTCCCTCCTGGCCGGCAAGGTCGTACAGCCTCGCCGACCAGGAGGGTGTCCTCCTGGTCGACAAGGTTGTACAACCTCGCCGACCAGGAGGATTCCCTCCTTGGCCGGCGAGGTTGTACCACCAACCAGGAGGGATTCCTCCTGGTTGACGTTGTGGAACTGCTCAGCTAATGAGTGAAGAGCTTGGAGGGGATAAATATTAATAAAACTATTAAATAGTAATAATAATAAATGGGTGTTGGTGAGACTTCCCTCCTTGTCTAGCTTGTGAGATATTTACACTAAGAAAAATAATAGTGTGGTAGATTTCTAAAATTTATCTTAGTGAAGATACTACCTGTTGAGTATGTTGAGTTGTTTATAAGGGTGGATGGAATGGATGGTCAAGAGCTTCTGGAGTTAGGAGATATCTGAGGGTTTCTGGTTTATTCTGGTTTAATCTATTCTTTCTGGGTTCTCTGGTTCAATTCTGGGTCTTTAATAAAGTGAGTCTTTATTTCTTCAATATCTTCTGTTGAGAGATGGAGGTGAGTTAAATAATTTCCTTATTATTTAACAGGTTTCAATAAAGGGATGAGGAGTAAGGGTTTTAATAAATTCTCTTATTACTATTCTGAATCTGTATTATAAGGGTTGATGAAAGCTAAGTAATTTCTCTAATTACTATTCAGTAGCTAGCATGAGGAGGAAGGAAGGAAAACAAGGGCCAGGAGAGCCTCTATTTATAGACAAAATCTTTGGTGGGGATGGTAAACAGCTTCACTGATGAGAATGCTTGGTCTGACTGGGTAATGACCTCATACCGCCAATTTAATGATGTCATGATGATGTCATGCTATGAAATTAATGATTTACAGCTGTGAAATTAATGATGTGCAGCTGTGGAATTAATGATGTACTGTTGTGAAATCAATATTCTGCTGCTATGTTGGTCAATGATGTCATCTGTGTGATTAATGATCTTCATGTTGTGAAATTAATGATGAGTGGCTGTGTAATTAATAAATGGCTGTGTAATTAATTAAATGGCTGTGTAATTAATTAAATGGCTTGTGTAATTAATTATTAATGATCTGCTTTATTAACTAATAAGATCTGCTGAAGGATTTTATGATTTATTATTATATTATTTTATTCCTCTGAATGGTTTTTAGCTTTATAACATTATATTATTTCTAATTCCTTGTTGACCATTCTAGTTATGTTGTATGATCTGTTTTGTGTTTATATATATACTTTTTAATCTTCCTTGTATGTTTTATACCTTTAGACTGTGTGTTGTAATTATATATGAAATAAAGTATTAAGAAAAATGACTATGATTTGAGAATAAAAGGCTTTAGCATGATTATTTGATATTATTACCTGCTTTCTTGAATTCATATTTGCTATTTTAATATTTTTAATATATCTTTTTATGTTTTATGGGTTTGATTGGTCTTACCACAACGTGTAGGCCTTTTTGTTTCTTTTTCTTTTTTTTTTTTGAAAGAATTTTTTTTTTGTTCTTATTTTTTTTTGAAAGAAAAAAAAAACCTCCCATAGGACCCATGCCTGGGTCCTATGGGAGGGAGATTGGCGTGCAGGCCTGCACGCCATCTGCAGGCCAATCCACCCTGCAGCCGATGCACGCCAATCCTCTTTGGTGTGCAGGCGCGCACGCCAATCTGCGCCTGGCGTGCAGTTTGGCGTGCGCAAGGGGGGTTGGCTTGCGTTTATCAACCCCCCATCCATAAACTTCTTGTTTTTCACTGTTATTTCCTTGCAATCAGTCTTGTCGTGTGACTACGGCACAGCCATGTCACCTTCATCCATGGTCGCAAGCCTACTAGCTGAACCAGACCACGTCTGGGATGCTTGGGGCACAATTGAGACTTCTGAGTGTGAGGCTTTTTCCTAATCATTGAGCCTGTGATAAAGAGGAGAGTCTCATCACTCATCCTCTCTCTCATCCCCTTGAAGCTCTATCAGCTACTTTTTGGCAAGACCACCTCCCTGCATTTCCCGACACCATTCTCTCCCCTTTTTTTTGCACATCCACTCGAATAATCCTTTCAAATCAAACAAACCAACTCCACAGCAATTTCCAGGTCAATCTTCCTTGACTCAAACATGTAACTCAAACAAACCTGCTCCTGAAATTCTAAACTTTATCAAGACAAGCAGCATTTTCCAGGTAGATCTTCCCTGACGTGTCTGGGAATAACCCCGAGTATCATACTGACTACCCAATTGTCATGCATTAGTTGTTTAAGGAGCACATATTGAGACCATCCAGGAAGAATTTGCCTGTTGTCACACCAGATTCAAACGGGAAAAACCCATACAGGAACAATTTCCCTGCCGTCACACCCAAGTAGCACAATTAGTTTTCCCTGCCGTCACACCAGCACGGTTAATTTTTTGAGGAAGATATTCCCCAAATCCTAGAGTTGAGACTATTTCCAATAGTAAGTTTACTAGTTTTGTACGCAATGTAGTTTACCGCAAGTCTGATAATCCAGGAAGTGCTTTTGATTCCCTGCTGAAGATATGGACACCACACAAAAAGTAAGGCATTCCAAATCCGGTAGCCGTAAAGAATTTGAAGCTCCTCCAACACAAATCACCTCTCTTGACGCGCCAGCACAGTCAGGACAAGATAGGCCTGAGGGAAATAACTTGGTAGCCAAGGAACTGTCATCTCGGAAAGACAAGAATCCAGCAACTGCACCGTTGAGCAATACACACGAAAGCAAAGGAGAGGAATCTCTAGACTTGATCACACAAGTACCACTTTTATCTACAGATATTTTGAAAGAAGTAGTTAATACAACTTTGATCCCACCGGAGCCAAGCATTGTTGATCAACAATCACATATTTGGGGGAAGATACAGGAGGCGCAAAAAGCTAGCAACGTGATCTTGACCAAGATTCTCTTGGCTGCATACAACAAGTTGGACCAACCAGAAAAGCCGACCTTTCCAAAGATTATGTGCTCATTGTCCGCAATGCCGGTGTTACCTCACATGCAAACAAAGATCAGTGTTGAAAATTCAGAGACAGTAACTGAATTAGAGGAAAACTTAGCCTACACATTTGGATCAGTAACCAGCCATCAAGACATTGGCTTCACTCCGTACTTTGACAAAAATATCAAGAAGTTACAAACCCCGCTGCCGTTGACCAACTTTGACAGAGAGTGGCAAAAGAAGGCAATAGTGGCCCACCTAATGCTGAAACCGTCTGAGTCATCTGAAGATAAAGCTTACTGTGGTCTAGCGTATCACGACGAATGGACTCAATCCCACTCATTGTGGACCAATAATCATCACGCCTTCTACATCACACTGAGAGATGTATACAACAAAGGCATCTTCGCGGAGAAGCTCAGAATACACACGGAGAACTGCGACACCATATCAGATGTCTACAGATTCATGACTGAATTTAGATATGACATGCAGGTACGCATGAACACCTTTGCACATCACATTCCATCAAAGGACAGAGCTGCGGTGCCAGACATATCAGTAAAACAAATGGTAGACTGTAAGGTCCTTAGGCGAAGCCAGTTGGAAGGACAACAACTATGCTCTGTTGAGATAGTCTATTAGCATTTCCCTATGTTGTATGCTTCTAACCTATACACCCACAACTTAGCCTATATTGTACATGTATATAGCCTAGTTGTGCCCTTGGTGATTCCACTTCCTTACTGAATGATAATTACATCTTGACTCAATGTGCTGGACCATGTCCATGACATCTCGTCATCTCTCTTAGATCTTGTGTCACCTATGTTACCCTCAACAGGTTATGAGACCCATGTGCTCCGCCTGTCGCACCTTTATATTTTTTTACACATTCTCTTCCACCGGCATCACTCACTCTACCGGGATTGTTGTTCCTATTTTTTCTTTAAAAACCTCTTTGGACCCCTCGGAGCTCGTCGGAACTCGTCAGGATCCCTCAGAGCTTGTCGGACCTCTTTGGATCTCTTCAGGAGTCGTTGGGTGTCTTTGAATCTCTTCAGGAGTCGTCAGGTGTCTTAGGATATTGTCAGAAGTCGTCGGGTCTCTTTGGATTGTGACATACACATTTTGCTTTTGTTCATTGTGGAATCTTTCTCTTTTTGTTTGTAATCTTCATGTTTTTTCAGATTATTGTGGCCTGAGGGCGTAAAATGCAAAATGAATTTGCCTAACTGGCATAAAGCGTTGAACGACACCGGTCTATTACCAGAGCTAACGCACCTATTAGACAGTTTCAAGTTTGGTTCCGACCAAGGCATCCCAAATCACACCTTGCGGAATCTACGCTGGTTTACAACTTTACACCAGACAATCATTCTTCGGCAAAAGAAGCAAGTTAAAAGATTAACAAATCCATAGAAGAAGAGGTTGCAAACAAGTACATGTTTGGACCTTTTTCTCACAAGGAAGTTGCCAGGAAATTCCAATTCTTCCGGTCTAGTCCTTTAGGGTTGGTAATAAACGCAGACGGGAAGATGAGGCCCATAACCAATCTGTCTTTCCCAAAACACAACGTTGTAACACCGTCGATGAATTCATTTGTGAACCAACTTGATTTCTCTACATCGTGGGATGATTTTAAAACAGTTTCAGAATTTGTTGAGTTTTTCACTCCTTGTTCTACTCCTTCCCAAAAAACATTCTTTTCCCCTTTATTGTTTCTCTTTTTTTCTTTCTTGAGTCTTCTTGATCTAGACTGAACTATAGTCAACTCCAGCTAGTTTTATGTTGAAATCTTATGCACTTTGTAGTCTAATTAGAACTCTCTTCTGCAATTTTATCAACAACTCTAGAAATTGTGATTGACTTCTTTCTTTTTCTAGTTCACTATTTGATTCTTCTAAAAATTGATCAATAAGAATTAACGCCTCTTGTTATCTGTGATTTAAAACATTTTTTCTTGATTAACTCATCTGACATTACTAAAAGAGAATGAGAAGTTTTGTATAGTTTGTTACTTCCAAGAACCTGTTTTATCTTCTCTCAATTTTTATTCAAAATGCTTGTTCTTATTCATTTTTCTCAAACCACATGTTGACCACTTGTACCTAGTCTACTTAAACTAGCCTAACTACAGTGAATAAAAATCATTGGTTCTTACACTCATTTTTTGTGAGCCTTTCCCAACAAAGAGTCCCTTCCTTTTTTGGCCCTCAATCCTATTACGCGCCTGAGTTCATAATTTTAACAGAATTCTTCAAAGAAAGCGTAGCTTAATACAAGTTGGCTCTTTTTGACTGGGCCAAGGCATATAGGCAAATTCCTACACATACATCACAATGGCCGTTTTTGATGGTGAAAGATCTACGTGGGGGACTCTACAAGGATACCAGGATTACATTTGGCGGGGTGGCAGGTTGCAGATCATTTTGGATTCCAGAAGATGCTTGGAAAAGAATCATGGAACACAAATTCAATGTGGTGAAGGTCTTTAGATGGGTAGACGACAATTTATTTGTGAAAAACTTAACCTATACATGCGACATGAAATCCATAATCTCAAGATCTGTAGAATTAGGTGTGGCAAAAATTGAAGAAAAGAGCACTGGTTTTGCAGATGAACAAAAATTTATCGGCTTTATATGGGACGGGGTAGCCAAGACAGTAAGACTCCCTGAAAAGAAGTTGACACAACGTAAGAGTCAGATTGCGGCATTTCTTGAGAAAGGTATGGCGTTCAAATTCAACGACGCGGAAGTTCTAGCTGGACGTTTAAATCATGTATCCTTCATCTTACCACAACTGCAATGTTATATAAGAAGTATATGATGGTGGATGAATCAATGGAAGAAACGTTGGGCAACAAGGGAGATAGCAGGAGATGTACAAGAAGACCTAAAATTCTGGCTAGATACACTAAACATATACAATCACACCAGGTTATGCCCAGCAACTGAACCTATAGAGATTGGGTGGGTAGGGGATGCATCCACTAGCTATGGAATTGGGGTGCTGATTGGACGTAATTGGGCACAACTGAAATTAAAGACAGGTTGGTTGGTAGGAGAACCTCCTTGTGGTATTGCGTGGCTAGAAACAGTCTCAATACGTATAGGGATAATTATGCTACAAGCATTGGAAAGGAACGTACAGGGAAATAAGCTCATAGTCTATACTGACAATACGACAACTGAAGAGGTGTTGAGGTCACGGAAATCAAAAGACCATCATTCAAACCAAGAATGGAAGAGGATCCAATGATTACTGATTGACTTGGAGTTGGATATAATGCCTAAAAGGGTTGTATTGAGGGAGAACACGGCGGACAGCCTCTCCAGGGGCATAATCCAACCAGGGACAGGGTACACATTGAGATCCCTGCAGATCTGGAAGTTTTTATGCATAACAGTTGAGAGGGGGTGTTGTAGGCGTGTCTTTCTTCATTATAAAACGAGTGACTCTCGTAGTGATTTTTGTTTTTGTTGAAATTCTGTAATCCACAGTGTTCTAAATATCAGCACATCAGGCATGGACTTGGTAGCCTAGTTGGTAAAGGCAGCACTTCTAGTATAGTGTCTTAGCTTCAAGCTCAGGTCGCTGGTTCAAATCCTGCCCAAGTCAGTTATTTTCTGCTAACTGTCTGAAAAATGCATTGTTAATTTTAACAGTTTTTCTCTTATTTTGACTCTTACTACTATACAAATAACGCTGTTGCTGTCAGATTTCCACAAATAACTTTCCTCAAAAACAAAAATTGCTTTTTTGGTTTTCCATAATTCATCATGATTTCCAAATCAATAGAGCTGATAGAGCTGCGGAAAATTAGTGCTTTCACAAAAAATGGATCACATATAATGTTACCTTCGAAGGCAGATCTACACATAATTTACAGCTGGAAAATCTCAACTTTACTCAGCTACAACAGCGCAGTGAAGAAGTTCATGGCATTCTGGAAGTCAGAGAGAGTAGAAGAATTTTACTTACCAATATCTGGCGCCGTTTTGGAAGCCTTCTGCATTTGGGAAGGAAGGAACTCAGTGTCGGTGAATAATGATAAAATCTCAGCGAACTCCCTTTGCAAATACATAGCTGGCCTCAAAGTGTGGCATATATATCATAATGAGCAATTTCCAACGACCAACGAATTGAGGATAAATCTGCTGTTGAAAGCGTCCTCAAGACAAGACGCACTGGAAACAACAATCATCAAGAAGCGACCAATGATGTTTTGGCACATGACCTACCTCTGGAAAACGCTGCGCAGTGGGGATGATTTTGATAAGGCAATCCTTGACTTATTCACTGTTGCGTTTTAAGGCTTGGCACGGTTAGCGGAGTTGACCTACGCCACAGAAACGGGGGAAATTAGCTTGGCAGAATCATTCTTAACTACAGATGTTTTTTTAAATACTTGCACGCGGGGAGAAGCGGCAACCCTCACAATAAGGAACACCAAGACAAGCACCCTGGGAACTCCACAACTAATCACCCTAGGCAAACAAAAACATTGACACATGGCAGCAGTGGATGGGGGACAGACATTTCTTTTCGGTTACAAATTTGAAGAATCTCGCCGACACATAACAAGGCAGAAAGCCTTCTCTCGTTTGGAGAACATCCTGTTGAGCGGCGGTTTCAACGGGCTCAAGGGGCATTCTTTTTGAGTGGGGGGGGCATCAGTACGGTCCGCTTTGAAGATGTTGTGGAGTGACCTCTGTGCCTTAGGGAGATGGAAATCTGATTGTTACAAATTGTATATTAGGCAGTACAACATTGCCGATTTTTCTTATACAAGAACACTACTGCGCGAGTTTAAGCGTAGCTGGAAGATGGGAATTTAGGACTATTTTTGTATTCACGTGGAGATTGGGGTTTCTCATGAATTGTTCAGGCTCCACTAATGAATCCATGAATATGAGTTGTATGCCTGAGACCCCACCCACCGTTTTCCTCTCCTATCAGTGTCCTATTTTTCCACAAGCCTTCTCCAGCCAGAGGGGGATTCCTTAAGAAGGACCCCCTCTCTTTCCCAAACCCGAGCTTGGCCAAAGTTTCTGCCGGGAAGGCGGTCATCTTTGCCACACAAGGGTGTCGGGAAGGCTAGCGGAAAATGGATGTCGTGTGACTAATATGGCACAGGTGCCTTTTTAATATTGCTTGTCTACTTCCACCATTTTTGAAACTATTTCTTGCCTTAATTAAGGGTTCAAGTGTTGAAAATTAAAGTTTAATTCAGCAGCTTGCTGATGCTTGGGAAAAGGGGCTGAAAAACACCTATGCCTTCAATGTTGGACCTTATTGTTAGGACTTCAGTATGCTTATACTGAATCCTGTGAGAGTCATCAGTGAAAGAAGTCATGATATGTGATGAGGTAGCCTCTGAGGATGATCCTGTTGAGATGAACTCAGGTGACTGGAGACAGTAGTGTTGGAAAGGATTGTTGATTCATTTCAACATCATAAAAGAGAGAGAGAAACAAAAGAAGAAAAGGACATACCTGGAGACAGTATTGTTGGAAAGGATAAGGAGAGAAACTGCTCACTAACACAACTGGCTCCAGTATATGAACTGAAAGAAAAAACAGGTGAATTTCACAGAGTGTGCCATGAGAGAAGTGAAATCAGAAAGAAGCATACACTGA